AGGACTTGCTGCATAACTCCACATGCTCCTTATACGTGACACGAGAGTGACTTCAAATGCTACTAGCGGTACAGTAGTATGCGCTGATAATGTGGACATCTGCAAGAAGAGTATGCTTAGCAAGGGTTAGTGAGGCCTGGGGAGCTAGGACACTGTTACTTGGTGAAAGCGTGGGACAGTAGCTCTGCAGTGGCTTACCTACACTCCACAGCTTTCATCTGATACTTAGGGGGAGAGGAAGTGGCGTCCCAGAGTCTCCCAGCAAACTGGTAATAAAAGTAGCTCTTCAAGCTCGGGACTCCAATACTTTGCTCCACTGGCTTCCCCACAAAACTAGGACTTGGACCTAACCCACTGACGTTTATTAAGAAATCTGAAGCACCGTATAACTTTAAAAGAAAACAAAGTTGCTGCTTGCCCAGGAAACCTGTTTCGGGTCAAAGGCCATGGAGCTGAGTGTCCAGGAAAGAACATGGAGACTTCAGGCTCTGTGAAAGGAATTTTTCAACTAGGGCGAGGGCAACGGGCAACCGACTTCTCTTACCTGCTGTAGTTTGCCATACTGGGGAACACGAAGTATTCGGAGATGTGGAAGAGAGTAGTGTGGGAGAGGTAAATGGGGCATTTGAGGGGCAACTGAATATGCTGGAGAGGCAGCTTGGAGACATTCTCCTTTTGTCTCGCTATCCTCCCAGCCTGTGAGACCAAGGAAAGAATGGCTGAGGGGTGTCAAAGAAGAAAGAGTAGGGGACACTGCTGCTGTACAAACCCACCTAGCCGCAGCCACATGCAATGGTGTGTGTGTGTGTGTGTGTGTGTGTGTGTGTGTGTGTGTGTGTATACCGCACACCAACATACACTATGGAGGTCAGAGAACAACTTTGAGGGTTGAGCCCCACTTTCCACCTTATTTGAGGTAGGGTTTCTTTGCTGTTTGTTTTAGTTTGTTTGTTTGTTGGTTTTTTTTTCCATTTATGCCAGGCTAGCTGACTCAAGAGCTTCTGGGGCCTCCTCCCTCTGCCTTCATTTCCTGTGGGAACATTAAGATTCCATATGCTCATGCTACAGGCGCAGCTTTTCGGCAGGTTTGATGACCTCATGCACGAGTGGCAAGGGCTTTTAACCAATGAGACAGCACCCGAGCCTGTGATCTTTCTAAATTCCACTCCGAAAGCAGAAATAACCACCACTTTAAGGGTTTCTTTGTTGTTGTTCCCCATTGTTTGCCTTGCTGCTGCTCCTGCTGTTACTTAAAATGAAACAAAGCAAAACTTCATCCAAAGTTCACATGGTCAGATAGAATGTTGTAGCTGTGGCTTACATGCTGAAATTTCCCCTCTAGCCAACAGTGCCTAGCATGATAATTGTTAACTCTTTATCCCATGACTTGAGAAAGTCTCCAGTAAACCCTGTGACTGTGAAGCTGACCTCGGAATGGAAATGGCTTTTGGGACCCCAAATCTCCTGTGCTGTACTGCTGTACTCTGATTTGTCGGCAATGGCTGCTTAAGCTTCTCCAAGCTAGTGCCGCTAACCACTCCCCGACATGACCGTCTCTGCCACACTTCTTCCTCTTTGCAAGACAACTGACCAGTGTTTCACTGTGCTTTCTTGTATCACATGTAAATCCTGGCCCTCACTCTCGGGTGTATAAGAAACACAGAACCACACTGTTTTTAGAACAATCTGAGTTTCCATCCCACTAAGGTGACAGAACTTTCTATCTCCACCTTGGTTGAGATTTCCCCCAGCTCTGGGAGAGTGCTGGGAGATCAGTCAGAGAGACACCATCTCCAGTCTTCAGTTTCCACTGCTAATTCTCGTTCTCTCTTGTCCACACCTGCTAGACATTGAACCCGGAGCTTTGGCTTGTCCCTGGAGCCGTGTCTGGTTTCCTTCAGGTGTTTTACTTGGTGAATCCCCAGCCTCTGTCTCTCCTGGAGGTGCCGCAGTGGGGCTGGCCACAGGTTTCTCCACCCTCAGAAGCCAGATCCTCTCTTTTCTCCACCCCCGCCTTCTCGGAAGTGTTCCCATCTCCACTGATGTACCTCAATGAGGCAGGCTTCCACAGAAGGCTCGGGAGAAGTGGTTTTTAAGTAGACTCCCCTTTGCTCGGCCGCAGGAACTTGCCCTGAGCCAGAAGAGCATAGAGCCCTGCCTTCACAATCCGTGAGGGGAAGGAGCTGAAGAGAGAGCAGATTCTGATGGCATGCCGCTGTTCTGTGGGCTCTAAAGCTGCAAGACAGCGGTGTGGTCCCAGGTAGACTCAGGATACTTTTTCATTGGCTGCAGACCACTTGTGGAAGAAAAGGGGGAAACTAAGGAGTTGCTTTATAAGCAAGACCGGGAAACCTTCCATGAAATAGCAAGATCAGGTGCACACCCTACTCCCTACCAACACGGGACAGCCCATTTCCGCATCCCCGCCTCCACAGTGTGGAGTGGATGCAGCCTTACAAATGAGAAATCTAAAGTAGCAGAGTTAAATAATTTGCTCTGATCTCACGGCAGAGGCAAGGTATGAGGCCAGGCAGACTGGCTTGAGAGCCCTTGCTCTTACTACACACTGATCCTCACTCCTTTTAAGACACACGAGTCTACCAACCCAAGGGGCAGGGCAGTCCTGTGCTAACCACTCTCCTCAGCAAACAAGCTGGACCAAGGTGCGTTGGTCACGCATGACCCGGAATCCTGAAACGCCTTCCTTCGCTGTCTTGACCCAGGTGATGATTCGTTCACCATCGTCAATGAAAACACGGGCAAGTGCATCCAGCCGCTGTCTGACTGGATAGTGGCGCAGGACTGCAGTGAAACCAGAAGCATGCTCTGGAAGTGGGTGTCGCAGCACCGTCTCTTTCACTTGGAATCCCAAAAGTGCCTTGGCCTAGACATGACCAAGGCTGCCGATAACCTGCGGATGTTCCGCTGCGACTCCAGCGTCTTGCTGTGGTGGAAGTGCGAGCACCACTCCCTGTACAGTGCTGCCCACTACAGGCTGGATCTGAAGGACGGGTATGCCACAGCCAGTACAAACTCATCTGCCGTCTGGAAGAAGGGAGGCTCCAAGGAGAACCTTTGTGACCAGCCTTACCGTGGTGAGTACAGGGACTTTGACCCTCTTGCTGCAATGGTTGTTTAGTTTGGTATTAGATGTCACACCCAGCTTGGTCCTGGAAACCTGACTTGGCTCGGGTGAGCTGTATGCAGTCTGATGGAGTGGTTCTAACTGCTGAAGCAACCCAGAACCCCGGTGCATTTATTAGGAATAGTGTAGGGGCAGGGGCTAGCTAGCCTGATAGGAGGTCCCTGTGGACTAGCACTCTCAGGCTATAAACATCCAGGCGAAGGAAGCTGTAGTTGCTGGTTTTTTGCACACAGTGGTCAATCGGTGCTAATCACTTGCTCTTGAACTACAGGAAAGCCTTGTCTTTCTCAGCCTGATCCACATAGAGAAGGTTTTGCCAACTTCCCATGGGACCCATGTCAACAATACACATCCACCCAGGCCTTCCTCAGCTCTCCACGACTGAGTTTAAAAAGTCACAGTGACCAGGCACTGTGAGCTGCAGTCCTACACACCTGTGAGGCTGCTGGGTACCCAGCCCATCTCTATCATAGATAGGGCTAGAAAAGCCTTTTGGTGTGGTAAGCCTAGGCCTTGAATTCCTGTGTCTCGTCTGTTTACTTCCTATGATGTCATTCTGAATGCTAGGAAAGAGGGAAATATAATACTGATAGGAAATACTTCACATAGGCTAAAGGCACATAATCTAAGAGTATTGATCTAATCCTAAATTTAAAAAGAAAATAAGAAAGAAAAAGAAGTGTTTTTTTTCATGCCTAGGAAATTAAATATGATGGAAATATTTTGAAAGTCTCATGTGGGTTTTCATTTTTGGCATAGGTACCACATGTTGCTCTTTGTATTTATGATTTGACGTTTTAAGTGTGAACTTTCATTTGGTCATTTCCAAAAATAAGTGTATGAATATTTTCGTGGCATTTGCTCTAGATTGTAATGAGTCTTCAGTTTTAAAACAAAACAAAACAAAAACATACTTTTTGAGAATTTAGTGCAATGTTTTTTATCCTTTTTACTCCCAGCTCCTTCTCCAGATCCTTCCTAGACCCTTCTTCTTAGTTTCCAAATTTATGTCCTTTTTTTAATAACTCACTGACTCCAATTTGTGCTGCTCATGCAGTCCTAGCTGTGGGACCTTCCTCTGGAATGTGGTAAACCTGCCAACACATCCTTGAAGAAAACTGACTCTCCCTCCCACAGAAGCCACCAACTGTCCGTAGCTCCTCAGTTAGGGATGGGAGCTCAAGAACCCTTCCTATGCCAAGCTGGAATGTTGACTGGCTTAATCTTGCTTGACCACATCCACTGTGAGCTCATGGGGGCAGCAGGCTTGTCACGTGCAGAAGACACTGTTTCACTCCCATCCCTCCCGGACCTCTGGCTCTTTCTTCCCATTCTCTCTTCTGAGATGGTTCCTAGACTTGAGAAGGAGGTGTGCTAGGGATGTCCCGTTTGCGGCTGAGCAGTCTACTTGGTCTCTGCACTTGGCCAGTTGTGAGTTCTTGCGCTGACTACCAACACGACCTCGCAACAAGACTTCTGTAATGGGGTCTGAGAGCTGTGCTACTCAACAGGCAGACAGATACAACTTTAAGTGGTGGTTTTATATTATGTCCATTTTCACAGAATAATAATAGTAGGTTCCTCCTGGGATCTGTGAGCTCTCCAACCATAGGTTCTTGACCATACTTCCATACCAAGCATGCATTTCCTCCAGGGGAGTGGGCCTTAAATCTGATCAGGAATCGATTGGCTCAGGATGTAATCAGGAATCATTACATTGTTGACCCTGTCCTACCCAAAGACATGTTCTTGCTACACTGGTCTTCATTGCAGCTCATTGCATTCATAGCTGGGTAAACCGTTGACTGAGTCCCTCCCACACCCAGCAGACTAGAAAGCATCTTCCAGTACTTTGAAAGCTACCCAGCAAGGTGGAAACTTCCTGCTCTGTACCAACTTGATTCCTCCGTGTCCTGTGACCAATGCGTGTGGCATCTTCAGCAATAGGTCTGACCATCGAGTTCTGTTGGGCCACCAAGATCAAACTCAATAGCCTGATTGTTTTGGCGAGCTTTGTGACACCTCTGACCAACAGCTTCAAGGGGAGTATCCCTCACTGAGCCTTTTATTTGCAGCCTATGGCTTCTGTGTAGGGTAATACCAAGTAAATTCTTGCATGTGAAAATATGTAGATACTTATTTATATGAAACTTCTATTTTGAAAGTAGGTTTTATATGGCCTTTTTACGCTTCCTGTTATTTTTCTCCCAATTCCTCCTCCGCTCTAGCCTCCCACTCCTCCCCACTTAAATCTCCCATTATTCCTCCTTCCACTTCCATATCGCCTGCCTTCTGCTATCCCCCCTTCCTTAAGATCTTTATTCGCTCTTCCTGAGTCCGTGGCCACAGTCAACATAAATGGATTTAAGATAAAGGATGTTATCTTAAGTCTGGCCACCAACTTAGAATGGAAACTTAATTCCCCATTTTAACCATTGTCGGCTCAGATTTTGCTGCTTAGAGAATCTCTATTTCTTGTGAAGGTCAAAAAAACTTTCCAGGAGTGTCTGGTTCTTCCCTTAATGAAGACGTATTAGAGACTTGGGGGATGGGGTTTTCCTTTCCTCTCACGCATGATCTTTGAATCATTAAATTGTTTCTCTTGGCCAGCTTCCTTTGGAACTTCCAGATTGTTACCTGAGGGCCAGGGCTCAGCGTGGAAAATGCTCACTGTGCAAGCTTGAGGATCCAGAGTCTGAATCCTCAGCATCCATGGAAATTCTGGGTGGGTGTGGCAGCCTGCTTATAATCTCATTGCACCAGAGATAGAGGCAAGCAATCCCTGGCCAGCTAGTCTAGGCCAATCAGCAAACTATGGATTCAGCTGAGTTGGAGAGTGACCAAGGAAGAAAACCAGTGTCAACGTCTGACCTCACACATGCACACAAGTGTGTGCCCACACACTCTCACACATACATACAAACATATATACACCACAGAGAAGGAAAGAGAGGGGGAAGGGAGGGCATAGGGAGGTGGGCAAGCAGAGAGAGAGAGAGAGAGAGAGAGAGAGAGAGAGAGAGAAATCACAGGGGAGAGACCTAGCTGTTGCTTGAACTTAAAGCAAATGCTTTCTGGATACCCCTTAAAGAAAAGCTTACATATTGTGCAACTAGAGTCCCTACCATGGCAACTAAAAGAAGGCACTGAACCGGAAAGAAGGCTTCAGATTGCATTTATTTCTGTTTGTTCGGGATCAGGAAGGATCATCTCCATGACAGAGCCTTACTGTCCTCCTGCCCTCAGCTCTTTTGAGACAACAGTTGTAATCTCAGACTCCCTCAGACACTTAGGTGTCTTCATTTCGCTGAAGCTTGTTTTCTTTCTGACTTTTATGTGTTTCACTTATGTGTTAATAACATTCACACAGCTGCTAAAGTGACCAGCAACACAAAAATGGGGATGGGGGCCTTGAACCCTCCACAGCAGTGCCTGGGAGAGGGATAGAGCCAGAGGCATAATCAACAGGCTGGATTTGTTTCTTTACCTTTCCAAATTTCATACTGGAAATGCTAAAATCTTTTTAGATACTTAGTGTTCTGCCTAATTAAGATTCACATCAGGAGCCGGGCAGTGGTGGCGCATGCCTTTAATCCCAGCACTCGGGAGGCAGAGACAGCCTCCAAAACAATACAGAGAAACCCTGTCTCATAAAAACAAACAAACAAAAAAAACAAAACAAAAAAGAAGATTCACATCAGATTTTAATTTGCACAGAGGCTAACGCCAAAACCGCCACCCTTCTCAGAGCCGCTTAGTTTCTACAAGTCCCTCTTGACTTGTCCTGCTTCCTCCTCCCGCCACTCACATTTAACCAGTTATTAAGTCCTGCCAATTCTAACTTCTAAAACTTACCCGGGCCCCTTCCTATTGTAAAGTGAGGGATCTTTTCCAGGCCTGCTCTAGTTCCTGATACTGGTCTGTTCCGAACCCTTATCAAAATAAGAATAAGGAAAGTAGGATAGTCAAGTCCCAACCAAATAAGGTCCAAGGTTACCCAGCTTGTTGTATAAAGCCGGGGATCAAAATTAGGACTTATTTCTCCAAATAGCAGTATCCTGTTTCTCCTTTAGCTTTTATAGCCTTTTTTTTTTACTTTGACTATATTAACATTTATTTATCATTATGTTTTGGGTTTCCTCGGACTTCATTGTATAAATCATCTTCATACTGAAAACGCTTTAACTGTAAATTTTTTACGCATGAATTGCTTTTAGCTAGCTCTTGTATATACAATTATATCATAAGATGTCTTGACCCAACTAGCACCTTCAAATCACAAATGTTTGTTGATATATGCAGAGGATGGATTGAACTGTGAACTCTATGTGCTCTTGGTGACTCTTTGAAGCCTGCCAAACTCTTTAACTATTTGTCTAATTGCTAAAGCAATTCCTTTTCCATAAGCACCTGATCTTACAATTTGTGTCAATGACACATTCAGTTGTAGGTCTGAAGATGTTGTCACCCCAAATCCACACATTAGGAGAAGAGTCTTGTCAGGAGGGCTTGCTTACGAAGAAAACCCATGGGATGCAGGTGGTCCATCAACAGCAAGGGGACAAATGGGAATAAAATGCCTAATTAACAGAGAGCATCCATCAACTGCCTGCATCCAGCATGGCTGCTGTTTGCTTAGTGGTTTACAAAGCACCGTGTGACCCAGAGAACTGTATAATGACAATCACCTTTGAGCTGTGTGTACTTGAAACCTGTATAAGCAATCGATGGTGTAAAGTTGTTGGTGTGTGTCAGTGAGTAGTCAAAGAGGCTGTCCTTATACAAAGAGCCACCAAATGTGTCCTTTTAAGTACTCCTCAGAAGTGGGGATTTCACAAGCAACTGTGATCTCACAGGTCTGTGGTGAGAAACAAGTACAGAAATGTGTCTGAAAGCCCTTTGCACACGGAAATAAAACGTTTCAGGGAAGCCCGGTGGTCCCAAATCAGCAGCATTACATTGCATCTCGTTCTGGGATTGTCCACTCAGAACTGTAATAGGGAAGGAAAATTTGTGATATGCCTTGGGGAATTTTTATTCTTTTGGTTTTGGTTTTTATGAGATAGGATTTCCCTGTGTAGCTCTGGCTGTCCTGGCACTCGCTCTGTAGACCAGGCTGACCTGGAACTCAGAGATTCACCACTGCCTCCCCCGGTATGTGCCTTGGGGAATTTTCTGATGTGGTCAAATTTCAAACATATGCAATGAACATGCTCCTTTTAAAACCACACTCTAGCAGAACTGTTCTCTGGAAAGCCATTTATGTGCAGAGGAAAACAAAATCAATGACCTGCAAAAGACTTTTTCTTCAGAAAAGTCCCCAGATGGTTCTCACTTCTTTTGTTCTGCAGCGTGACACCTTCCAAACTTCAGTCTCCGCTTCAGGCATATGACCACTGGAGAATAATAAAGAACATAGATGGAATCAGATGCTATCTTAGCCATACTTTAAAGCCAGCCTGTGAGACTTTCTGAGGGACTCTAGAAGCCTGATGAAGGTTAATGAAATCTGATGACTGTACTCTCCCTAATGGCCCTTCTTTCATTGCATAATAACCAGAGTTTTGAAGATACTGAAGCTAAAGAAAAAAGGTGACAGAAATAGATACACGTTAGCTGCTCTATAAAACATGTTTTCAAGAGGACTGTTGTTGGAATAGTACACACCACTTCCCCTGGGGTCCCAGGCATATCTGCATTGTGTTTATTTTCCAGTGCCTCGATGGGGACCAGAGAAAGTTATTAACATGAAAGCTAGATCTGCCACCTCACTGGCCACCAGCTTCTCCCATCTCTGCCCTGTTAAGGCCAGTTCTTCTTGCATAACCCAAATTACCATGTTCTGATTCTCTCTAAACATCTACTCAGGAATCTAGCAGCTCTCTTCCTACTCTTTCTCAAAAGGGCCCGAGGAACGTTGATGCCACGTGGACGCCAGATATGGGCGTGGGGGTAATTGAGATCACAATAAAGGGATGTCAGATATTTATTGGGGAAACACTCACAAATATTAATAAGGTAGAGAGCCGCCGTAGTCTTTTGCCCTGGGGACGCTGGAAGCTGCTCTCAGATCTCTAGCTTCCACCCAAGAGATCAAGCAAGCGTCTCCTCTCTGTTTATCAGTCCACAAGTAGCACCTCAGACCACGCCCTAGGAGCCAGTACCCCAAAAGCTATTGACTGAATGAATTCCCACAATACCACCACCTCAATTCTGTGATCTCCTTTGTCCCGCTACTTACACAAGTGGTTCCAGATATTTCTTTGACCCTGCACTCACTAAAGAAATGGAGGAGAGTTGAATCTCTGTTGAGACAGACATTTTGAGGAAGTAGCTGTCTCTACCACCCATGCTGGACTCATTCTCCTCTGACTTGATCAAGGCTAGGGTCTTTCATTGCTTACATCACAGAAAAGGAATCTTACTCTGTCACCAAATACAGAGTGGACAACTCTTGATGTAAACACTGCTATTCTTGGTTTGAAAGACAGAAACTCGGCTTGTCTCTAGGCACACAGAAGACTTCAGCTTTCAAAGCACATACCCAGTCAATATCTGTGCTCTTTCCACACACAGTATATTATAGCCTGCTCAGATACTGTAGGCCCATATGTGAATCCAACGCTCTTTCTTTTAAAAGTTTTAGAAATTAGCTATCCTAAGATGATTGTTTGGCTTTTAACTCTCTACTGCTTCCTCCCCATCCTGCAGAGATATATACCAGAGATGGGAACTCCTATGGGAGACCTTGCGAATTTCCATTCTTAGTTGGTGAGACATGGCACCATGACTGTATTCGTGATGAAAATCATAGTGGGCCCTGGTGTGCCACTACCTTAAATTATGAATATGATCAAAAGTGGGGCATCTGCTTAAAACCAGGTATGTATGGGCTGGTGAGCTCCAACAGCAAGAAGGGAGTACCTTTTATATGAGGCGGAGGGTGGGGGGAGGAGTTGAAGATGAATTGAAAGTGTCTGCAATAGATGTCATCCTAGACTAGGAACGTGCATTTGCAGGAAGGGGAAGAAGTGTGCAGCTTTGAATTTTGCTTGAGAAGCAGGTCAAGAAGAGAAGCAGGCCAGTTTGTGTCACGGAAAACAAGGAGGGGGAGGGCTAAGGATGTTCATGTGTGTCAGGCAAAAGTGGAAAGGGCATGAGCAGATGGGAAGTTGTCTTCAAGGACATGAGCAGATGGGAAGTTGTCTTCGAAAGACAGTGGGAGAAGAAAGTGGAATGCAACTCGAATAGAAGGAAATCACCTTGGTGCCTTTCATGAAGCAACAGCTACAGATGGGCTGAGAGACCGTATTTAGGATGCAGACTACTTAAAGTGTGTTTGTACCTCAAGTGTATTTGTGGCCTGAAGTCAAGACTGGAAGAGAGGGAGACGCAGATCTTTGACCCTCTTGGAATTAGTGAGAATGTTGGCTCTGCCATGCCCACGTGTTGACAGGAGTATGTTTGCTGGTAGCTTCTTATGAGAAGCACACTGTCCGGGATATAGTAAAGTGTTCTCTCCTCTCTATGGAGGGGGCCAGATCAAAGGAGTGTTCGTGTTATTTTCTGATGTTCTTAGCAAACAGGTGAGAATTACAAAGGATTACAGTAATTGGAGTGTGACAGATGGTTAAGAAATACTAAATGCCAAGTGTGATAGCTAACACTTTTAATCTCAGACAGGAGAATGGTGAGTTTCAGGTCAGCCTGAGCTACAGTAGTGTGAGAACACTGTTTCAAAGAAAAATTCATGACAGTAAATAGGCTGAGAGAACCTATAAAAAAGAGGAAATGAACTTTAGATGTAATAATAGTAAGTAATTAAATGGCCCCTGTCTTAGTTAGGGTTTTTATTGTTGCTACCAAACACCATGATCAAAAAGCAAGTTGAGGAGAAAAGTGTTTATTTGACTTACACTTTCATATTACTGTCCATCACTGAAGGAAGTCAGGACAGGAATTTAAACAGGGCAGGAACCTTGAGGCAGGAGCTGATCAGAGAGCCATGGAGGACTGCTGCTCGAACCGCCTGCCTCTGCCTCCCAAGTGCTGGGATTAAAGGCGTGTGCCACTAATGCCCAGCTTTTTTTTTTTCTGGCTTGCTTTCTTATAGAACCCAGAACTACCAGTCTAGGGATGGCCCCACCCAGATGGGCTGGGCCCTCCGCCATCAATCATTACTTAAGAAAATGCCTTACAGCTGGACTTAAAAATTTTACTTGCTGATCCCAGGTTCTACTCCCTCCCCCTCCCATACCCCCACCTTACACACACACACACCCTTTTGCTTCTCAGAAAGGACCAGGCCTCTCATTGGGAGACAATGAAGTCTGTCCCATCACCACATTGAGACAGGACCAAGGCCTACCCCCTGTGTCTAGGCTGAGCAAGGTATCTCTCTATAGGAAATGAGCTCCAAAAAGTTAGTCCATGCACTAGGGATAGACCCTGTTGTCACTGCCAGTGGCCCCACAAACTGCCCAAGCCATCCACTGTTGCCTGCATTCAGGGAGCCTAGTTGAATCCTATGCAGGTTCCACAGCTTACAGCTAGATCGTATGCAGGCATTTTCTCGGTTGAGGTTTTCTCCCTTCAGAAGACTCTGGCTTGTGCCGAGCTGACATAAAACTATCCAGCATGCCCCTCCAGGTGTCTGGTAACATCTACTGAAAGCCATTCAGTCCCCCATAGTGTCTCTGTGCAAAAGGAACTGCGATCCTCCACATTCACGTAAAAGCACAGTGAGGCAGAGGTGAGTTACATAACTTGGGTAAGATCACAGGGACAGCCAGTGAATCCCATCAGAGCTAGGATTCAGTTCCAAGAAACCTGGCTGTGAAGCTGTTGCTCCAGATGGCTCTATTCTCCTACCCCTGGGAAAAACAGTCCGGTGGTATTGTATGCTGAGAATCTAAGACCACTAAGCATCTGACCAGCTTGAAGAAGTTAGACAGGGCCAGTGATTCCATGCATGGGTGCACCAGGATCAGTTCGAATGTTTGATTCAGTGGCTTTGGGTGGAACCCGAGAAGTCCCACCCAGGTCATGCTAAAGATGCTGGTCTGAGGACCTCTCTTTGAGAGTTGCTTTTTTCCACCAAGGCTCAGTGTTTTTAAACACCTGGGATCTAATTAGAATATAAAAAATACACAATGTTTGCTTCGTCTTGTAATTTATAACAAACAGATTGTGGCTATTCATGTAACTGTTTCATATAATTCTCACTATAGATTGGGACAGAAATTTTTTAGGTGAGAATTTTCTCATGAGAGATAGTGGTCCAGATTGATGGAGACCACATGTATGTGAAGCCTGGTGGAGAGGCCAGTCTTCCTGGTGCTCATTCTCCAGCATATTTACCTACTCTGCCTTGCTGCCTTGACTGAAATGGATCTGTGTTCCTCCTGAGGGGAGGGCCGCACGAATGCATCCATGCATCTACCAGAGTTACGTTTTATGAGAGAAAGCTGAATCCTCAAATCTGAGGACTGCTATGCCATGGAAGTAGTGTGGAATAGCAAACACACCGCCACCCCACTGGAAGCTTCTGGCTTTACAAAGAAGAGGCTTATCACTGACAATAATGAACATGCCCACAGTTCACCCTATTTTAATCCCCACCGAGTGACATGATCATACCTGTTTTCTATGCTGCAGAAGACTGGGTAAATTCAGAAGCCACAGAGGTCCTAATTATATCTCTGCCACAGACACCTGTAGGTCTTTGTCTCCATCTATGCCTTCAGCAGTGGATATCTGAGAGCCTCTCTGGTGTATAGGTTCATGAGTCCATTCAATGTGCACCTAGTGGTAGGGAAGCCTCTTGTTAACCCCTGGGTGGAACTTAAGTCATGTGACCTAGCCTGAACTGGTTTTTCCTTCTCTCTCTCTCTCTCTCTCTCTCTCTCTCTCTCTCTCTCTCTCTCTCTCTCTCTCTCTCTCTCTCTCTCTTTCTCTCTCTCCTTCTCTCTCTCTGTCTCTCTGAGACCAGGTAGGAAATTGAGTACATTTCTGAACTACTTATCTCAAGATCTAGATAACTCAGGGTGCAACTGGAAGGTTCTTTATTTGAAACACAGATCTCTATATCTGTAAAGAATATGCCATGGGCCTGGAGAAACAGCTAAATGAGTAAGAGTGCTTGCTATGCAAACATGAGACCTTGAATTCAAATCCCTGGCACTCAAGTTTAAAACTAAAAAGCCAGATATGGCTGAGGATGCCTGCCAGTAACCCCAGGGTCGTGGAGGGTGAAGACAGGAGGGCTCAGGGCTTGCTGACTGCCAGCTGAGCTTCAGGTTAAGTGACAGATACTGTCTCAGGGGAAGGTGGGGAGTGACAGAGCAAGATACCTGGTGCCTCCCCCTGCCTCTGCTGGCACATGTACATGCTAACACAGACACCTGCAGGCGCATGTGTGCACAGGTACCACGTACACACAGAGATACATACTGTGGACGTTCTGTATCGTACACTTATGTGTATATGCATTTGTAATGTGAGTTCTATAATATTAATTCTATTCATGTATTCAAACATCTATTCAAATATTAAGGAGAAATTTGGACTGAATTTCCAAAATAAAGGAGTCACCATGCTCCATATCTTAGCCATTTAAGCAGCATGACTCTATACACACATGCTTACAGTTCCTTCTCTGCAGGCTGTAGACAAGCCTGTAGACATCTTTGCCAAGTTCTAGTGAGCATGGTTTCCATTGGCTCGGTGTTCCACACCTGTGTTTACTAGACTCCCATATTCAGGCAAAGGGCACAAAAGCACATCAGTAAAAATAAGGCAGTGTTGTTATCAGGGGGTACAGGAAAGGTGGAAAATTTGACCAGCTTGAGCCATTTGGTGTTCTCTGACTTGCATTCCAGTGCATAATGAAAGGGTCAAAATATGGTCCATGCAATGACTGCCTCCGTTTTGGCACATGCTAAGAAAATGTAAATTGAATTGCATATCTTGTAAGCACTCCAAGTAACAGAAAACATGCCCTTATTTTATGATCACTAATTTATCTTTTTATCAACAGAAAGTGGCTGTGAGGGTAACTGGGAAAAGAATGAGCAGATTGGAAGTTGCTACCAATTTAACAACCAGGAAGTTCTTTCCTGGAAAGAAGCTTATGTTTCCTGTCAGAACCAGGGAGCTGACTTACTGAGTATCCACAGTGCTGCCGAACTGGCGTATATTACGGGTAGGTTTAACTTGCACATGGTGGAGCAGATAGCTGGGATTGTAGAGATGCTTCCTGCTTCTACATGTCATATCCCGGCAGGCTCTTTTGATATCTTTTCTCGACTCTCTTAAAATTCAACCTCTATACAGGCATAGATGTGTATGTGTATGCATATATACCTATATAACTTTTCTGGCTGGTCTCTCTTAAAATTTAAACCTTAGCACTGAAGCCTGTAAGAGAGAGAGAGAGAGAGAGAGAGAGAGAGAGAGAGAGAGAGAGAGAGAGAGAAAGAGAGAACGAGAGAAAGAGAGAGAGAAGAATGAATGTAAATATAATAATTGCATGTGTTGAAATGCATCTTGTGATAGAAACTAGAGAGAAACTGATACTTAGAGACATGTATACAGATACAACAGGATGTATATTTGTAAGTATGTATATACATATACATCTATGCATATAACAACAATTAATGGAAAATGAGGCCATGAATTTGAAAGAGAACCATGAGAGGTTTATGGAACAATTTGGAGGGAGGAAAGGAAGTGGTAAATGATGTCATTATAGTATAATCTCAAAAAATAAAAGAGATAATTTTTAAAAAGTTGTAAAGTGAATTAATAACATGGATATGCAGAGTGGATTTTGTTTGGTCTCATTTTGTCTTCAGGATAGTGGAAATTTAAAACATTATATACCTAATTACGTGTATTTATCATATATAGTATATGATATATTATTGTGTATTTATATATAATATATATTATGTATATGAAAATACCATTCCCAAACAGCCTTTGAGTTTGACAATCAGTGGTTAATTGATACTGGGAGTCTATTTCCAGAAATAAATGAAGAGGAAACCTTCCCACGTAAGTCCCACGTAGTCTAAAAGGATTTTCTTTAGACTTTCTGCCTGTCTTGAATCTACCTAGTTTTTTCTTTTGAGTTTTATTGTTGTTGTTAATACATAGAGGGGTGGTAGATCTGGATTTTTTGGACCAGTCTTGTCTCCCATGCCGCTGATCTTCTCGTGATCTGGAACCAGCCAGTTCATCCTAAAACTTCAAAAGAGGAACCCGTAAACCTCAGGGCAGGAACAGTTCCTAGTTTGCCTTCACCCTGAGTTTATTCATTGTGAACTACCTTGAACTGTGCCCCAAGGCCAGGACATCTCCAGGTTAGGGCATTTGAAGCCTTTCTGATATAGTTGAAGAGGTCTTCCTGGGCTTACTCTAGATTAAATTAGTAGCCTTGTCATCTCTCTGTGGAAAGAGGAACAGAAATATGTAGTCAGATCTGACCTGAACAGAGGTCTCAGGTCAGTCCAGATGTGTCTGTCTCACAGTCTATAGAATAGGAGGACATGGGCTGGAGAGACGGCTCAGAGGTTAAGAGCACTGGCTGCTCTTCCAGAGGTCCTGAGTTCAATTCCCAGCAACCACATGGTGGCTCACAACCATCTGTAACAAGATCTGGTGCCCTCCTCTGGCATGCAGGCAGAACACTGTATACTTAATAATAAGTAAATAAAATCTTTAAAAAAAGAATAGGAAGACATATTTGCACATTATATGTCATGAGGTCAATATTCAGAATTTGTAAGGAACTCAAATAACTAAGTTGCAAAATTTGACAAACAATGGGCTATAGACTTAAATAGGCAGTTCTAAAAATCCACAAAGCTAGTCAACAGATAAAGTTTAAAATGCTCAAAATAACTAACCACCAGACAAATAACACACCAATGCCACAGTAAGATTTCACTCCTTCACTACTACAATGGCTGTTATCAAATAATAATAACAAATGCAAATGAGGACAAATAGAACACTTACACACTGTTTAGAGAAGTGTAAAGCAGTGCAGCCATTCCTCAAAACATTAAAAAGAAGACAGCCCAGCAGCTCCTGTGTTAGATGTGCAGCCGAAAGGAAGTGAAAAGGGCATGCTAAGGGGGTACCTACTCTCCCGTGTTTATTGTAGCTCTACTCACAATGACCTACATAAATAGCCAATACCAACCAACATGGATTTCTACCAACCAATGAAATAAAGGCATATATCCACGAAATACTATGAAGCCATAAGAGAAAGAAAAACTGTCACGTGTGACAGTACAGACATTATGTTAAGTGAAATAAGCCAGGCACAGAAAGATGAATACCACAAACTCGCAGTCAGATGTGGAATCTAAAATCTTGATCTTACAGGAACTGAGAGGAGAGGAGTGGGGAAGGAAGGCTGAGGAGAACCCCAGGAGGGAGGAAGTTAAGGAATGGGGAGAGGTTGCTCAGTAGGTACAAAGTAACAGAACTAAATGGTGATGTTCTGTTACACAATGGGGTGGTTAGAGTTGACCATCATACATTGCATATTTCAAAAAAATTGGAAAGGATTTAGAGAGCTCTTTTCACAAAGAAAAGATAAATGTTATCACAAAGAAAAGATAAATGTTAACGTGATTAAGTGTGCCCATTTCCCTAATTTGGTCATTATACAGTGTATCAAAGTATCATACTGTGACCCATAAATACGTACAATTACTATGTGCCCATTAAAAACAGGAAAGAATACCTACCAAAAGAAGGAAAAAGAATACCTACCAAAGTGGACTTCCCCTTTCCTTTAGTCCAATCATCCTCATGATAGCAAAGGTGTCAATCGATACAACCTCAGACTGGTCAAAGTATTACCTGGGAGATAAGTGGAAAAAAAGTTTAGCTCGTGATAGTCCTGACCATACAAGCTGTCTCTGTCCCTTGTATCTATCCAACAAGTTCGCTTAGAACTAACTCGTTTCTCATTGACAGCCACTGAGTTACTGGTACGGTAGAAAACTTTAAATTCTATAATTCCAATGAAGCCAATACAAATTAGCAAGACAATGCAGTAATGAGACAAATTAAGGACTTTAGTTCAAAAGATCACATTATGTGTGTCCTTGCTGCCTGCAGGTAAATGCCAGGGTTATATAAAGCAGAGATTGCTTCCTGGGGAGTTAGGGGGCGGGGATAGCTGGGAAACCTTCACAAGAAGGATGCCCCTGAGTCTGCAGTGGTTAAAGAGATGGGTATTCCTTGGCATCCTGCTTAACCATGGCAAGAAAGTAGAAGTGAAAACAGAAAGCATTCCAAATATCTGGGGACATGGTTAAGGCTAGAGCAGCAGCAATATTCCTTAGTTTCCCAGGCTTCTTCCGGAATGCTGGGAAATCAGCCTCTTACTAGTGATTAAACCTTAAGTGTGTCCTGTAGTAGTGCTAGAGCTGTTGCAGGTGCCTCCTCAAGGCTCCTACACAAACACCCTTTCCTAAACAAAGTGTCTTTGCCGTCTACTTCCTTGAGAAAGATGGAGCAAACCCTGAGTTCCCACCCCACGCTTGCATCTGTATCTGTGGTCCCTCCAGCTTCTCCAAAACTCTTCCTTCTCCCCAAGGTCTTTATGTCTTACCAGCTGTTCTCTCACTTTCAATGTTATCACTACACCGACTCCTTTTCAACTGCCTGCATCCTGTGTAAACATCCACCATTGAAGATTTGCTTAATTCACTCCTGGTCCTGGGAGCCTGCCGCCTCTCTTAACCAAGCTCCTTTGCAACTCCCGAAAAGTCCTGCTTTTGCACTTGGCTTCTAAAGTATTCAGTGAGGTGAAAATTATGTATAACCAAAATTGAAAAGTCCTCATAATCTGGATATGTTTTCTCTCTGTGTAAACCCTGTAATTTATTATATATACATGTAGACATAATGTAATAATGCATTAGAAAAGTTATTAAGTAATTTACAGCTGAAAATACTCTAACAAATTTATAAAGATCCCCATCTTAATGTTTGTCAGCATCCTCTTTGTCATTCATAGACCATTTCATCAATTGCTCTGTCTCTTCTAGTTGGTCTCCAATTAATTTTTCAAATTCTTCCTTTGTGGTTTTGATAGTCTTTCTTTCCAGGGTCATGACCTCCTAGATGGTGGTAAAAATCCTTACAATCATTCTTTCCAGTTTTTCTTCAGTTGTATGGACCCATACAAACATGGGCACATCCATATTTTATATTCATACCAGGTAGCATATGGGTAATTAGACTATTAAAATTATATGTGCTTCCCTGTCCCTTCCCTTCTTTTGTTGATGACTTTGATTGTGAAATAATAAAACTGGATGATACATCTCCCTGACAACAGGGGAGAGAGAGAGACAGAGAGAGAGAGAGACAGAGACAGAGACAGAGAGAGAGAGAGAGAGAGAGAGAGAGAGAGAGAGAGAGAGAGAGGAAATACATAGTGAAACTGTCACTCTGAGAAAGTTCTTGTAACTCAGATGAAAGAGAACTAGACAAGCTATTTGGAAAGCAGAATTGAACAAATTTATTAGACATTTGTTTTCTCAAAAAAATAATGTTTTGTTGTCTAAGGAGCATTCTTCCCTCCAGCCTGGTCCCAGAGCTGCATCAGTCCCAAATGAACACACAGGACTCTATATTAACTACAAAGCCGTTGGCCACCTGCCATGGTTTCCTAATGGCTAGCTCTGACCTAATTATTAACCCATAATTACTAATATATATTTCTATAAGGTCTTATCTTATCAAGGACACAGCCTCATTTTTCCTCTCTTCCCGGGATCACATGGTGACTCTCTACTCTTGACTACTTTTCCCAGAATCCTCCTCAACACATAGTCCCACCTATCTTGCTTCTTTGTTGGCCAACAGTGCTTTATTCAGCAACCAATAGGACAACATACACACAGAAGGACTTCCCCCATCAGTTGTCTCTTAACATGACCTGCCTCTGTTGCCTAGACATCCCCATAGTTGGGTTCTTGCTTCAGTTAAGACCTTGTTTTCTGACTGTCAATAGAAACCTAGTCTGATTTATATAATTTTACCACTATTAAAAATTATATAATTCCATGTGTCTGTGATCTATATGTGTTTCTTGTGTTATTCTGGTTTGTTTGTTTTAGTTTTATCATTATTATTATTATTACTATTTTATATGCCTGTTTATGTGGGTTTGGACAGGTGTGGACGTGGGAGGCATTATCAGAGGGGAAACCATAATCAGAACATATTGTATAAAAGACCTATTTTCAATTTTAAGAATTATATAATTCCTACAGGAAAAGAAGACATTGCTAGAATTGTTTGGATTGGACTGAATCAGCTCTATTCTGCTAGAGGTTGGGAATGGTCAGACTTCAAGCCATTAAAATTTCTTAACTGGGATCCAGGTAAATGCTCATCCTCAATAATGTGTACAGAGTAAAAGCTTCAAAACAAGGAGCTTTCAACTCATCTGGAACTTTTAGAAGTTTCCCGTACTGTCAGATCTCATGGTTGCTTTCTCGGGATCTTTTTATAAGACACTCTTAACTCTGCTGTTATTTTAGCCAAGTTGAACCACACTACCAGCAAAGGAGCTTTTGCTTTAGAGCACCCCTAGTGTTTTGAGCTCAGAATGAGCCAGGCTGTGGTGGTGCATACCTTTAATCCCAGCACTCTGGAGGCAGAGGCCTCTGTGAGTTCGAGGCCTGCTCTGGTCTACAGAGCAAGTTCCAGGATGACCAGGGATTCACAGAGAAAGCCTGTCTCAAAGGAAAAATAAGTACAAAGAACAGAATGAACCCCATATCATAGCCAGGAACCATTCTACATCCCATAGGGTCTTGACTGCCAACGTTGTGTTTAGTCTACAGTTTGCTTTTAATGCTGGAATAGCCCTTTTTAAGTTCTTAGGTTTTTCCCACTATAGCACCTAAACACTAAGAACACAACAGCTGTATCTTATTATACAAATAAATACCTCAATGAAAATACCATCCTGCTTATCCAGAAACTCCTTCTACAAAAGAAAGGATGAGGAACGTTTTGAAAACTGAAATCTTGCTGGGCATTGGTGGCGCATGTGTTTAACCTCTGGAGGCAGAGGTGGCAGGCAGATCTCTGTGAGTTCGGAACCATCTTCAGAGCGAGTTCCAAGACAGCCTCCAAAACAATACAGAGAAACCCTGTCTCGAAAACACAAAAAAGAAAACTGAAATCTAACAAAGGTTAAATCTAAATAACATTAATTAAAAAGTTTTCTACCTATGTAGAGGAGAAATGGATTCAGTACTGTCAAATGACCATGAGGTTTTTGAAAGTTTCTACACCCCTATAAGCCTCTCTGCTGATGCAGCAATCAAAATCAGACCAAATCAAACCAAATTAGAAAAAGGCCACATTTAATGGATACAAGGCTCTCTATGGCCTTCCAGCCCCCCATAGAGGAGACGGGAAAGACAGACCGGAAAAATTCCCGAGTCTGTGTTCTGGAGGACAGTTTAAATACCCTGTGGGAGCAGTCTTGAACATCTCTGGGGTAGGGGTCATCATTTGTCAGACTTTCTGAGATGCAGCAGGGTTTGGAGAGAGAGAGGGAAGCAGGCTTGGGTGGAACTTCCACCGTAACATCCCAGACTCTGGGTATATGGATGCTCTGGGTATATGGGGTAAAGCTTCCACGCTAACAGTTTTCATTAACTAAATCTTATTAGTAAACAAAGTAATACTCCATTATGTCAAATAGACTATGCTGTGCTGTACCACTGAGCTACAGTCCCAGTCCTTAAGGTAATGTTTAGGGCCTTAAAAGGCAGAATCACATGTTAGTATTTCATCTGGTTGTACATATTTACTGTAGAGTAAATTTAATATAGACTGAGGTTCTGGCCACAGGGTGTTTGTCATGAGAGTAGCTCTCTAGGGCAGACTGGTTTGTTTTCTCTGCTGTGAGTCAGCTATCACAGATCAGAATGTTTCTCCTCCATCTTGCGGCTTATAACTTTTCAATTTAGCTGAAAGTTTGAACCATACTGTGAGTTTCCATATAGACATAAAATTATGAATTTGCATTATCTTAAGCACCGCTCTGAGCCTAACCTTGAAAATCTTTCCCTGTCAGGCACACCCAGTGCACCTATGATAGGCGGATCGAGCTGTGCCCGGATGGACACAGAGACGGGGCTGTGGCGAAGTGTGTCCTGTGAGGCTCAGCAGCCCTACGTCTGCAAGAAGCCATTGAACAACACCGTGGAGCTCCCAGGTGTCTGACTCACTTCCTCATATGTGCAAATCAGTCTCAGGGCCAGAGCTTGGTGAAGTCAAGTAAATGCATGCCAGCTACCCTTTTCACCTTCCCTTCACTTGATACGCCAATGTTCTCTCCATTCCCAGAACCCATGCTAAAATGCCATGGTTCTTCATGTTTGAGACCCCGGGGCAGTGCTGGAGGATCCCTAGGCTTGACTGCCTGCCAGTCTAGCTTCATTGATGAGCTTCAGGTTATCTCAAAGGAGGTAGATGGCTTTCCTGAGGATGACACCTGAGGTTGTCCTTCCAGTACACACACACACACACACACACACACACACACACACACACACACACAAGTAAGCAAATTCAAACTGTGTGTGTTGCATGCACGTGAGTGTTCAGGTACATGTGCCCTTGTATACAGCAGAGGCCAAAGGCTCTCACAGTCCAGCTGGCCAGCCAGCTCCTGGTCTCCACCTGTATCAGTCTCCATGCCCAGGTTTTTATAAGGGTGCTCAGATCCTCAGGTTCCCATGCTTACAGAGAAAGAGCTCTTAAACACTGAGAGACCACTCTTACTCAGCCATTTCTCCAGTGCTCTCAATTTCTTATCCAAAAGGAGCATAGAGCAATTTTTTAAAGATTTATTTATTTATTAATACAACATTCTGCTTCCATGTATGTCTGCACGCCAGAAGAGGGCACCAGATCTCATTACAGATGGTTGTGAGCCACCATGTGGTTGCTGGGAATTGAACTCAGGACCTCTGGAAGAGCAGTCAGTACTCTTAACCTCTGAGCCATCTCTTCAGCCCGCAATTTTTTTTTCAAAAGGTTATACAGAATAAGAAACATAGGGAAATAAGGTAATAGGTAGAAATGAACATTTATCTTCCAGGTTACCAAGTATATCCCACACAACAGAAAGCGTAATAGAGATGCTGGCACAAGGGAGAACGTTTAAGAACCAAGAAAGGGCTAAGTAAATACCCTGAAGTAGCCATTATTAAGTAAATCATGGTATTTCCATAAGACAGAATAATATGTATCTATTATAACTGTGCCAGCAGGAAAATACAAAGAACAAAACAAAATGATATGCCTACCTATCATTTTAATTTTGTGAAGCTATGTATTCGTGGAGCCAAAAGCTAGGATATGGGAATGATTGTTTGAGTCCATTTGCATGCAATTTTTCTCTCTGTTCCTTTACCATAATTGAAATATCTCATAGTAATAATGAATGCCATTTAGAGCCTAAGTTAATTGAGTTATCATCTTACAAGTATGAGAGTAATTGAACCTAAATTTCATGTTTGTTAAAAAAAAAACAAATACTCCACAACTTTTTGTACTTATTTTTGCTTGTTTTTACATCCTGACTGCAGGCCCCCTCTATTCCTCCCAGCTCCCCCCATCCACCCTTCCTCTCTTCTCTTCAGAAAAGGGCAGACCTCCCATGAACATCAACCAGCCATGGCATATCAAGTTGCAGAAAGACTAGGCACCTCCCCTTGTAATAAGACTGGCAAGGTAACCCAGTAGGAGGAAAGGGTCCCAAAAGCAGACAACAGAGTCAGAGACAGCCCCTGCTTCCACTGTTAAGAGTCTCACAAGTAGACCAAGCTACGCAACTGTAACATACGTGTGGAGGGCCTAGGTCTGTTACACTCAAGCTCCCCGGTTGTTGGTTCAGTCTCTGTGAGGCCCTATGAGCACAGGGTAGTTGATTCTGTGGGTTTTCTTGTGGTGTCCTTGACCCCTCTGGCTCCTGCAATCCTTCTTCCTTTGTTCTGTGGGTTTCCCTGAGCTCTGCCTAATGTCTGGCTGTGGGTCTCTGCATCTGTTTCCATCAGTTGTTGGAATACTCCACATTTCTAAGATGACTGAGTTTGCTTTTTAAAAAAGAAAGTTCCAGAGGGGATCTGGATACATTGAATAATGAAATACTTTCTAGTTTTGCTAACCAGAGTATTGGAGTATTAGCTGTTTGCCTCTGAAAGATTAGGCTTCCCTTGTGGATATCGACAAGGCCCAGCTGAGACTCACTGCTCTTTCAGAGCCTATGGAGGTGTCTAAAGAGGCCGTTTGTCCCTCCCTTCTCTCCTTGCTACCATCTCTGGAGTGCACACAGAGATCTTACATCTCTGCCTGCTCTGTGTTCAACAGTTCCTGTTACTATGCATCCAGCTGTTAATCTGGTCACACACGAAAAGGAGATTTGACCCCTCCCAATCTCAGAGCCATGGGTGGGGGTGACCTTCCAAATCTCAGACCTGGAAAATGTTGGCAGCATCTGGCTTACCCCACACCTGTCTTCCACCTCTGAAGACTAAAGCCATTCCCTTCCCTGCCCCTTAAACAGTCTCGTCCAGTCACAAAGCATATGCGTTTCAGTAAGCACATTTCATACCTGAATCTCTGCAGGAATTTTCATGATGTCAGATACACAGTAAGCTCAGCATAAAATTCATGTCACCCTGATAGCTGACGTCATGTCTCCCAGTTTTCCAGAAGCCTTGTGAGTCAAGAAAGAAATTTTTGCACTGTTGTTGATTCAAAATACATCAGTCTTTACTGGCATATAAATCTCTGCTTTCCCCCCAGATGTTTGGACATACTCAGATACCCATTGTGATGTGGGCTGGCTGCCACAGAATGGATTTTGCTATCTGCTGGCAAATGAAAGTGGTCCCTGGGATGCTGCGCATTTGAAATGCAAAGCCTTCGGAGGTGACCTCATCAGCATTCATTCCTTAGCAGATGTTGAGGTGGTTGTCACAAAACTCCATAGTGGGGGTGAGTATTTTGTTTTATTTTAAACTTCTCATTTTAGGGGTTTAAAACATTTCAGACCTCCCTGTTTTCAGACTCCTGGTGGGGAATGAGAGTCTTTTAGCCTGTCCCTTGATCAGCACATCTGGAGATGGGGGTGTGGGAGGTGTTCAGCAGAAACAGACTTGTCCTGGGCCTGCCTTGTCCAATGCTGTAGCTACCACGTGGCTTTTGAACTCTTGAAAGGTAGTTAGGAAGAATGAGGAGCTGAAGTTTAATTTAGTTTAACTTGAGTTTAATTTTCATTTCTTTGCATTACAGTTTAAATAGCTCCTGCTGCCCAGCGGCCTCTATTTAATCAGAAGCTGTCCCCTTCCCACAATTATGCTAAACCTTATTTAAGTTCTTCTAGGAATTGGTTGGATGATCCTTTCACTTTTGTAATTATCTGAAACACGGCTGATAAACAAAGACATCCTAGACTGCTTGTATTCTGCCCTCTTCCTAGATTCAGGCTGCTGGAGGTGCCTGCTCTGTGTCAGCATGGTGCTAATTGTGTTCCACGTGAATACAGTAGTCATTTCAGAGCAGCCGCAGACATTAACTATTTCTAATTAGAAGATCTCTGGTTGTATTTGTAGAGTTTCACTAATAATCATAAAGCAGAGTTTATACAGTGATATTACAGGCCTTCAAGACTCCCCCATGAACACCACGCAGCTCTTAAAACCACATTGTCAGAACATACATGTTATAGCATACAACGGAGCAAAACTCAGCAAACAAAGCATTTTTCTTTTAGATGTCAAAGAAGAAATATGGACAGGCCTCAGGAACGTAAACAGCCCCACTTTGTTCCAGTGGTCAGATGGTACGGAAGTTACTCTAACATACTGGAATGAGAATGAGCCCAGCGTTCCCTACAATAAGACTCCCAACTGTGTTTCCTACTTAGGAAAGGTAGGACACCTCCCGAGGCTTATTTATAGTCCTTTTGTTAGAGCTAATAATAATAACATTGTGCTAGGAATTTGAGCTGGGAAGGAAAAGGTGAAATCCTGTCGATTGTCATTCTGATAGCTACTGAGTGGAGGGTAAATAAAGGCAATTGCTGAGTAAGCAGTCTGCTCTCCCTCTGGGCACTCACTTCCGGGCTAGAGAAGACACGCAGGCGCTTTAGAGCTCTTGTGTCAGACTGTCCCCAGGGTCCTAGTCTCCCTTAGCTTTTCTGCTCATTATGCTTGATACCTGGCAACTAACCACAGTTAGTCTAGAAGGTTCCATCTTTCAGTGCTCTGATTAAGTGTTGAATTAATCATAATTTGTGGCTAATTGGAAAACGCGTTTCAGCATTTCAACTTTAAATGGTTTGCAACATTTTAATTTTTAAGTTATATAAGATATTATATTTGTCCAGAAAACTATTGTTAGGGAAGCGCGTGGGGGACCTTGGTAGATTGCATGTCAGGCGAGGTTGTCCGAAACAGAAGGACAAACATGCCAGATAGACAAGAGCTTAAGTGAGTAGTTTTATTAGAAGGGGGGGAGGGTAGGTAAAGAGACACAGACAGAGATAGGACAGAAGAGAAGAGGGAGACAGGAAAAGTCCTGTCTGCTCCAGGGGAACAGAGGGAAAGAGCATAAGTGGGCGAGTGTCTCTCTTTTGAAGGGGTCCTTTGCACCTGGGCTGACCAGGGTACTGCCTGAGTACATTCTGTCAGGTGTCAGGGGCAGGCCAGCATAATGCCTGAGTCCTTACAACTATCTTTTTCCGAGATGGATGGCCTGCTAAACACTTGTTGAACACACTTTGGTTTGGAGCCTAAAATAGGCTGTGTGTGGCACAAAAGGGCTTGCACCTCTTTTATTTTTGTTTGGACCGCCTTCCTATGGGCAGCTCTCTCCTGGTACTGAGGGTGACCGTCACCCAGACGTCTAGAGAGACTTTAAATGGAAGCAACAAATTCTGGGCGTATTTAGAACTGTTTCAGTTGTGAAGGTGTGTTTTAGAAGGTGTCACGCTAGGTGGCCTACTCTGAAAGCTAAGATGTCTCAGAACGTTGTCAAAAGTGGAAGCGAGGAGTGAACAGAAGGCATAGATGGCTCCACAGCCTCATCAAGGTCAAGCCACTAACATTTCATTTCGGGAAGCAATGCAACCTAGTCAACTCAGCAAAATTAATTTTATGTAGCGTGTTTGGAAGCGACAATTTAGGCGTCTAGACTGGAGTTGAATTAAAAGAAACTTTGACCCTAGACTTCTTGAGTAGTAGCTCGCAAACCCACCATCATCCTATGCATATCACAGAATTTAGTCTGTGAACGAACTGCAGCCGAGTCACAGGGAAGTCACTAGAACCCTGGCAGCTGCGGGAGGTGCTATTCTCTATTCAACTTCTTGACTAAATATGCTTTGGTGAGGTTTCATTGTCAAGCTTCTGAGAACAGGAGTGTGTGTATTCTGTGACCTGGGGAGCACAGACTGAGCCCCTGCCTTTCCTGGCCTTCCACAGTTAGTATGATTTAATACTAAGTAATATTTGGCAAATATTTCCTTTGGCAAGAATTTATTTTTTCTTTTTTAAAAGTTAGGCCAGTGGAAAGTCCAGTCCTGTGAAAAGAAACTCAGATATGTATGCAAGAAAAAGGGAGAGATAACTAATGATACAAGATCTGACAAGCTGTGTCCTCCCGATGAGGTGAGTAAATCGCAAACTGTGAATTTCCCTAAGGGGAATTACCTCTCTGTAGTCAAAGATGATATTTGAAGTTTAAACCATTCAAACCTGGAAAGTAAAAGTACTGATTTCTGTTCATTTATTTGAGAAAAAGTGAGAAGGAAGAGAATTCTAACACATTGGTGTTCTTACAGAAAGACAAATCCATGAATTTCTACAATTATGCAAATATGGCTGCTATCCTCATTATTGGTAGTTTTCCTCCAATGACAGTACTCTTACTGAAAAATAATTCAACTAACAGCTGCAGTAAGTGAGTCAGTACAAAAGACAAAGAAGATTATGCCACACCTCAGTCATGAAGAGGTGATCTGCGAAGCTGAGTTCCACCCTTATCAAATGAATAATCACGTCCTCCCCCTCCTCAGGTTGTATGATTCTGTCAGAGGAACAGAACCCCGCTTGCCTGAGGGGGACATCATTGAGTATCAAACACTGTGATGATATTCCTCCTCTGATTTAGGGCTGGAAGAGACATGGAGAAACCTGTTACAAAATTTATGAGAACGAGGTCCCTTTCGGAACGAACTGCAATCTAACCATCACTAGCAGGTATGACCATCAGTACACAGCAAACTTTCAGCTGAGTTTGCCTAAACAATTTCCTGGGGGTGGGAGGGGCTTTTTGTTTCAAATACTGTGAGACGTTTGCTAGATTGGGTCATCTTTCGGTAGGTTTGAACAGGAATTCTTGAATGACATGATGAAGAAGTATGACAAGTCCTTCCAAAAGTACTTCTGGACCGGCCTGAGAGATGCCGATGCCCGAGGAGAGTACAGCTGGGCCGCCACTGGTGGGCTAAAGCAGGCTATGACCTTTTCCAACTGGAATTTTCTCCAGCCAGGTGAGTGTTTTACTTAGGGTTGATAACAATGCTTCCGGACAGAGCTAATGAGGACGGAGTTGCTGTAACACTAGCCACAGTTGCTCTTTGCCCAGTCTGCAAAGCTTGCTTGTGTCTGTCTATTCAGGTTGCCCAGGAGACACAGGTAGCCAAAAGGCACTAGGGACAGAGACAAGCAGCCACTGAAAGAGTGACTCACAGGAGGGCATTACTGGACATTGTGCCAAGTCTACCTGTGATTCTCACTTTATGATTTTTTTTTCAAAAATTCCTTGTTCTAAGGTGAGAGGTGGTGTGGGGAGCTTGGAGAAGAAGAAGCTGTGTGTGTGCTTGGGATCCAATAACTGTCCTAAATGCTAACTCATTAAAGATTGTTCCACACATGCCAACTGATGAAGTGGGGGGGGGGGGCAGAACATTCATAGAGAAGGATAAAAGAGAGAGAAAGAAAAGGTACAGGCTCAGCTGGCCTTGGTGCGCACACCTTTGATCCCAGCACTCAGAACGAAGAGGCAGGTAGATCCTTGAATTTGAGGCCAACCTGGTCAGCATAATGAGTGCCAGGTATCCAGAGCTACATGGAGAAGAACAAGAGGGCACAGGCTCAGTACACACACACACCTGAGAAATCCATGGTAAAACAAAAGTGACAACAGCAGTGAGTTCTGCATGAAGTCCTATCAACGGGGCACCACAGTACAACACTTACCTCCTGGCAAGGTTTGAGAGAGGAGGCCACCATCCCTGCTGCCTTAGCTTTAAGAGATTTGAAGGGGGTGTCATGGAGAATGCCAACAAAAGAATGCTAACTACAGTGTGAGGAAACTCTGGTTTTGTATTAAGATACTGCTTAATTTCTAAGAAACAAAGTGGTGGACCAGGAAGTAGTGAAACATGATGTCCCTCCCGTCACCTGTATTTAGGTATAAGGGAGTTGGTGATCTTCAGAACTGGAGTCTATGGAGATAGAAACAGTGCCTCTGTCCACTCCATTAAGTCCAGTGCTTTCCAAAGCCAATGTCTGACCACCCAGAGCAGCCCCACGTGTGTGAGGGCTGGTTTTTCGTTTTGCTTTTGGGTTTTTTGTTTGCCTTTTTTCTTATGTGTTGGGGGTGGGGTTTGAGGTTTTGTTTTTCCCTCTTTTTAAAGGTAAGTCTCAAATAAAATCTAGGTGTTTCCTGTGAACTATTTTACACTTTTCTCTCTCTGTCACCTAACTTCATCCTGTAGGACTAAAGGTTTTTTGTATTAGTATCAGTGAGAAGAAATTAGGAATGCAGTATAAAGTAGCATTTATTTCAGAAGTTAGTTCATTTTTCTCTAAACATCCTCATGCCTAGATCATGATTTGCCATGGAAACCAGGATTTGGTGTAGAAGAGCCTGGGAAGTCCCGACTGATTTTAGAGCTGAGATAATAGAGGCCTCAGAGATTTATTTAACAAAATATATTATTATAGTTTGTTATTGAATTAGTAAAATCCAGACCATCCAACTTCCAAGCCAGTCCTGTTTAGATCTGGCTTTGAGTAAGCTAGAGGTCCTAAGTTACTCTAAATTTCTCTCTTTAAATGTTTGATATTTTCTTGAATGATCTTATATAAAGTGATCCTTATCATAGAAACTAGACTGTGTGGTCTTATACTAGGACACAGTATTTTAAATAGAGAACCTCCACAAAATTTGTGACTCATGATCATCACTTCCAGTGTGAGTAGCATTAATAATAACAACATTATCTTTCTGCTTAGAGAAGGTAGAATATGTATGCTAATTCTCATTAAATATCACTTAAATTAGCAATATTCTAATAGGAAGATATAGACTTCTTGATGGCATATGTCTGTAATCTAAGCACTTAGTCCTGAGGCAGGAAGACCACAGGATTGAAGCCAGCCTGGACTGTATAGCAAGAACTTGTCTTTTGTTTTGTTTTTGGTTTGGTTTTTCAAGACAGGATTTCTCTGGCTAGCACTGGCTGTCCTAGGCCTGTCTGTAGGCCAGGCTGGCCTCAAACTCACAATCTGCCTGCCTCTGCCTCCTGAGTGCTGGGATTGGATTAAAGGCGTACACCACCATCAACTGGCTAAACATTGGAAGTTAGAATTTTTAACTAACTTTCGCACTTCAACCCTAGCATCCCCAGGTGGGTGCGTGGCTATGTCTACTGGAAAGACCCTTGGCAGGTGGGAAGTGAAAAGCTGCAGAAGTTTCAGAGCACTTTCAATATGCAAGAAGATGAGTGGACCCCAGGAGCCCGAGGAAGCAACCCCAAAGCCGGATGAGCCATGTCCCGAAGGCTGGCACACTTTCCCCTCCAACCTTTCTTGTTATAAGGTAAAGTAGCATTCTCATTCTGTCCTTCTCCTGTTCTGGTTCATGTTATTGTACAAATTATGTTCTTCCCTGTGAGCACACAGAGCCTAACATAAGTGTTTGGGAGCATGAGGTTCTTAGCAAAGCACAGGGCTCTGGTATCAGACAGCTCAACCTACATTCTACCCATGTCTTACCCTCAAAAGTAAGACCAAAGCCAGAGTGACCTTTCTCCCATGGTTCTTTCCTTCTGAGAAGCTTGGTGACCTGTGACATGATGCAATCATGTATAGGATTCTCAAAGACCCCTAATTCTTCTTACTGAATTAAGATTCCTTCTTGTATGTTAAAAACATAGCTGGTCAATGGTGGCTCATGTCGTTAATCCCACCACTTGGGAGACAGGGAGGGGAGTGTGGGGGTGGGCAGGCAGATCTCAATGAGTTCAAGACCAGCCTGGTCTACAAAGTGAGTTCCAGGACAGCTGGAACTGTTACACAGAGAAACCCTGTCTTGAAAAACCAATAGTAATAATAAAAAAATAATAATTTGGGGTCTGTGTCTTATTTAGGGTTTTCATAGCTGTGAAGAGACACCACGACCACAGAAACTATTATAAAGGAAACATTTAATTGGGGTGGCTTACTTACAGTTTCAGAATTCAGTCCGTTATCATCATGACAGGAAGTATGGCGGCATGCAGGCAAAGGTGGTGTTGGAGTATGAAGGCGGGGTTTAAATGAGTCTAGCAGACCCAAGATAAATAATAAGTAGGTATTGATTAGGGAGTAAATAACCGCCATGGTCTTCCTGCTCCAGAAGATGCAGTCTCTGCCCTTCCAATGCTCTCAGCCATCCAAGAGAGCAGAAGCCAGCCTCTCCTCTACCTTATAATGGGTCATGTTTGCACCCAAAACCATGCCCAAGGGGTGTGGCCACCACTACAAGTTCACTGGTAAGGCAAGATACCACTACAGGAATAACATCATGCAGGCAACAGTAAGTTTACTGAGACACTGGGAGGTATCCTGAGCATAGGAAATCTCAAAGCCTGCCTTCACAGTGACACACTTTCTTCCAACAAGGCCATACCCACTTCAACAAAGCCACACCTCCTTATAGTGCTACTCCCTATGAGATTATGGGGGCCAATTACATTCAAACTACCACAGTCTGTAACATTCATCTAGTTCTATAAAACTGTTCAGTACCACTCCCAAACTCCATGGCGATTACATTTGGTTTCACATTCATAGATCTCTGGTTCAGTTAGGGCTTGACTGATTGGCTGTGACTTCTTCCAGCTGCTGGGTGGTAGACTCTGACCTGGTGTTTGTTACCCTTCACTCTGGGGCTCAGGTTGTTTTGCTCATAGTAAATTGCTATTGCCCAAGAAGGCAAGCGCAACCAAGTTGATGCATTTCAGGCCTCTGCTCACTTCACTGCCACTAACTACAGGGCCAAGCCCCTTGTAACAGTGAAGAGAGGCATGTTCCTCCCACCTGGAGGCTTGAGTGTGTGTGACTACATTACAGAGAACTGAAGAATCGGGCCGGCAATCAGATAACTGGTTTTATCTTCTCTCCCTGCTTCCCTGCTTCTTTCTCTTCTTTGAAATAGCTAGGGCCCTTTTGGCATAGAGTTAATCATCACAAATCAAAGAAACAGTCATAAGTGCCAGGTTTTGATTTGGCACGGCCTGCCGATGTTCACACACCCATATAGGTAGTTCTTTGATTGTTCTTAAACAGAAAAAAGCCCTGCTCTGCAGACTCCTATGTCTGATGCTCAGAATCACACCATTGGTGCATTTCTTTGCACATTGCAACTTCCAGAGTTCAACCTTGTTTTTCCCTGTTCAACCTTGACCCTTGGTGCACTTTCTCATCAAGGCCCTAGGAATGTACTTGTTGGAGCAGTTGTCCAGCCTGGCTGGGGAAGGCCACTCACTTGGTGACGATGGCCATCACTGTGTGGGTCTTTAGTTCATTCGGGGCAGGACTTGCCTTGTCTGCTGTATGTGCATTTAGTTATGCTTGTATTACACCTGAAAGAATTCACACCAGGGATTCCAAACCTTTGACTGCAATTGAAGGAAGCTGTGAATGGTTCATGATTATGTTCCAGAAGAATAATATTCTGCTTCTCATTAAGGTGTTCCACATAGAAAGAACTGTAAGAAGGAGGACCTGGGAAGAGGCTGAAAGATTCTGCCAAGCGCTTGGAGCACACCTCCCCAGCTTCAGCCACATGAATGAAGTAAAGGAGTTCCTGCATTTGTTACAGGACCAGTTCAGGTAATGTTTCCACAATGAGTGCTGTCGCCCTAAGTCTGGTGTCTTCTAGGTGTCCAGGTTAGCATCGGAAAAGCCCCCATACACACTCACGCACCCTTATTGCAAAATACCATGAGAAATTCAACTCCACCCTTTGTGTAGCACATACCTATAGAAAAGTGTGGCAAATGGCTGGGCGGTGGTGGCACACGCCTTTAATCCCAGCACTGGGGAGGCAGAGGCAGGCGGGTCTCTGTGAGTTCGAGGCCGGGGTGGACCGACAGCCTCCAAAACAATACAGAGAAACCCTGTCTCGTAAAACCAAAAAAAAAAAAAAAAAAAAAGAAAAAAAAAAAAAGAAAAGTGTGGCAAAAAATACAGGGCAAAGATAAGGAGAGTCATGGACGGAGCCAGAGGGGGAGTGTTTCTGGTGTGATCAGGGCACATGTCATGAAGGAGGCTGAGTTTTAGGAGGTAGACTGTTTCAAGAAGTGAGACAGGAATAGAGGACAGAGAGCACAAAATATCAGCAGAGGAATGAGAACAGAAAAGACAACCGAGGAGGAGAGAGCCATGCAACAGAAAGTGAGGTTGTATGAAAATGGAATATCCTTGCTAATCAGGGAAGAAGTTTGACCTTAGGAAAAAAATCAAAGTCTCCAAATAATTTCAATGGTGGAAAGGTTAATTGTTGTAAACCACCTATGTTCCTGTAAACACACATGTGTACAATTGCACACACAGGGGCAGGGTGTGGATCGATGGCAGCATGCTTGCCTAGAGTCTGTGAGGCTCCAAGTTCTATCCCCAGGAATGCAAAACTAAATCAACAGGAATATGAAGAGCAGGTTTGTAGATACTCTCAGGGAACTAGTTAGAAATTTGCTGCTACGACTGCCCCTGTAGAAAGCCATCTGAAATAAGGACAGTAAGAAAGGAAACTGGGAAGTTACCAAAGTGGTTGTAGTGTTAGTGTGGAAGGCTCTTCTGATGTCCCTCAAGACAATATAGAAAATCACAGGTCAGCTGAAGCTTTCCATATAACCATAGGGATTAGGGGCTTTGACGTCACAAACTTACTTCTCCTTCACTTTTCTGAAGACTACGGGTGTTTAATCAAGGTGTACTATGATAAATGACTTTTCAAAAAGAAACACATAAATATATCTTTATGGCTATTTTCTCTATGATTCTGAAGCCAACAAAAATCCCTTTCCCCAAAATAAAAGTTTATTAGAAGAATGAGGACAATCTAACTAGCCTTGTTCCTTTGGACACTATTAAATATAAAGATCTATGTGAAGACTGGCCTCTAAGGCACAGATAGGAGGTGCTTGCAATGTGTTTAGATGCCACTTAACTTCATTTTTGAAGAGATTGAACTGAACAATGTATATCCCATCCTTTGAAAAAACATGTCACAGACATACCCTAGCTCAGATGTGAATTTAAAAATGAAGAACACATAGAATAAGTAGTTAATTATAAAAGGATTCAAAGCAAGAATATAGTATAATCCCAAGTCTTGATAGTTTGTGTGTGTCATTACAAGAACAGAATAGAATGATCCTAAATCTTAAAAGAGAAAAACACACTAACAGAGAACTTTAGGGGCTGTAGAGATGGCTCAGCAGGGAAAGCACTTGCCACGCATGCCTGATGGTTTGAGTTCCAGCCAGAAGGCATTTAAAAAGCCAGACGCCGTGACACACATCACAGCTCTCCTGTGGTAAGATGGGAGGTAGAAACTGGAGAAATGCTGGGAGCTTGTGCGAGTCCAGAATGTGCAGTGTACCAGAAACAAGGAAGACCCTGACCCGGCAGGGTCAAAGGAGAGGACTGAGTCTTGAGAGTTGTTCTCTGACTTACACACAGGCACTACCCATCACAGGGATGTGCCCCCCCCCAGGTTTTTTCTTTTTAATCTTAAAAGAAATACTTTAATAAATAATCAGGTTTTAAACACTCTTCTGAGTAAAATCTTGAATGTGGAAACATAATATAGTTGTGAAAGCATGAAGGTACAATAAATTACTTTATCTGGCAATCCTATTTTAGAAACACAGATCTATAAATATTAAAAGTTTAACATCCAGTAGAGTTTAAAAGTCTATGCCCATAAATCAGAAGCAGAAGGGAAAAGAGCAGTGCAGTGTCCATGTAGAGAATTAGAAAGAAATGAAATAACGAAAGATTAATCTGGCATAAAATACGTTGGCTATGGCCCAATTTGTGCATTATCAATTTTGATTAAGTCCAAGTCTACAAATTTGTCCAGTAATGAAATCCAATTCTATTTTGCTAAAACATACATGAAACAAATCTGGCCATTAGTTCCTGTCCAGCCTCGAGATTATGATGTTTCCATCATGGATGGAAAGAAACACATATGCTTTCAAATGGTGCATTTCAGTAACAGACCTCTTAAAAGCTAGGAGATGTGGTGATTTTTGTGTACAAAGTACTGAATAGTGATTCACTGACACAGGTGTCACTCTGTTTGCCATGTCCCTGGCTTATTATGCTTTGGTCCTTTTTGCTTGCCTGTGCTATCTCTGTGGTCATCCCATTTTAACTCAAATAGAGAAAAATTAATGACCACAAGCTAGAGATTGTGATGAGATTCTCATAATAGGCACTAAAACTGCATCTAGAAAAATTCCTAATTGATTTCTGGTTTACCATATAAATACATCATATATTTGATGTGTTTAATTAATATATAATTATTTATTACATTGGAAGTATAATGCTCAAGTCAGTATCTGTCGTAATTAACAAGGGAACATTTTTTCAGTGCTCTCTCATAATAAAAGAAACAGGAAAGGATGTCTATTACTTCCACACATATATTAATATATATCAGGGTAGAAAATGTTATGTGTAAACATACTGTCTTAAGTGGAGAAAAGGAAGATCATAAAAAATTTTAAAATATACTATACACATTGAAAACTCGACTGTAAAATACACAGAAATAATCAATGAGTATTACATCTAGCAAGCAAGATTTTGAGTGATTTTTAAAATATCCTATTAGAAATTTTTTGCCATATTTTACAGGTTTGCTTTATCATAGTGAATCATAAACACTATGTATTTTCTTCTTAAAGTAGGCATGGTGGTGCCCTCTGGCAATCCATCCTATCATTAGGGATATAGAGACAAAAGGATCAGGAGTTCAAGGTCATCTTTGGCTACTCTGGGAGTTTGAAGATCGAACCCTGTTTCTCATGCATTAGCAAGCATTCTACCATTGAGCTATGCCCCAGCCCTCCTCACTTTTCTTTTGAGACAAGAGTCTCATGTAGCCCAGGCTAGCCTCATTGATTATCTAAAACAATACTAAAACTATACTTGATGTAAAATATAGTACCTGTCTTTTATAAGTATCTCTGTGTTGGACATCTATTGTAGGATTTCAGGTGTTCTAGACTTCATCATCTCGTGTCAGGCCTAAACTAATTTGAATGTACTTGTTCTTAGATTCTTCCTCATGGGCTTGAGAGTAGATCATAGTGATTACAAAATTCAGACCCAATCTTTCTGTGCTTACAGTCATTTGTTACACAGACATGTGTTGAAGCAGCCACGGCATATTCCACACAGTCTACTTCATAAGCTTGAAATAACTTGTCCCAGAAATCTGCCATTGAGGATTTTGAGGCATGTTGCAGGCTCACATGAGGCAGATATGACAAGGACAGAATTTTGTTCTCATGATAATTCCTATCAGGCTGTCATTATCAGCTGACCTAGCACCTGGACCTGATAGGTGCCATATCTAAGATAGTGGCCTTTTAATGAAAGGTAAGATTCCTGAGTATTTTAACCAGTCCTTGTATTTGTTTCACCCACCAAAGCTCTTTTCTGAGATCATGCTGATTAGCAAACTTCTAAATTTTGCTGATAAACTGTTTATGACTTTGAGCAGAGACCAAAGCCTCTGGTATACCACAGACTCAAAGAGATCCTTGCCATAGCTGCCTTTGGGGCATGGCCCTTGAAATACACTGCCAATCTTAGCTGAAGTTTAGATTTTTGAACAAGCCAATCTAATAAGATTACAAGCTTCAAACACGTGTGTGTGTGTGTGTATGTGTGTGTGTGTGTGTGTGTGTGTGTATGTGTGTGTGGCATCCTTAGAAAATATTTATATTTATGGAACAAACTCGCAATCCTATACAAGCAGTTATTATCTCTGATTGGAACAAGAAGCCACGGGTAAGTACTGAGCAATATATCTGCAGATATTTGAGGGCATTAATTAATAGAAAAACGTCACAGCCTATAGGGTAGAAGTGGTCATTAAGAACATCTGTGAACAGAGTGGATTACATGAGGAGACAAACCTGTGTGAAAAGTAGCTACTTTACGTTCACCTTAAAAACTGATACGAGTTCATATATAAAACTTGGAACGTATATAAAAAGTAAAGAAAAGATGAAAACTGTTGCAAATATTACTTATAGGCAACATTTTGTGGAGATATTTTCAATTTTCTTCCATTCCTCTACACATTTTCATTAAAATTATCTGAAGAGTATAGTATTCACATTTTTTGTTTACAAAAGTAATTCATATTGAAGTTAGAAAAGTTGAAAATGTAAAAAAAAAAAAAAAAAACCAAACTCCGTAACGCCTTCATCTGTAGGAACTGTATTTTATTTGTACATGCATGCCAGCAGGCCAGCAAAAGGCTGTACAGACTGTGCTATCTGATTAGTCTGCATTATAAAGCAATTGTTTGCCTGGACTGTACTCAGAAAAAGAAGATACTTTAAAACCAAGATTGCCACAATGATTTAAAGGAAAGGAAGGAAGCAGAGTCATTTATACTGGAAAGTGATTATGAGGTTTACCCTTAAATGTGTTGCTTTTATTCCTGGAATTGACCTTCTCAGCAAGAAGCCTACTGACCACCACAAATTCGTATCGCTTGCCACGGGAATTAAGACTGATGGCTGCTCTATTTCTCACAGTCTAGGTTCCATTCTGTTTGTATTTCAGTAAGAAAGGACTCATGATACACCAACTCATTGAGGCTCTTAGATCATTGCAAGTCTTAATGTATCCCAACGGGAAGCCATTGTGGAGCAAAAACAGTCCGTGGATTAGAGAAGAAAGCCTTGTTTGCAGCCATCGCTGCTGTGTACACGCCCTCCCGTGAAGAGGCATGAATGGCTTTAGATATAAACCTAGGGTTTGCAGACTAAGAGCCCTCATTAAGTAGTATTTATTTGGGGTTGTGGCTGAGCTACTGCTTTCCTTCGAAACCAAGTGCTGCAGGAAATTGGACTGACAATCAGAATTTTAACACACTTACACCTGCTAACCTTTTGTGTGGTGTCCACTAATAGCCTTAACACCATCCCCTTGGTGAGTGGAGTAGAAATGGTTTAGAAAGGAAATGGGAAGGTGCCGTTTTGATCTGACTCCCCAGTATGATCAGGAACATTTTTCCCCCTCCAGCCTTCTTGAATTCTGCACTAGAGGTGTGCAGTGAATGGTGTGGTTCCTGGCTTATTCCCTCCTTTATCTGGCGTCCGTCAAGGAAGGTCACATTCAGAACAGGTTGTAACTCAGAGATTATTTTTTCCTCTACTCCCTGCTCCCCCCCGCCACCATCAGTACCTACTACTCTCTGTATTTATGACATTCTGGGGAATTCCTGAGAAGATGCTGAATCCTAAATTCAGGGTTGAAACAGAGTTCATTCTCTGAGAGGAGCAACCCTTTCTATAAGAAACTGCCCTCTGAGCTTCAGCATAGCGCTCAGGAATGAACTTTAAAGTAGAGAAGTTTGTCAGCAGAACAGGGAGCCGCTGGCTAAGAGGAGACAAGGGGGGGGGCAGCTAGAAAGGGTGGGGCAGACCTCTGCAAAGGCTGGGCATATTGGGTAGCTGCTTGAGTCTAGGCCATAGGTGATCTTTGGTCTTTCTTCCCAAATGGATAACAAACAGTTACTAAATAAGATAAATATTCTAAAGCTTATGTTAGGGAATTTCCTACACCCAAGTATGTAATAAGCAAAAACTTGTAAGAAAAAGTTACATCACCACATGAGTTTGATGAAGGAAACTTAACCCACATGGTCTTAGCAACCTAGCTTAAGGATGACCTGTGTATAGAAACTGTCTAGACCTCTGGGTTTAGGGAAGTGTGATCCAGCAGGAAGCCTGTGAGAGAGCTAGCTGTCAGCCAAATAAGTAGCTGAAAATTGCAAATCCCTTATAGCTACTGAATTTAAACTGGAATTAATTATCTCTACTGGGTTTATCTAGTCCTCAAGTCGGTGATTACTCTCTACAAATATAACGTAATATTGGAAACATAAGAGGAGAATTCTCATATTCTCTAGGCTAAACAAGTTGAACAGATCAGAAAATACTGACTGATATTAAACCGTTGGAGAATGTTGATAAAAGGGAAGCATGTGTTTTGTTTTGCTTTGTTTTGTGGTGGGGTCTGGCTGTGTAGCTCAGCTAAACTGGAACAGGCTAAATAACACCAGTATCCTTCTGCTCCTCCATCTAAGTGCTAGGGTTATAGATGTGTGTTGTCATGGCCAGCTGCAATTATTTTCTTAAAAAGTAGGAGGGTGTTAGAAAGTTAGCTTTGTACTGTAGGTCACTAAAACATTGTATAATAATATCCAGGCTTGCCAGGTGGGAGAGGTGCATGCCTTTACTCCTTATGGAGGCAGAGGCAGGTGGATCTCTGTGAGTTCAAGACCAGCCTGGTTTACAGAGTGAGTTCTAGGACAATCCGGACTATTATACAGAGAAACCCTGTCTTGAAAAACAAACAAAAAGATGTACAGGCTTATATTTTTCTGTAACTTTTTAGCTGTACATTCTATATATTCTGTATATTCTACAAAGCTGAACAGTACAGATTATTTTTGCATTTAGGTCCTATCTCTTCTGAAATATATAGATATAGATATATATTATATTTACATTTATATATTATCTATGCATGTACATGTATACTGTACTTATACCACTGATACCATGTCTCAGCACAAAGTTAAACTATAGGAAGATAATTTGGCTACTTATTAAGCCTGAAAAGTCTAGTAAATTTTAAGGAATGTTTTCAGTTGGAATTGGAGTCAGAAGAAGATTTGCAGTTGGAGTACTTGTCATATATGTAGCCCTGCTAGTGTGGAAGTTAGTTTGAGGGAAAGATATCTTATATATATTTGGGTCCTGCCTTCCTGTTTGTATATATTCACCCAAGAAGCACCTAGCTACGTTCCACTGGAACATGATAAGTACTTGGATTTTTGACTCCAGAGAAATATTAGCCATCTTTTGAACCTTAGAAACTGATTGTACACTGCAGTCCACTGTGATCTCTCTACATGCTGGAGTTTATTTTTTAATTTTTAATTCATTTATTTTTATTTTATGTGTATTGGTGTTTTACCCACATGTATGGCTGTGGGAGGATGTCAGATCCCCTGGAACAGGAGTTACAGACAGTTGTGAGCTGCCATGTGTGTGCTGGGAATTGAATCTGGGTCCTTTGGAAAAGCAGTCAGTGCTCTTAACCACTGAGCCATTTCTCCAAGCCTGAACTGGAGTTTTATAATGCTTAAATGTTATGCACCTCATTTGGTAGCTCCCATGGGTTCCTATGTATCATATTACCTTAGCTTTGTTAAATTCTGCTTGACGGGAGACATTAGGTCTCACGCTTCTCTGTGGTGTCATTATACCCAGCTCAGTGCTTTTACATAGAAATATAAAGGTGATAGTGTTAAATATGATTATGTAAGTGATTATTTCATTAACTTGTCCTGGCATTTTCTTTGCTACCAAGATAAACCTAAAAAAAATTTTTACTACTTGTCTACTTTAAAAATAATGGACAGTAGGAATTAAAGTATTTACATTTCTTCTCTAATAAAACTTAAATCAAATAGCTTATTTTACATTATGAAGAAAAGAAAATTGACAATGCTGTAAAGATTTTCGTGTGTGTGTGTGTGTGTGTGTGTGTGTGTGTGTGTGTGTGTGTGTGTGTGTGTGTGTGTGTGTGTTGGAACCTAGGGCCTCATATATGCTAAGCAAGAGCTACATCCTTAACCTCTGGACAGGCACTGTTTTTAAACTGTCATTGTTGGGGCTGGGAATGTGGGTCACCTTTTAAAGTACTTACACAAAGCCCTGAGTTCCAATGTCAGAACCTTAGAAAACATGGTGTTTAATGCCTGGGATCCCAACACGTAGGAGGTGGAGACCAGAGGAGGAGAATTCAAGGTCACCCTTGACTGCATATAGGGAGTTCAAGGCCATCTTGACCCAATCTCAAAAGAAGACCAAGTAGCTGGAGAGGTAGCTCATGGTTTAGAGTACTTGTTGCTCTTACAAGAGGACTTGGCTTTGGTTTCCAGCATCCACATGATGGTTCACAACATTCATAATTCCAGTTCCAGGGCATCGAATGCCTTCTCCCAGGCAAAGCATTCATGGACATAAAATAAATGTCTAGAAAAAGAAGACAAAGACAGACTGCCATTATTCTCATTGACTCTATCTGAAAAATATTGCTTAGCATAAAACATTGCAATAAAAACTTATAATAAACACATTTGCTGTTTAAAAACCCAAAGCAGAGTAGATTTTGCCTTTCATACATATAAAATTACTTAAAATTTAGTTTTAAATAGGTGGTACCTTTTCCATGGTTGCTCTGGGCTGAAGGCTTGATTACTTGATTACTTGAGGTCATCTTTTCTATTGGTGCCAAATATGTTGGTCCAAATAGATGTTTCTGTAGGTGCAAATACATGTTTCAGTCACGTTAAACATGTGAATGCTGAATATAGCTAACAAGTGTTGTCATAAACTTCTAATATTGCCTCCATGGTTTTTTTTTTTACATAGTGTGCAGCGTTGGTTGTGGATAGGTCTGAATAAAAGAAGCCCTGATTTACAAGGGTCCTGGCAATGGAGTGATCGTACACCAGTAAGTTACAATTTTGATGTTGGGGAAAAAACATGGAATTAATGTTTGTTTCAAAATTAAGTAAGTTGGTAAATAGCCAAAGCTATCTGCAAGAGAAAGACAACTCTAGAGATATAATTCTACCAAACTCTGTCATTCGATCTTAGAAGGCTGCAGGGACCAAAATATCCTGCTATTATCAGTTTCAAAGAGAGAAAACACAGAAATAAATAATGAATTGATAGCTAACCAATTACTGACAAATTGCCAGGACACACAAGAAGGAAATTTCCTTTGATGATCTATGCCAAGAAAACTGTCTATACACACACACACACACACACACACACACATCCATGTGTAAAAATGAATTCAAAATGCATTGAAGACTTAAATGTAAGACCCCAAACTACGCAGCCTTTAGGAAAAGGGTAGCAGGGGATCTCCATGACATAGTCTGGATAATGCTTTCTTGAATAAGAACTCAAAAGTACGGATGACAAAGCAAAAATAGACAGATGGAATTACTGCTGAGAGTTACTGCACAGCCCAGGGTACCTGAGACCCTGTCTCAAAAAGCGAAAAAAAAAAAAACACTTTGGTTTCATGGTTCTTGGATTTTTATATAAACACATAAAATCATGTATTTATAAAGAAATGTAAAGGCACGTGATGAGTTCTGAAAACAGAAGTGCAACTGTCTGGAAAGACCATGAGAAGGGTGGCGAGGAGAAAGGGGAGGCTAGGGACTGTGGGGTGTCGTATGTTTGGTAGACATTCTGTATGAAAATGAGCGCCAGGTACAATGAACACATACAAGGAGGAAAATGGGGAAGAGAGGGCTGGGAATGGAGTGGCGGTTCCCAGGGACGGGGGCAGAATTTCAGGTAGAAAAGCAGTAAGTTCAAGAGATCTGTTGTGCAATCTGGGACCGTGGTTAGCAGGACACTGTTCTCACTGCATCTGTGGTGACTGTGAAAGGAAATGCATATGCTAACTAACTCGACTCCCTTGTTCTTAGAGTGTACACTTTAAAACATCATAAAGACGTAAGCGCTTTTACCTCAATCAGAAGACAGAAACATAGTCTACATCGTTAGAGTTATTTACACGCACATGTTTTGAAATAGAAACAGATTTACTTATGATGTGGGAAGAAGACAAGTATTCATCTCGCTCTTATTTATTTACTTTGACTTATTTTGTGTGTGTGCCGGGGCTGGGGGGGGGCAGTGGAGGCTGGTGGACAACTTTCAGGACTCAGTTCTTTCCTTCCACCATGTGGGTTCTGGGAATTGAACTCAGGCCGTCAGCCTTGGCAGCAAGCCCCTTCAACCACTGAGCCTTCCCATTGACTGCATTTATTTTGACTTTTTAAAAGCTTGTATATTTCTCAATATAGATTTAAAAAATTGGAGGTATGCAGGAGGTATCATGGTAATATTTGGAGAGTACAAATCATTTTCCCAAGGCTTTCTTTTGTACTTGCTTTGTGTTTATTTCTATTATCTATTAATAATGGGAAAGCATTTTTATCATCCAAAAACCTTACTTATATAAGGAAGGAAGTATCTGTATTAAGCAAAATAGGTGTACCTAAAAATGTCCTTAAATTATACTTTCGGTGTTTACCTTCTCTGAAGAGAGGCATGTGACACTCCTGAGTGTCCATTTCCCCGGTATCCATCATTTTCAGGATATTAATTGTGTCAGTTCATTCTGTGTTCAGGCTTATGTTGTCAAGTTACAGGATATCTGAAATGAAGTGATCAAGTACACAGCTGATCAAATATACAAATACTGAATATAACTGATCAAAATACTAAAAATCCACTGGCTGTGGTGGTACACACCTTTAGTCCCAGCACTCAGGAGGCAGAGGTAGGCAGGGCTCTGTGAGTTCGAGGTCAGCCTGGTCTATAGAGTGAGTTCCAGGACAGCCAGGACTGCACAACTGCACAGAGAAACCCTGTCTCAAAAAAAAAAAAAAAAAAAAAAGAAAGAAAAAGAAAACAAACCTAAAAAAGTCCTTTTCAGCTGTGGCTGACCACACCTCCAAGACTCTGGAAACCTAAGACATGGCGGCATTTGCTGAGTCCTCTCATGATTTGGCATCAGCTCTTCCACAACATGAAATATGGAAATGTTTTCTTTCAGTGGCAAATGAGCGTGCTTGAATTTTGCGGGGGGGGGAGGTCTCGAGGCAGGGTTTCTCTGTGGCTTTGGAGGCTGTGCTGGAACTCGCTCTTGTAGACCAGGCTGGTTTCGAACACACAGAGATCCGCCTGCCTCTGCCTCTGCCGAGTGCTGGGATTACAGGCATGCACCACCACCGCCCTGCACGTGCTTGAATTATTAAAGCTGCCTAAAATATATGTAAGTAGCAAATGTTATCTCTGGCTTCCATCTTCAAGGCAGGCTTATCTTTCCAGGTGTCCACTGTTATCATGCATCGGGAGTTCCAACAGGATTATGACGTCAGAGACTGTGCTGCCATCAAGGTCAGTACCATACTGGGAAATCGGCCTTAAAAATAAAATCCAAGGTCCGAGGTTGGAGTTCGGCCCTGGGCTCGACCCTTAACTCCACACACAAATCTGGCATCGCATGTAGTCAAGCAAAATATCCATGAACACCTTTTGTTCATGGTGTAGCAAGAAACATGCCTAGACAGTCTAACTTACACTTAAAGAAAATAAAATTCAGATTCAAGAAACACAGCCTTGTCATCATTATGTAGTATGATGCTTGAAAAGAGTGGGCGGAAGGTAGCTAAAGAAAAGCCAAAAAAGGAAGCGATCTCTAAGACCTGTGCAGAAAGAGTTGCGACTTCACCCTGGTCTCTAAGGGTGGATAGAGTTTGTACAGGTGCAATAGGACAAGGCTTTCTTATGGGCAATAGTGCAGGAAATACAAGTATGATGATGAGCAGTGAGGAGAACAGGATATATCCAGAAGTTTTGTTTGGTTCTGCATTCGAAGCAATACTTGGGGGTGGGAAGATGGCTCACTAGTCAGTTTAGAGCACTGGCTGCTCTTCCAGGGAACCCAGGCTTCCACTCCACGTGATGGCTCACAACCATCCTGACTCCAGTTCCAGGAGATCCTCCTGTGCCCTCTTGTGACCTCCACAGGCAGCAAGCACTCAGGTAGTACACAAGCACAGGCAAGCAGAACACTCATGCACATATAATTAACTCTTTTCCTTTTAAAAACTGATGCTGGGAAATTAAGTTGCTGTCAAGTTAAGCTTGTACTCTTGAGGTTTTGTTTGTTTTGTTTTTGATAGGCAGCAGTGTGTTTTTAAAACTGAGACAGGGCAACATGAACCAGGATTGTGAATGTAAGCCAAGAAAGTGAGGAAAATTTACCTTGAGTATATTTCAAGATACATCACTTAGGATTGGAAAATATCTCGAAGACATTAGGATGTACAGAATCCATTTGCTTATCCACTTTATGTGATGTGTCTGGGAGGTACATTAAGGCTCTAGAAGCGAGAGCATTACAATAGACAATTAATAAGCCATGGTACTATTGGTAAGGGCTCCAATAAGCAGAAGAGAAGGTCTATACAATGAGGTGGTTATTAGGAGAAAGAAAATGACAGTGGTGCTATGATGGCGGTATCAGAGTTGCAGGAACATGTCCGTGTCCAGGATATTTCACCACTGTACTATTCTGCCATGTCCTAGCACATCTCCAGGGCCGGACCTGACCCGGGTGGTATAGGAATGAAGAAAAGACAGATACACAGACACGGAAAAGGCCGCAGCAGGAGAACTGGGGTCTGTGCTGGAGAAACCACAACACCCCAGAAGTCCACCATGTTTACTATATAGAGCTCACCTTCAAGGTGGCATTGTTACATACAGCTGATCAAAGAGGCAGGCTGAACTAATCTCAGTAGGCGAGTAGTCCTCGGGCTGGGAATTTCCAGGGGAGAAAGCTAGGTGGACATTTCTGCACTATCAGCATCTACATCCTATCCCCTGGGGAAGGCTTTGGGGTCCTTGACATGCTGCTCCATGTCAGCAGCGTGTATTTCCCCTGGACCTCACTCACTCAGCCCCTTCTCTGCCCCCTGCACTGTGTGACAAGCCTTTCCTAGAAACAGGCAGAAGTAATGACTTGCACGGGATATGATATGTTAAATACAGCATAGTTCAGATACAACATAGGTATAAGCCATACCCTACAGTAAGTTGAAATCTAGGGAATAGAAGTGAAGGGGGAGGGGGAATTGAATGTTTACAAAAGCAAAAGGCTCAGAAGTCGTTTTGAGGAAACCACAGAAAGTAAAAGAAAGCAATGGGTGAGGAGACTGTGTAGTAATAACCCAAGAGGGTCAGGAATGGAAGGTGGGGACGAATAAAATTGAGGAGAACTCTGTCTTCAGAGTGACTCTCCTCATGGTCAGCATTGCAGCATTGCCTCATTTTATAGGATTTCCAACTCAGAGCAGGTAAAAGCCCCAGAGAAGCTGATGTAGTTTTTGGAATTGTCTAGAAAGCTGATGCAATGAACTGGATTTGAACGGTACATAGACCTCCCCGTGTGAAGAGATTTTAAACCTACTGAAAACAAAACAAATGAATAGAGGGTGCAGTACAACCAGCACCAGGAAGAGCCCAGTCAGGGCCATGTTCTCCTGTCTGGAAATGTGTGCCTCTCCCACCACAATACCCATCGGTTTGGCTCCAAGAGCAAAAGGATCCTGAAAGTGATGGTGGTTCCTCCCAGCTCATGCCTTCAACATGCCTTTTCAATCCTGAGCCACGTGCATAAATGGGGTGCACATCCTAGAAGTGGCACAGCAACACCAAAGCCAGAGCTTCGGCTGCTGGGCCCGAGTCTCTGCCACTTTCTGATCTGCTCTGTTACAGTCTGGCTTGGATACCATCAAAATAAGTACCTGTTTCTGTTTAGTCTTTCTCAAACTTGAAAAGTGCAAGATGCCCAGCATATGATATACACTAGCATATAATATATACTAGCAATATAGTATGCACTAGCATATAACATGCACTAGCATATAATATACATTAGCATATAATATATACTAGTATAAAAAAACTTCTGCAACACAGCACAATCAATGCATACAAGGAAAAGTTTTTATTGGAATTTTAAAAAGAAATGGAAAAAAGCATAAAGTCTAAAGTTTCATGTCAACAACAACAAAAAAGACAACAATTAGCATTTTGGGCATAAACACGACTTTGTTTCCTTTGTCACTTGGAAAACTCTTGCACAAAATTTTACTGTTTAAACATCCCATGCCTTCATCTGTTAATTTTGCATGTATGGTGGGTGCTGGAACTAAAGTAGAGATGGAGACTGTAGCTTACAGTGTTTGCAAAGAGCTGCAACAGTTTCAGAATATCCTGCCATCCTCTTCCTCCTTTAGGTACTTGACAATGCTTGGCTAAGAACCTGGTATTACTATGATGAGAGAAAATTTGGTTATTTGAAGCCTTTTTCTTGTGATGCAAAACTTGACTGGGTGTGCCAGATTCCAAAAGGCAAGTGGTAGTTACTGCTTTTCTCCACCTTCAACACTGCAAACACTGGGCTAGAAGGTAATCTGGGAACAATAATAAAATCAAAATTTGGCACATTCTTGTAAAATTTAGAAGCAATTTTCACTGAACTCCAATATGCTAATATTTCATGTAAATTAAAATTCAAGAAACCAGTTAAAATGACAGTAGAGCTTGCAATGACAGGGAGGAGGCGGGAGAGGGGGCCGTCAAGGAATAGTGGTCCACACCTGTAGACTCCAGCACTCAGGGGCTGAGTCAAGATCACCAGACTTGGATGTCAGCCCGGGGGCTACGTAGTGACACCCTGTCTTTGACAAGTTTATAAACAAGACGCCATGTACAATTTTAACTGTCTTATAGCACCATGGGTGAAAATTATCTGAAACAAAGAGTGCTGTCTCAAAGAGAAAAACTAAACACATGTGTTGTGTAGGCAGTCTCTGAGGAGGGGCTTCTGATGCTTTGGGATTTCAAGACCCACATACATTTCAAGACCACATAAAACGAGGCTCACCGAATGTACCCTGTGATGTCTAAGGTTAAGCAAGTTATATGTTTACTTGAAGTCAGTGTGGCTGCAGGCGATATGAAAATGATGTGGGAAAGCACTAGGGTCCTGTGAAAGCCGTTGTCCTGGTGCCTCTTAGGCACAGAGTACAAAGCGGAGGCTTGCAGAGGCCACCATCCCATTCAGAGCGTTGCAAAGGCAAGTGTGCAGGCATCTGGATGCTGGCCCGCCCAGTCGCAAAGCCCAGAATTCTGTGGAGCATGCTGTGTTTCCTGCTTCCATTCCAGAGCCTTGAGTGACTTTCTTATTCGCCTCAGTCTTGCTTAATCTTCTTAAAAGAGCTACTACTACACTGTTGTGTACCATCTCGGGAACTGGTAAATCTGCCCCATGTTTACAGACTAGAGACTTGGGTTCCATCAAAACAGTGCAGGTCCTTCCGGTACATTGCCTGGAGCATGGTGTGATGGTGACAGGGCCATCATTTGCTGTTTATACTAACTGCTGGCCATGTGTTCTTTGTGGCCTTGAAAGCCTTCAAGGACAGCTAGCAAGTCTTTCTGTTCTTGTAAGAGGGATCAGACCCATGGCCTTGCACATGCTAGACAACTGCTTTACCATTGAACCATATACTTAGGGCTAGACTACTAGCAACACTTAATTAATATTTCATTGGTCTACCTTTTTAGAGATCAGCACTAAAGCAAGCATTAGTGTAAACCCTGAGATATTCCACTCAGAAACGACTAACTCCACATTCCAAAGTGAACACGCCCCCACAAGGCCTCATATCACCTTCGCGGCTCCATTTACAGGATGCATGCTTTGTAAGCCAGTACTAACCATAAGCCATTGCCCTCTTCCTTACACAGGTAGCACTCTCCAAGTACCAGACTGGTACAATCCAGGTAAGCCGACTATTAAAATTAGCCAAAGCTATTGCCTTCTTTTTTGATAATGCATGTAGTTTGTTGTTAATTGCTAATTTTCCTCACATCCTCAAGAGAAACGCCTGCAGGCAGCAGGGGCTACTACTACACTTCATCCCATGTTATGGGATGAAGCAGAAGAGATGGGGTTTCCTCCTCTGTGAGCACAGGGCAGTCTAACCACTTGTTCCAAAGTCCTTATTTTGTTATAGGCAGCACTGCCCCAGGCCAGACAGCCAGAATCTTAGTGGATTACAGTGTTAAATTAGCTGAGATAATCATATTTTGTCTTAAAACCTTGAAGCTCCAGCTGGGAGCCTACAGCATTTTGGTCCCGTGGTGATACAGGATATCCAGTGTCAGGGAGTAGGTGATGTAATCAACTGTTCATGGTGGCCAGGCAGTTAAAGAGGAAAGGAAAGTACCAGGGTCACGGTGCCCCCTTCAAAGACACATGTGGGAGCCTGCTCCCAGTCAGCTGGGTTGCCTGAGTAGGGGCGAGGAATGAGGGGTGGCAGACAAGAGAAGCAGAGATAGAAACGCCAGACAGCCCCAAGTTTAATTTAGACCCTGCTTACATACAGACAAGAGGCAGAGCTGAATAAAGAGCAGTATAATCAGTTAACCAGCTCCCTGCACTGTCCTTGAATGGAGGAGCCGCCAGGCTCACCATCACGTGAGTCCTGCTAGCAGCCAGCACCTTCATTCCTACCTCTGTGTGCATTTCGGCTGGCATCAGAAGCTTGCTAGTTCAATAATATGCTCTCTCCCATGGACTTAATCACAACTTTCTAATGGCTCTCAAGAAGACTGAAACAAGCAAGCTCAACCTCTAATGTCTTATAAGTCAGAATAGAATCCAGATGGAAACTGAGTCACTTGTGGACTCCTACAAACACACTTCACTATAATCAGACCTCCTACTAGGCCTTACCTCTTAAGTTTCTTCCACCTGCCAATAAAATCTTGGGTTAAGGACCAGCAGGCCTTTGAGGGACACTTACCTAAATGGTAGTGGTTAGTACATCCATTTGGAACACACCTGTGCTTAGCCATTTTGTTTGACCAGCACAGTGGTAATTCTGTTTTCTTCCTCAGAGCGCACTGGAATCCACGGACCCCCGGTTATAATTGATGGCAGTGAATACTGGTTTGTTGAGGAACCCCGCTTAAACTACGAAGAAGCCGTCCTGTACTGTGCTAGCAACCACAGCTTTCTTGCCACGATAACAACTTTCACAAAACTAAAAGCTATCAGAGGCAAGATGGAAAATGTAATTGAAGCAAACGCATCTTGAGATTTTATTTATTTTTATTTTATGTGTACGAGTGCTAGCCTAAAGATGCCTGTTCTACATTCATGTATTGCCTACAGAAGCCAGGAGAGGCCTCTACTAGAGCTGGTGATGAGCTCCAGAGTAGATGCTGGGAATTGAACCCGGATCCTTTAGAAGAGTAGCCAGTACTTGTAACCTCTGAGCCATCTCTCCATCAAATGCATTTTAATTTCTTATATTTACATTTACTTCACTAAAATGTTTCTGAAGTCTATAAAATCCAAATCTTAGCCATGCATGGTAATATATGTCTATAATCTTAGCACTTGGAAGGCTGGAACAGAAAAATTGTGAATTTGAGGCCATACCAGTCTGAACTATATAGGATGACACACAGAGAAGGGATTGGGGGACAGTGGGTAAGGGAGGAGGGAAGAATGGAAGGGATGGGGAGAGAGATTAAATGCTCATGCAAAATATGATTTGCTTCACAGCATCCAAAAATCATTGTTTCATGCTAGGAATGCTGATAATACACAGCAACTTGGTAGATATTTATCAGCAGAGAATGTAAATATCCCTTATTCTTTTTATTTATCTATTATTTATTTATTCTTTTATATGTTACATCCTGTCCACAGTTTCCCCTCCCTTCTCTCCCCCGCAGTCCCCTTACACTCTTCCTCTCTCCCCAGATTCATTCCTCCTTTTCCCTTTAGAAAAGGCTTCCCAGGGATATCAAGCAAACATGGCATATCAAGTTGCAATAAGACCAGGCACCTCCCCTTATATTAATACTGGTTGAAGCAACCCAATAGGAGGAAAAGGGCCCCCAAAGCAGGCAAAAGTATCAGAGACAGCACATGCTTGCACTGTTAGGAATCCCACAGACCACCAAGCTACACGTCCTTAACATAAACATATATGCAGAGGTCCTAGGTCAGCCCATGCAGGCTCCCTGATTGTCGGTTCAGTCTCCATGAGTCCCTACGAGCCCTGCTTTGTTGAATAATCCTTGTTCTTTATAATTAAAAAAATTAATTTCCTGTTTCTACTAGTAGAAAATTAAATTAAAAAATAAGGCTATATTGCAAAATAGCTTTGGGGAGGGAAATTAATATTTTTAAAAATTTATAATTAACCATAATAAGACACTATATGCCCAATTAATATGTTGATCCAAGTATATATGGCTATGATTATAGCAATCATTTTCTGTATCCCAATAGAACCTATGAATATGTAAAATTAGTTATGTCCAATTATTTTTGATGGAAGGTCCTGGTGTATATAATTTTTTGAGACCAAGTAATGGAGTGTTGGAAGGTTTTCATGATGTGTGGTTACAGAGTATTTAAGTCTAGAGTGTTGGGAGGGTTTCATGATGTGTGGTTACAGAATATTTAAGTCTAGAGTGTTGGGAGGGTTTCATGATGTGTGGTTACAGAGTATTTAAGTCTAGAGTGTTGGAAGGGTTTCATGATGTGTGGTTACAGAGTATTTAAGTCTAGAGTGTTGGGAGGGTTTCATGATGTGTGGTTACAGAGTATTTAAGTGTAGAGTGTTGGGAGGGTTTCATGATGTGTGGTTACAGAATATTTAAGTCTAGAGTGTTGGGAGGATTTCATGATGTGTGGTTACAGAGTATTTAAGTCTAGAGTGTTGGGAGGGTTTCATGATGTGTGGTTACAGAGTATTTAAGTCTACAGTCTTCTAGCATATCCAGGTGTGCGGTTTCTTTTCAGCTATCTGGTGAAGAGCAGAAGTGGTGGGTGAAAGCGAATGCGAATCCAATCGATCATTACTTTCTGAGGTATGTAACACCATAGATCGATCAAGATCCTATGCATGCTGGCCTCAAAAAGTGGCATAAAAATAATGTTAGCATTAAATGGATAATTAGAATAATTTAGACTAAAGGAAATGGATAGGACATGTAATTACATTGGGAGTTGTCACATCTCTTCCTTTCCATCAGGACGCGACCCTTATGGCACCGTTTTTCCATGCTGCTTGATGAAGAATGCTTGCAAATGTCAGCCAAAATGTGGCACCTTGGTAAAGTTGATTCCGACTCTTCAGTCTTGACCACATAATATGTGAACTTCAAATTCGGTTACTGCCTTAATCTGTCTTCCTTTTGATGAATAGTCAGTGGCTTCTTCTTAACTTACCACTGATGACAATGCTCAAATCCCAAAGAAAATCTCTTCCCAATGTGGGTATTTTCAGTTCTTTTTATCCTCAAGTCATTACTTCAAACTAAGCTTAGCCCTCTCATAATTGATAAGCAGGTAGATGGATTTGCAAGGGAGAGCAGGTGGTCAACTCTCTTCCTGTTTCATGCCATCATTCTTTGGATGGTGTGGTTGCTTTACCAAGCCTGTTAGTTTTTACATGCAATATCGCTGTCCTACGATATGAATAATCATAGAGGCAGAAATGAGCAGTAAAGCCCAAGAATATAACTATCAGGAATGACTGCTTGACAGAGCTTTTCTTGAGGCTGAGGGTAGACTCCAGACCGTCTCTAGCACCAAAAACCTGTATGATTAAGAAAGGAACCCATCTTTATTAGCAGGTTTTCAAGTTCACTGAATGAAAAACTCTCATCATCGCAATTCCGGCTCTCCTTTTTCAGACTTAAACAAACGAGCAGACTGTAATGACAAGTTGCCGTTCGTCTGTGAAAAATATAATGTATCTTCATTAGAGAAATACAGTCCAGATTCTGCAGCTAAAGTGCAGTGTACTGGGAAATGGATTCCTTTCCAGAATAAGGTAAAAAGAGAATTGCTGCACTGTGCAAAACATGATTGCTTTCATGCTGCTTGTATGGCCTGAGGTAGGAGGGACCCCAATCAGGCACCTCTCTGACAGGGTCTCCCACATGTGTGTTACCAGAAACACAGGTGGTATCAAACTCATCTCTAAAGTCAGCGATGCCTACAGATCTTTGTATTTATTCTATTGTTTCCAACACCAAGGTTGCTGAAGTTGATCCATCAGTGGCCCGCAATCCACTGAGTTACTCACAGCTAACCCTACTCGCTGAGGAAACTGACTCCATTTAAGGCCTTCTTCTCCCCCAGAGGGGAAAATCCAAGTATTATTGTGTAACACAAATAATAAAAACCCAGAGACAGATATTGGGGTTCAAGCTGAAGCAAAGCAGCCACCCACTAGAGAGTTCTCACCTCTACCAATGCTCAGACCGAAGGGGCGGTCTACTGAACCTCAGATTGCATCTGTAGACTGCACTGCTCTTCACCAAGTCTCAGAATCCTAGACTGCTTCTGAGTCCACACTGAGCTCCTTATATACTCTCTAGTGCTGGGATTAAAGGCGTGAGCTCTATTAGACTGATTCACTCTCATGTAGCCCAGGGTGGTCTTGAACTCACAGAGATCCACCTGCCTCTGTTTCCTAAGTCCTGTGATTAAAGGTGTGTGCCACCACTGCCCAGCTTCTGTAGCTAACTAGTGTGAAGAAAGGCTTTGCATTCTGATCTCCAGGCAAACTTTATTAAATCATAAACAATTTTTGTTGTTTTAAAATACTTAAGTCAGAGACCACACATATATTTTAAAATACTTATCTTTGATTTTGTCCACACAAGAGTCCAATGATGAAATAGGTTTGGGGAATGGTGAGTTCTGTGCCTGCCTCTTTGGGAGTATGCGCCACACTGCTGTTTTTATCTATTACAAGATTATTGGGGCCGGGCGGTGGTGGCGCACGCCTTTAATCCCAGCACTCGGGAGGCAGAGGCAGGCGGATCTCTGTGAGTTCGAGGCCCGGCTGGACCGATAGCCTCCGAAACAATACAGAGAAACCCTGTCTCGTAAAAACCAAAAAAAAAAAAAAAAAAAAGATTATTGGGTTGCTAGGAAGAAACTGTCACCAAATGTTAACACATTTTTTCTCTCACTTAAAAGAAGTTTTAAGGGGTGCAGGCTAGGCTGGTATAAGAACCCCACAAAGTCATCAGTGGCAGCAAGCTCCTTGTTTCTGCTCTGTCGCCTTCAATGTTAGGAATGGAGTTCAGTGTGGTCCTTTTGGGACTGTTTCTGGAAATCACCCAGGGACTTTGCTTGTGGCTCAACTTCATTGAACCTCCCAGGCTAGAAGAAGACTGAAGAAAATTGTAGAATGATTCAGGGAACACTGTTTGAGACAGGCTACTTCACCCTAAGCTGATCATAACCATAGAGAAAGGAAGAGAAGTATTTGACAGTGGAAGCGAAGCTGGGACCATTTTGACTTCTGGGTTAGTTGTGGGGAGGGGCAGTCGGGAGTGTAGCTCTATCTCAACTGTGCTCCCAGCAACATTTTGACTTGAAAAAGACAAGTAGGGCGATATTTTTAATTCCCCCAAGGTGCTGGAACTATGCGAATTCATAGTGATATACACTTGAGTTAAAATGTTTTACCCAGAAGAAAAGAGATGTGCTTAATATCAGGAGTTGATAACTAAGCCCAGGTTTTGATGTCAGATGGAATAGAATTGGAATGCCCATTTTACCACTTTGTGGTTACTTTGCTTATGGGTCAAGTTGCTTCACTTTGCTGTGCCTGAGATTCCTCATTTGTTTTGAGAATTAAATAACCATATCATGATATGGTTAAATGAGTACAAAAACTGCCTTCACACGTAAGAAACACACAATAAGTGAAAATCTTAAAAAATGCATGTAATAGCTTGAAGACTGCTCGTCACATGTTCATGTTAAAGTATACATTTGAAGTATTGTGATAGTGCTCTGTTAATTCCCATAGCTCACAGATTGATAGCACTGCTCGAAATGGAGAGGCATTTTCTGCTTGTGTGGTTGTCCTGTGTCTGAATCTGAGGCTTCATACGTGTCTCTTGTTTGCAGTGCTTTCTGAAGGTCAAATCTGAGCCAGTTACATTTTCTCAAGCAAGTAGCACTTGTCATACCTATGGTGGCACCCTTCCTTCTGTGCTGAGCAAGAGCGAACAAGGTACCAGGGCTGCTGGGAAAGCATGGTTTTTGTTTCAATGCTGGTGATCACACTTAAGACCTTAGCACCGCTGGGCAAGTGCCGTGCGCTGGGAACCTTGTTCGAGTTGGAAGCCGAGTTGGTTTTAGGAGGCTGTGGGGAACTAAAATAAAACCATATAATTAAACTATTTTTCCATAAAGAAGGCAAAAGGCTGTCCTGATAGGTAATCCAAATGCTTTTCTACTGGTTTTCCATTTATTTGTGTGTGTGTGTGTGTGTGTGTGTGTGTGTGCTCACATGCATACATGTGAAGAGCAGAGAACAATATGCAGGAAGGAATCTGTCTTCCTTTCCATCATGTGAGTTCTGAAAATCCAACTCAGGCTGTCCCAGCTGTCTGTCTCTCTGGCCCTAACTGCTTTTCTAAAAATTTCTTTGTAACAGATTTTATTATATCCTTGCTTCCGGAAATGGAAACAAGTTTGTGGATTGGTCTGCGCTGGACTGCCTATGATAGAATAAGCAAATGGACAGATGGCAGAAACCTGACGTACAGCAACTTTCACCCATTGCTGGTTGGTCGGAGGCTGAGCATAGCAGCATATGTGAGTTATATTTCAATCATCAATTCAGTGCTGGGAAATCACTAAATCAAGAAGAAAAGCGCAGGACTGGGGATATAACTCACTTGGTAGAGTGCTTGCCAAGTAGGCACAAATCCTTGGGTTTGATCTCCAGCACCACATAAACCAGGCAGCTTGGCACAGGCCTATCTGTAATCCTAGCACTTGGCAAATAGAAGCAGGAGGGTCAGAAGTTCAGTTACCCTCATCTGCCTCATAAATTTGAGACCTGTCTCAAAACATGTTTAGTAATAATAATAAAGGACTCGTCTGTTGCTTAGTTCCTACTTCATGGCATGATCCAAACAAGCAAATTAAGGGAGATGGAGTAAAGAGTGGTTTCCACAGGGCAAGGAGGTTGGAAGGGTGATGCCGGGGGTGGGAGGCTCCTTTTAGAAAAGTAAAAATCTTCTAGCTGTTATTGAGGTGATGACTGCACAGTTCTGCACATATTCTCAAAACTACTGGATGCACATGCTAAACAGGAGAATCTCAGCTCAGTACAGCTCTGGGGACCACAGCCTTCAAGTGGGCGGCCTGGTTTTCAGAGGCACAGATGCCCTAGCACATGCTACACAGCCTTGTAACTGTCCAGAAACCAATACAAATGTTTTACCTGATGTGCGGGGTGTCAGTGCTCAGTCTCTCAAGATGAAAAGACAAAACTGACCGCTTCTTTTTCAGGTGAGGTATCATAGACTTAATTTCTGGTTGATGTTCTCACTAATGGAAAAAAGGGAGGGGAAGAGTGTATTATGAAAAGTAAAAACCCAGAGACAGATGTGGTGATATATTATTTATAATTTATTAAAACTTACCTGAGGATTCAGAAAGCAAAGTCAGCCTCAAGATATAGAGATCAGGCAGGCAGTGGTGATATACAACTTTAATCCCAGCAGCCAGAAACTGGGAGGTACACACCCCCTAATCCTACAACTCAGGATTAAGAGGAAGTCAGATCTCTGTGAGTCCAAGGCCACCCAGATCTACACAGATTGATCCAGTCCTAAAGAGAAACAGCTCACCCAAAGATGATCTCAATACCCGAGGTCACACACTTTTAATCCCAGCACTGCAGGGGTATAAGAGATAGGAGCAAGGTCTTCAGTATTCAGTATCAGGCATTCATTCTCCAGCCATGCTGAGGAGAGGAACAGGATCAGCCCATTAAGCCCGAGGTAGTGGTAAGAGCTAGTGGCCCGCTACTTTGCTTTTCTGTTCTTCAGCTTGAAGTTTGAACCCAAATTTTAGTCTTTGGGTCATTTATTTTTCATGTTACAGACAGATATTGGGGTTCAAGCTTGAAGCTGAAAACCAGAGAAGCAAAGCAGCCAAGCCAGTAGATCTTTCGTCTACCGAGCTGAAATGGCAATCCTGTCTCCACGATTCCTTAGAAGCAAAAGCTCCCAGTTCCTATCTCCTCCTCTTTATATTCCTTTCTCTGGCCTGTCATATCTTCCAGTCTCCACCTCCCTAGTGCTGGGATCAAAGGCATGAACTCTGTTATTCTTCACCCTTGTGTAGGTCAGGGTGGCCTTGAACTCATAGAGATCCATCTGCCTGTCTCCTAAATCCTAGGATTAAAAGTGTGTACCACCACTGCCTGACCTCTGTGGCTTGTGGCTGACTTTGCTTTCTGAGTCCTCAGGCAAGCTTTAATAAATCATAAATAATATATCACCACAGAAGAGGTCACTATATTGACAGTGGTTACACAGACACTTTGTGATTGCCACAACAGTTAAATTCCTGGCGAGACTCTGACTAGATTCTAGGGGACACTTGTCAGTCAGCTGATTTAGAAATGTGATATACAGCATCTCATCATTTACTTTAGATCACTGTGAAATTTTATATGATTCTACCTTCCTTTCAACCTCTGAGAATGGCAGTCTTCTCTTGATTGTCTTGCACATAGTTAGAAAGCTGTGGCCTGAGGGTTTTTGTGTGAATTTTTTCCCCCTATAGCAATTACTTTTGGTTCAAGTAACTGTCATGCCTGAACAATTGGGGGGGGATCTGTTATGAACCATGGTTTCAGGAGGTTTCTGTCCATGGTGATGGGGTACACAGTACAGCACAGGAATTCACAGTGTTCTGGACAGGGAGCAGAGTGGGCTGCTCCTCTCTGGCTTTCTTACTTCCTCTAGTCCCACACCGCCCCCCACCTTTTGTAAGGTGTGGGTGGGTCCTCAGCCCATGAGATGGCGTCACCCACATTTCTCCTTCAGGTCTTCCTCTATGAAACAGTCCTCACAGACACCCAGGGAGGCACCTCATCAGTGTTTTGTTTTTGTTTTTGGAGACAGGGTTTCTCTGTGTGTGGCCCTGGCTGTCCTGGAACTCACTCTGTAAGCCAGGCTGGCGTCCAACTCAGTGATCCTCCTGCCTCTGCTGGGATTAAAGGCTGGTGCCACCACTACCTGGCCATTTTATATAGGTAGTTCTGAATCACTCCAGTTCACGGTAAAGATTAGCCAGTACACACCCATCTCACTGAATTTCTTAACCACGTCTCAAGATTTTGTCACTAGGTCTTCTGGGGATTCTAAGTAGGCCATTTGTAATCTGCATAAAACTGTGACCTTATAGTCACTATAGCTACTCCTCTCACCTCTGACTTCACCACACCTTCTAGGACTTGCGAAAACGGAGCACAAAGGGAGTGGTTGCCACCTCCCTACACTAGATCTGGAGGTTAGCAGACCTCTCTACAAGCTTTTGTTGGTTTTATTCTGATAGCTGTGAGACTTAGCATTCTGTTACAGGTGTATTTCATATTTCTTAATGGGAAGAAGCATTCAATTCTAAGCCTTGTTTCTGTCATCTGCGAATTATCGCATAGTTTTCCCACTAGATGACTGGCAGGTGGTTAAGACAAATGAAGAGATTGTGTTTCAGGCACCAAATCTACTTGTTCTGAGTAGATTATAATTTTTCCTGTCGTGCCAGCTTGGGTTTGTTAGTGCTTGTTTGGGAATGTTTTCATCTCTGTTCATCCAGTTGATTTTTTTTTAAAACTGTATTATCGGGTTTTCTTATGATAGTGCTACAAACAAACTGAACTTGTCTGTGTTCTGGAATTATGGCCCCCACCAGCACTAATGAAGAAACTGTGTACAGAATGCTAGAAATATCTTTAATGGTAAAGGGACTTTGAGTAAGAGATGAGGAGCCAGCCTCAAATCCTCCAAATGGGTTTATGATGCCATTGGAGGATTATTTAGAGCTTCCTAAGATCGACTTTCCACTCTTAAGTTCCAGAGCTCTTAGTGGGTCTATATTGGCCTTCTAATGATTGTATAAAAATCATATTTCAAGTTTTAGTCCAGTACACATAGGTATTTTTCAATATCCGTCAGTGTAAATTACCAGTTTTCTCCCAACTTCCTGGAACATTAAGGGGCTTGACAGTTCCTTATGATTAAAAAAAATTGTCTATATCATTGACACTCTTTAATGTATTAGAATACAGATGTGTACAATTTGTTTGTTTTTCAATCCCTATACCTTAGTTTGTGCAAAACAAAATCAGATGCATATCTTCGTTTCTTTGCACTGTCCTCTCTAACCTCTAGTCCTGTCCTTCACTTATAGTTATTAATAGTACTTCTACATTCTTCTATCCTGTCTCTCACATTGAATTGTTCATTTAATTTCCCTTTTTCAAATACACTTAATAATACATATTTTCCTCTATATAAGTTTTAGTTATATCCTCTTTTGGATATCTCTCATTATTGTCTGCAATTACCTGATTTCTATTTTGGTTTAATATTTATTTAGTAATTCAATTTTTTAATCTGTCCTCCTGGCATAAGCTTGTTTTTTTTACATATGTTTATTTCTTTTGTGTATGTATGTTTGTATGTGGGTTCATGACACTGCTCATGTGTGGATATCAAAGGACAACTTATGGGAGTTGGCTTTCTTTTTCCATCACATGAGATCCAGGTGCCAAGCCTCAAGTCTCACGCGCATGCACCCACACACATGCTCATGAGCATACACCCAAACATGTACATACATGAAAAGTATTAAATTTAATTAATTAATCAATTTTGCTTACTTGGATTATTAAGACTGATCAGTTCCTTTAGAATTCCTGTAGTTACTTTTGCCTTATTCCTAAGGGGTTTTCTTTGTTTGAAAATATGTGTATCTATGTTAACACTTTGAATTTCTAAAATTAATTGACTTTTTATGCCTTGAATGTTTGTCATGGTGTAGGTGGATTCTTCTGTCCCTCCTGCCAGCTCCCAAATCATGACATAGAGACTATTATTACAAAGCTCGGCTGGTAGGTTAGGCTTGTTCTAACTAGTTCTTAGAACTTAAATTAACCCATATCTTTTCATCTATGTCCTACCAAATGGCTTTTACCTCTATCCCATTTTGTGTGTCCAACTCTTTCCACATATGGCTGTTGACTCCTGGCATCTCTACCTTTCTTCCCAACTTTCTCTCTGTCCTGAAAAATCCTTCTTAGCTATTGGCCATTTAGCTTCTTATTAAACCAATCACAGTGACATAACTTCACACAGCACAAGGGAATATTCCACAATATCAAGTCTTGTTGTTGCTGTTGTTTTGTTCTTTGGAAATGTCATGGTAAGTTCTCTCAAGAGTTGTTTTGGTTTGGTTTTGGCTTTGGTTCATATGTGGTCTTGTAGGGGGAAGAAGAAACTATTTAAGATCCAAAATTTTCTTGCAAGGATCTTCAGAGCATTAGTCCCATAGCTATACTAATATTTTCTTTTTAGTTTATTGACGAAGAGTCTCACTACCACTGTGCCCTGATGCTCAATCTCAGAAAGTCACCACTCACTGGGACCTGGAATTTTACCTCCTGCTCCGAACGCCATTCCCTGTCTCTCTGTCAGAAGTACTCAGGTATCAGCTGTCACCTAGATAGCTACCATAGTTTATGCTGTTAGATACATAGGGCTTCTTACTGAAGTCTCACAAATGAATTCATATAATTTTATAGTTATGTATCTTACATTTTTAGCATAGACAAGTTCATGTTGACACAGTGAGGCAGATTATCTCTTATAGACTGTTTTTTTACAGATATTACCACAGTTAAATATAAAAATTAAATCTATGGTAGAACATGTTAATATTTGTCTAATGAAAGTCATAGTTCAATATTCTAATAAGCTATAGTTGAATGTTCTTTCTACTTAGACACTTACAGATTTTAGTTTTTAATCTGAGGAAAAGTTCAGTACTGTACAAACACTGTTAAATTTAGCTGACAGAAATTATAGGAAACACCATGTATGAAGCCATCTGTGTTTTCCCATAGTTAAAATAATATATAATGTGTACTTCAAAAGTAGAAACAACCCAGCTGGATGTGGTAGCATAGCCCTGTAATCCCAGGACTGGGGATACAGAATGAATCCTGTAAGTTCAAGGCCAGTCTGTTCTACATAGTGAGTTCCAGAACAGCCAGGGCTACATTGTAAGAGAAAAAGATTAAATAGAAACTACCCACTTTTTGGAAATATATTGCATTATTTTTAATTAACCATCGTAAGTTTTTAACTAAAAGTTTTTGTTATATGAGACCCTTAAGCACATATTTCATGTTCCTTAGCAAAGCTTTTGCTAAATTAATCTTTTCCCATTTGTCCCACCCTCTCTAATGACTTTCTTATTCAGATAAGGAATAAGGCAGTAACAAGCGGCTCTGCAGATTTTTTTCCAGGGTAACTCTGCCACTTGAAAACTTTGTAAGGGGACACTTTTTGGAACTAGTTTTATTGATGCTTTGATAATTTCATACAATGTATTTTGGGTGCATTCACACACTCACACCCACACCACACCACACCCACACAAATATCCCCCAACCCTTCCCACATTCATCCTTCTCTCCCTACCCTTTCCCAAAACTTCATTTCCTTTGAGTTGTTTTCCAATAGCCTATTGAGGCCAATTTGTGCTGCCTGTATAGTCCTGGCTATAACCTGATTAACCTACCATGAGCCATGCTCTTAAAGAAACCTGGCTGTCCTCCACTGGAATCATCAGTTGTTCATAGGTCTTCAGTTGGGGGTTGGGACTCATGAACCACTTCCCTGTCAAAGTGCACCACCGGCTTGGCCTTGTGCAGGTCTCCTACTGGTACCCAAGCCACTGGGAGTTTATAAGTGCAGCAGTCCTGCCATGTCCCAAAGATGCTGTTTCATAGCTGTCCAGCCCAACTTCGGGCTCTTAAAATCCTTCTGCCCCCTCTTTAGAGAGTCCCTGACCTTTGGGGCAGTGAAGGGTGATCAAGATGTTGTAAGGAGAGAGTTTTAAATACTTTTCCTGGCAAAGCAGTTTACACAAAAGGAGGCGTTTGTCACCAACTTGGAATGATAATCTTATTGCAGGCAGGTTTTATGTGTAGTTTTTCTCCTCTCAAATAAGAACTAAACAAAAGTGTCCCAATTTCAGCAAGTTACAAGTCACATATTTTACCTAAGCCATTCAGCAAGACATAGCTTAATCTCTCAACAAAATTCTGAAATAAATAGGCAATGATGTCTGATGTAAACTGGTAAGGGATGAAATCTGGAAGTCCGACAGACCTCTATGACTCAGCATAGTGTGTGGGAGGAACTGTTGTTACTGTTTTTCTTTTACAATAGAAAATGAAGACGGACGGCCCTGGGAGACTAATTCGGAAACTGTAAAATATCTAAATAACCTGTACAAGATCATCTCGAAGCCTCTGACGTGGCATGGTGCTCTGAAGGAGTGTCTGAACGAGAACATGCGGCTGGTGAGCATCACAGACCCTTACCAGCAAGCCTTCCTCTCCGTGCAGGCCACCCTGCGCAACACCTCCTTCTGGATCGGACTCTCCAGTCAAGACGTAAGTTTCCCATTCCTCCTGCTAGCTCCTCTCGTAGACCCAAAGAAGGCAACATCTAAAACTGTATGTGGTTAATTCCATGAATGTCTGTTTTTATGCCATTTGTCTTTTGACGTGAAGCGAAAGATTGGGGTTTTCGAAGACGTTCTAGCAGGTGTGACGCATTGAGTTCTTTTTATTTATCTTTGTTGACTGAGCTGGAATAGGAAGTTGTCAGGTCTCCTCAACCAAAGATGAGAAAGGAAGAATTTAAAACTCAAATAGGCAGACTTTTCTTTCTAGACTGCCAGTTCCCAAATCAAGACTTAATTAATTATAAATGCTCGGCCAATAGCTCAGGCTTGTCACTAGCTAACTCTTGCATTTAAGTTAACCCATATCCCTTATCAATGCTTTGCCGCATGGCTTGGTACCTTTTCTCAGTATGGCATGCCCATCTTGCTTCTCTCTGCATCTGCTTGTGACTCCTCTAACTCCACCCTTCTTCTTCCAAGTAGTCTTCTAGTCTGACTCTCCTGTCCAGCTATAGGCCAGTTAGCTCTTTATTAACCAATGAGAGTAATTCTTATTTACAGTGTATAAAGATTGTTCCACAACAAGAGACCCTGTCTGGGACAGCATAAAAGGTAAAGCCTGGCACCTGAGACAGACCTTAGACCTCCACATCCAAGCCATGGTACATGTTTACGCATGTGCACATAAACACAGACACAGGCACATCACACACACACACACACATACACACAGAGACATGCATATCTCACACACACAGACATGCACATCTCACACACACATACACACACACACACACACAGACATGAACACATTACACACACTGAGACATCATATACACATAACATGTATGATTTAAAATTTTAAACTATAATAAATTAAAAGAATGAAGATTAAAATCACCTGCATTATAATCACTGTTAGTGAGGTGTGGTGGCTTCATACCTGTAATCCCAATACTTAGGAGCTGCAGCAGGGGGATTGTCTTAAGAACAGGGCCAGCATGGGCTTTAAAAATGAGTTCCAGTGGGGGAATGAGGGGATAACGGGGGGGGGGGGGGGGGGATGGGGGAAGGCACGGGAGGAGGGGAGGGAAAAGGAGAGGGACCTGGAACTGACTTGTGAAGCAACCTTGTTTCTTATCTAAATTTAAAAAAAAGAATAAAAAAAATCATTATTGATTTAAAAAAAAAATGAGTTCCAGACCAGCCCAACCTGCCAAGCAAGATTCTCACTGTTTATTAAAAAGTCACTGTTGCTAAAGTATCAGAAGTTTACCATGGGTATTTTGGTGTGTGTTCTTGAGTTACTGTATCTATGGGTTTATTTTTAAAACAGATGGAGTCATGTCTCATAACTTTTCCCTTTTTTTTTTTTTCGGTGTTTTTGAGACAGGGTTTCTCTGTGGCTTTGGAGGCTGGCCTGGAACTAGCTCTTGTAGACCAGGATAGTCTTGAACTTACAGAGACCCACCTGCCTCTGCCTCCTGAGTGCTGGGATTAAAGGCATGCACCACCACTGCCTGGCAACTTTTCCCATTTTCCACTTAATGACTTTAGTATTTTTCCTTAGTCTGTTTCCTATAATCATGATAATCATTAGAGAGAGAGAGAGAGAGAGAGAGAGAGAGAGAGAGAGTGTGTGTGTGTGTGTGTGTGTATGTGTGTGATGGAGACACACATGTGGAGATCAGAGGACAACTTCAACTTTGTGGAGTCTGTCCTTTGAATGGTTTGCAGGGAGGGAGCTGAGGTCATCAGACTTGTCCAACAAGTGATCTACCCATTGAGCCATCTTGCTAGCCTCTCTTGTGTTTTGACTTGCAGTTCTCTTTTCCCTTCTCCCTTCGTTTTACATATCCTGTGTAGCTGTTGTCTGTGTGTCTTCATAAGCTGCTTTTAATCTTTGGAACATGGCAGGATATGAAGATGTAATGGTGTAGATTGAAAACAACTGAAATTTTAGAAACAGAATAGAAGTAATGCAAGACCTTACTCAAGTAACATGTCACTAGGGAAGTACAGTGAGGACAAGAGCAGCATGGAGCCTGCAACTGTGGGCACAGCTGTTTTTATATACATTTATAAGGAAAGTCCTGTTGCCCTGAAATAAAGCATGCTCACTGTGTCCTAACTATAACAATTCCTGCTTAAATGAAATCCAGAGTAGGGTCACAGCAGTACTTAAGACATCTGAAAGTCAGTGTGTACAGTGTATACAGCCTCGCATAAGACATATATCAGAGAGAGGCATGGATCCTGGGAGTTTGCTGTAAATGAATGGACATCAAGGGACACCAAAGAACATAATACCTACTAGCCCTCCACTTACAGTCCTTTGATATCTGAGGACGAAGAATGAACAGGTTTCCCTCGTGCAGCTAAAACAGATTGTTAGCTTGGAAAAAGGCAAGTTCCAATTAAGATCAATGAAAGTTTAGGTGTTAGAAGGGTTAAGTGCTTATAGTCTTGATCAGGAGATTTCACATTCATTGCAGACAGGGAATACAAAAGAGGATTTGTCTGTGATAGAAGGAGGCTCCCAAGGCTGTTGGCAGGGACTGGTGGAACAGGGGAAGAATTTGGGACAGTGTAGGCCAGGGTGTAGGTAAAATCATGCCTCCCAGGGGGCAAGTTTAAAGCCCCACAGTGGCTTAGGAATTAACTGGAAGAATGTTTGCTAGCAGCCAGGAGGCCCTGCATTCAGTCCCTAGCACTACCAAAATAATGAAGCATTTGGTTTTGAAATAAGCAGCCTGTGTGTGACCTTCCCTTGGGCCTCAGAAATGCTTCATTCTATTGTACAGTTGGGCCAGAATTGGTGATTAAGGCCTAGCACCTGATGGCACCAGGGGGACGCTTCATTAACTATCCCTGAAACCCAGTGTCAGCCTCATAAAGTCATTCTCAAGACAGGTGGGTGGTCAGGCCCTGTTCTAAAGACAAGTGTTTGGAGGCCTCCAGAATGATATAAATACTGTAAAGGAGGCTGTTTTGCCCCAGAGACCCGTGTGAATTGCATCGACTTAAGCTGAGACAAAGGAAATGTACGTTTTACACTTGATTAGTCTTGTGTCACAGCCATTTCACAGATGGGGCGGGGCTGGGAACTTGGAAGGTCAAGTTGACAGATCAAAAGCTCACACGTGATTGGACTCCTGTTCACAGCCAGATTTTGCTCTTTCTAGTATGCTATGTTATCTCCATTGTACTCCATGCAAACAGTAGTCCTCTCTCCACTTTTGCTTTCTGGTTTCCAACAAACAGTTCTTAAGATCTGTGGGCAGAGCGTATGATGGTTAGGAACACAGGGTCTAAGAGCCTGAATGGAGTCCCAGCACTGCACCCTCAGTTCCCTGATCTGTTAAGGGGAGATAACAGTGCCCCTCTCAAATGGCTTTTAGCTGGATTAAACAAGTCAATATTTACCAAAGATTTGAGAGAGTGCTTAACGCAATATAAAATACAACCAACAATTATCTGGCCTCACTGGTTAAAATAATATGAGAGGGATAGTGTGAATATCATCTCTTTGAAATGAATTTCTGCACCTCACAGGATGAACTGAACTTTGGTTGGTCAGATGGGACATATCTTCATTTTAGTAACTGGGCTGTCGACAATGAGAAGCTTGATGACTGTGTGATCTTAGACACGGATGGATTCTGGAAAACAGCCGACTGTGATGAGAACCAGCCTGGGGCCATTTGCTACTACCCAGGAAGTATGTAAATTTCAAGTGTGATAGAATTTTGTTCATTCGGTTTTACAAAATCTTACTTGGGGATTATAAGGAAATCACATCCTTTAAAAAATTATTTTTACTACTTTGTTATGTGTGTGGGTGTTTTGGCAGTGTGTATGTCTGTGAACTATGTGCATGCCTAGTATTCATGGAAGCTAGATCCCTGGAACTGGAGTCACAGATGTTGTAAGCTCCCGTGTAGGTGCTGGGAATCTAAGCTAGGTCTGTGGGAGCAGACATCTCCTAACCCTTGAGACGACTCCAGCTCCGTCATGCCCATTTTTTTCAACAAAAATTTGCTGCAAACATTTGTACTCAAGAATTATTGATTATAAATTGTTTTGTAATTAATTTTTGCCATTTTTATTTTTTAATTTCATTTTACATTCCAACCACAGTTCTCACACACACACCTCCCCTTGCCTCCTCCCCTCCTCCCCCCAGACCACCCCCAGTCCATTCCTCTTCACCAGTAAGGGCTCCCATGGGGAGTCAACAAAGTCTGACACAATAGGTTTGGGCAGGGCCAGGCCCCTCTCCCATGCATTAAGGCTGAGCATGGCCTCCCACCATGGGGAGTGGGCTCCAGCAAGCTAGCTCATGTACCAGGTTTGTAATCGTGGTCCTGCTGCTAGGGGGTCCTTTGATAGCCCAAGCTCCACAGCTGTCCCCCGCATATGGAGTGCCTGGTTCTGTGCCCTGGAATCTCCACAGCTGTAGGTCTACAGTTCATGAGTTTCCACAGAGCTTGGTTCAGCTACCTCTGTAGATTTCTCCATCCTGACCTTGACCTCCCTTGCTCATATGGTCCCTCTTCCCTCTCTTCGACTGGATTCCCGGATGTAATCACTTTTTATTTCGGATTTTCTTTTTATATCAGCTGACAGTGTTGACTGTCCCATTGTGACTCAGCCTCATCCTACATGTTTTTATTCACATGTATTTATAAAACTAACTCATAGGAACTCTCTCTTAGTTAATTCGTAACACCAACAACTAATAGCTTAAGCCACTGTTAAAACTCCCAGGCATGGTGGCACATTGTCTTTAATCTCAGCACTCAGAGGTAGAGCAGAAGATTGGCCAAGCCTGGCCAAGCCTGGACTACCAGGCAAGCCCGTCTCAAAAACAAAGACGCAGGTGATTGTTGATTGCACAGAATAGCAAGACAGTCAAGGTAGCTTAAGTCAAAACGGAACTCAGAACACCGCTCTGCAAACAAGGGTAGATCTAGAGAAGGAATATCAGAAACCCAGCTCTCAGGAGCCTGTAGCAGGCACTGTCTGTGAGTTTGAGGCCCGCCTGGTCTATGTAGCAAACTCCAGGTCATTCAGAGCTACACTGGGAAACCCTGCCTCAAAAAGCAAAAATAAAACAAATAAAAAATTCCCAGTATCAGCAAGAAAACAGAAACCCAGAGATGATGTGACACCGCCTGTCCTTTCTGTTTTTCTCTGTTTCTTCACTCTGTCCCTCCAGAACTTTCTTATCTCTCTGCACGTAGTAGAACATGGCTGCACTACAACTTTCACTTCTGCCTGTAACTAAAGGTGAGTTTCCAACTCTTTGGATCTAACGGGCTCAGCCTGAGTTGGGTATGCATCCTCCAGCCCAATCAGGGACCCAGATTTGTGTGTTTGTGGTAGAAGGAACACACTATTTCTGAGACAAAGGGATTTGTCACAAAATGGGAGAAAATTGCCCAGTAGTCTCTAAGACATAGTAAATCTTTCTCAATTATTTTCAGTTCTGCATATCTATATTTGCATCTTCTAGATATAGGACTTTTTCATAATATGAGAAAAAATTAAGATATTCTAGAGGCCATGTTTTAAATGATATCTCTGCTTAATTTTGTTGAGAGAATAACTATTTCATTAAGTTATTTCATTAAAACTAGAGATGTCAGTAAGCAGAAATGTGAGCATGAACCACCCAGTTATAGTTAGATGCCTATTGTTAATTAATATGTTTATAAGGTTCCTCTGGGGAGGCTCCTGGTACTTGACATTTAATAATGCAGGAAGACAGAAACTCATGTATCCTAAAAACACCTCATTTTTTACATTCCTCCACTCCACAGCAGGGGCAAAAAAAAATTATGTCAGATAATTTCCTCAGCACAGAGAGCCAGCATTCTTCATGCTATATTCGAGTGTAAACAGGCAAGCCTCACCAGACTGTTACTTCCTCACTTCCTGCAGCTTTCCCACAAATCAAGTCTAATGACTGCGAACAGGATTTAACATTTACGTCTGAAATTAGAATTCTTACCATTAACTCTTTTCCTAGATGAGACTTCAAAGGAGGTCAGACCGTTGAACAGTGCTAAATGCCCATCTCCTGCGCAGAGTACTCCGTGGGTCCCATTTCAGAACTCGTGCTACAACTTCATGATAACGAAGAATAGACATAGGACAATCACACAGAAGGAAGTACACTCCTTATGCCAGAAACTGCGTGAGTATAGTCTACCGTCCTCACGTACTGCGACATACTCGCTTTTTACGTCACCTGTTATAAAGATTCCTAAGTGGCACTGGTGACTGATTCTCCTGATTTTCACACAACCAGAGAACTGGTTGTGAGGCAGCTAGACCCAAGTGAACTAGGTCACTGTGTAGAGAGGAGGCCAGTTACAGCACTCGTCAGAGCCAAGGTCAAAGGGGGTTGACCTTCCACACTTTGAGCTCTCCAGACCTGGAACAGTTCCCAGTTAAACCCTGAGGGTCTGTCATTTGTGAATGATGGAAAAGAAGGAACTATGAACTTTGTGCTGAGTTCCAGTGGAAAGCATCAAGTCATTATCCCCCAAAGTGTGCTGTGTCTTAAGAGCACCTGTTTTAAGAGTTCTATTGAGAGAGAGAGAGACAGAGACAGAGACAGAGACAGAGAGAAACAGAGAGACAGAGAGAGAGAGACAGAGACAGAGACAGAGAGAGACAGAGAGACAGAGACAGAGAGAGACAGAGAGACAGAGAGAGAGACAGAGAGAGACAGAGAGACAGAGACAGAGAGAGACAGAGAGAGAGAGAGAGAGACAGAGAGAGAGAGAGAGAGCAGGAGCTCCCTTCTGAACCCCAGATTAGGCATAAACCATACCCAAACACTTGTTTTCACAGAGACCCTTTGTTAAGCAGGGGAGAAAAGTTAAAGAGGCTGCTTTCTGACTCGAAGAAAAACAGCAGCAAATGACCTTGCAGGTGTAATTTTTAAGGGGAGGAAAGGGGGGTGTCTGTTAGAATGGGCTTGGGTGTGGTGGTAATGGACACAGGATGAGGAAAAGGGGACAGGAGTGTTTCTCCCCCGGGGGGGGGGACAGAGGACTAGGGGGCAGGAGTGTTTGTCCTGGAGGACAGAGGGTTGCCTCTACAGAGAGAGGAGACGGGGGGGGGGGCACACAGGAAAATGGCAGTTTATGAAGGTAAAATGGGAAACCCGGTGTGAGGATGACGTGTTTAATCTCAATTGGCCATGTTAATTGGATAAACTGAAGGAGCTAGACCTTGGTAGTCAGCCTCAGGAGGAGGAAGTGGCCGAGTAAATGGCCAGCTTTAGGAATGAAATCTAACAGTTTTTAGCGAGGCGGGGGGGGTTGGGGGAAGGTGCACGGCCTGCCAGAGCCAGGTACTTCAGTGGGTTAGTGTCCCTACAGAGTCTCACTGGGGAAACAAACTACTCTTAAGGGTTGACTGCATGCCCAGGAGCAGTAGATGGCCAACAGAAAACAGACTCAGTGGCATCTTTGGAGGTTCCTTATCTCATAATGTCATGTAGGGCTTTTCTTTTTATTCCTTTTTAAATTATTATTTATTTTCACCCTACAGGACTTTTGTATCTGCATTATGGCTTCTGGTCTGTGTTTCTTTGGGATTCCTGAATGTGCATGAGCTGGTGTCTGCATCTATATCTGTTTCTTGTGCTTTCTTGGGTTCTTTTCCTTTGGTTTGCTTTTGTTTTTATCTTATTATGGTTTATTTTATTATTAGCCCCTAACTCCCTGTTTGTTTTCTAATGAGAGACAGAATGCAGGGGTATATCCAGATGGGAGGGGAGGTGAGGAGGAGCTGGGTGGGGGGTGTAGAGGGAGGGGAACCACAATCAGCATATACTGCATGAAAAAAAATCTATCTTCAATAATAAAAAATAAAATAAGAACAATTAAAAAAGAAATACTGTCATAAATGAACTAGCTTAACTTTGATTGTATCAGTGTTTCCAAATGTTTCATCCATGTGCATTTTTGTGAGAAGCCTCTTGTTTTCTTCCAAGCAACACATTCGACCCTGACGCAGCAGTGGTGTCTGAGGAAGAGGCAGGCCTGTCTTAGGAGTTGAGGAGGAAATGATCTAATTATATTTTAATTTAAAATTACACAAAAGAAGTTTTATTACAGGGTAGTCTTTAACAGTATCCCGTTAATACCGTGTGGATTTGTGCCCTTCAGAGAGTGAGCTTTAAATGAAGGGAAAGAGAAGTGGGTGTCTTAATTTCTCTGCTCAGCTACCGGATCCTGTGTCCTGCGGAGCCAGGTGCTCATCAGAATGTGTGAACACTGCACAGCCTGTCATTTTAGTGAGCTGATGGCCGTTTCCGGGGGGCTGTATCTGGCAAGCAGAACTTCCTGACTCTCAGGGAAGGCAGAGAGTACTGCACAAAGGAACTGTTAAAACTGACTTTGTTTTGTTGACAGATTCAAAAGCACAGATTCTGAGTATTCGAAATGAAGAGGAGAATAACTTTGTGGTTGAGCAGCTTCTGTACTTCAATTATATTGCTTCGTGGGTCATGCTAGGAGTAACGTATGAAAGTAAGTGGGGACTGTGGGTTTCTGGTAGAACTTCGTTATGTCCTGTTACCAAGCTACAAAGTGCCATCCTGGAACTCGCTCTGTCAACCAGGCTGGCCTTGAACTCACAGAGATCCACTGCCTCCTTCGTGCTGGGACTAAAGACGTGTGCCACCACTGCCCCTCTAAATTAATTTCTTATTGTGTTAACAGCAAGGAGCTCATATTCATAACTTTGTGTGTTAATATCCAGTTATTCAGCACCATTTCTTAAGAACCTGATGTCCACACTGAAAGGAAGCACGTTAAAATGTTTCACTCGGGAGTATGCACAATTGTGTCCAGAGAAAATCATTTCTTTCACTAATTTTTAAGATGTCAAGAGTTTTAAAAACTAAAATAGTTATAATCGTTTATGTCACAGTTAAAAGTATATGTAAGGAGAATGGATAGTTGACGAAAAGTGACATATAAGCTACTGAAGAGTGGAGTTCTAGTTCATTTTTTTTGTATTGACAATTTATATTTTCAGGTTAAAATCAAACTTACAATTAGAAGATACGTTTTTAAAGGTATAGCTAATCTGACAACCTTTCAGAAGGTAAAGAAAGGAGGGAATAAATCAGTGGTTTGAAATGCTAACACTGAAACTGAAATTTGGACTGAATCTCTAAGCAGAGAATCTTTTCTTTCCTAGACAATTCTTTGATGTGGTTTGATAAGACTGCATTGTCGTACACACACTGGAGAGCAGGAAGACCAGCCGTGAAAAATCACAAATTTTTGGCTGGTCTAAGTACTGATGGCTTCTGGGATATTCAGTCCTTCAATGTAATTGACGAAACACTTCATTTTTACCAACACAGCATTTTAGCCTGTAAAATCGAAATGGGTAAGAGCCTTCCTCACTTCTCTGTTTCCGTGGTAAAATAGCCTGACAGAAAGCAGCTTATGGGAGAAAGGTTTGTTTTGGTTCATGGTTCTGGTCCATCATGCCGGGGAAGACATAGCAGTAGGCAGGGAAGGCATGATGGCAGGAGCAGGAGGCCTGCCCACCATCCTGTCACACACTCATGAAACCGAGAGTAAACAGGAAGTAGAACACCGCTATCAAGCGTCATGGCCCACCCCAGTGACCCCCTTCTTCCAGTGAGGCCCTGCCTCCTGAGGGCTCCACAATGTCCCCAAGTAGTGCCATTAGCCGGGGACATGTCCTATTCAAACCACAACATGAATAGGTGTGGTCTCACTCCGGGAAAACAGGGTATAAGGCCATTCATTCCACTAGAGAGATTCAAACTAAAGCCTGGAGAGCTCCCTTCACATTTACGTGTGGGACTGAAGAAGGCAAGAGAGAGAGCAAAGCCTTGGAGTCCTGGTCTCAAGTTCCAGAAGGGAAGCATGGCTGGTGAGACAGCAGTAACTATTTCAACCTTTGTAGGCAAGTCTAGATTATTTGGTAATGGAAGAGCTCAACAAGAATTATGAGGGGGCAGTTGATTGAGTCTTGAAAGAGGGATGGAACGTCTATAAAAAAGAATGTTTGAGTAGACTTTGACATTCCAGGCAAAATGCACGTCTTACAATGTTGTCTAATCCTTAAATAAGCCTATTTTGAAATGTAAATTATGTACAGTTTATTACCAGCTTCAAAACCTGAGGGGTAGCAGCTTGAGCTGCTAAGGCGTCCGCTGACGTGGGGCCCGTGGCAGCGATGCCCTCGTGGACCTCTTTGCTCTGGGTGCTGCAGTTATGGGCTAGAGACCTGTCACATCAGTGTTCTTGTATTGACAGTCGCTCTGTCTTCCTGCTGTCTAAGATGCCCCAACCCTCACCTTCCCTGCCTCTTTTCTCATTGAGCATCTTTCTCTCAGCCAGTAACTTCATCGTTCTCTGTATGTCCGGCCACGTATTGGTAGCTTTGTTTTCTTCTTGCCAAAATGTTTTCTATTCTTTAGCATACATTTTAATACAGCGTTCATTTTAGACTAGATTTAGATTTGCAGAGAACTTGTGCCATTAGAACTGAGAGGTCTCGCTATCCCACAACCCATCTCTCTGTGTTAACATGTTTCATGAGTGTGGTACATTTACAACTAAGAAACCGGCATTGATTGGTGCATAAGAACTAACTAAAGCCCGTGCCTTACTCATACCCCCTAGTTTTTACTTAGTGTACTTTTTCTGTTCATCTATCCATCCAGGATACTATGTTAATCTCAGCCATGAGTTCTCTGAACTGTGAGGACATCTCGTTTGACAGTTTTGAGGTTATTTGGTCATTATATTGTCCAGATTGTCAGTTTTGTTTAAGCTGTGATTTCGAGTTTGGGAGAAGGTGTCATTTTTACCATAGCCTATGGACAATGTATACTGTCAACATCAGTGCTGATTTAGCCTTGATCTCACTGGTCAAGATTGTGTTGTTCATTTCTCAGTTGTAAACTTACCCTTTTTGTCCCCTCTCCAAGCTGTACTCTCTGTAAAGATGTTACTACACTCAGTCCATACTTACAGGAGGAGGGAGTTATCCTCCATCTTTGGGATGCAGGGCAGGGTAGCTATGTGATTATTTGGATTTCTGTTTAAGATATTTGTCTGCATTTTGAAATTTATTCAGTCATTTATACTCTCATCACTATTCCATCACTGTAGTTCTGTTGCTTGTTCAACTACTGCTTTTTTTGTTTGTTTGTTTGGTTTTGGTTTTTCAAGACAGGGTTTCTCTGTATTGCTTTGGAACTTGCACTATAGCCTAGGCTGGCCTCAAACTCACAGAGCTCCACCTTCCTCTGCCTCCCAAGTGCTGGGACTAAAGGCATGTAGCATCAAAGCCTTGCTCAATTACTGTTTTTAATATTTAGAACTGTGTGTGTGTGTGTGTGCGGGCACGCGCGCGTGCGCATGCACCCATGTAATTAGGAGAGGACAACTTTCTGTGGTTTCTTCTTTCCTTCCACCCTTATATGGGTTCCAGGGAGTGAACTCAGGCTATCAGCTGGCAGAACAAATGCTTTTACAGGTGGAACCATCTCACCAACCTGATTTTTTCTTTTTAGCCTTTGCTTAACCCTCTATACCTACTTCAGAATCTTAGTTATTGCTTTTATACTTTGAAGCCAAGTGCTGTGGTTTGTGTCTCTAATCCCAGCACTTAGAGAAAGGCAGGAGGATATCAAGGCTAGCCTCAGCTACCTAGTAAGTTTATGGCCAGCCTGAGGTCTCTGAGAACAGTTCTTGAAAACAAAACAAAACAAACAAACAAAACCCTGGTACTTGGGATTTTTGTTCAGCGTATCACACTAATCCCTGGTCTGCTCAGACCCGCCTCTTCCAGCTTGACCATGAGGAGCTCTTTCCTTGGACTCCAGTGTCCCTGTGGGCATTCCATCATTACTGTCTTGGTATTGATTTGCTTATTTTCAGCACTTCCATACTTTCTGAATGTCTTCTTTCTCTTTAGCCTTAATATCCCCTACATTACAGACCTGATTTTTTTGTCAATCTTTCTGACTCCCCTAACGCAGGTAACTCTCTCCTTTACAGTCAGTCTCACTTGTCCTAGTGGCTAATCATTTTGCCATCATGTCATGACAACTATATGTGTGTGTGTGTACATATGCACATATGTATGTATGTATGTATGTATGTATGTATGTATGTATATGTGCTGTGGAAATAGGAAAAACAAAGTTTACACTTGACCTCTTAAATTAGTTTGTCTGAAACATGTATTTGAAACTATTTAAGCTTACCAGCCCTTTTGTTTTTGATGCTATAGTTGACTACAAGGAAGAACGCAATAGCACACTACCAGAGTTCATTCCGTATGAGGACGGCGTCTATAATGTTATTCAGAAAAGGGTGACGTGGTACCAGGCCTTGAGCATGTGTTCTCAGAGTGGAAGACATTTAGCAAGTGTCCACAACCCAAAGGAGCAGCTCTTTCTGGAAGACATTGTGAACCGTGATGGATTCCCTCTCTGGGTTGGGCTCTCGAGTCATGATGTAAGTCTCACTTGGTCTCCAGAGATTTTTTAAAGCTATGACTTTGAAAACTTGGAGATTTTTTTAGCATAAGACAATAACTCAAAATATAATAGTGGGTTAATTCCTGGTTGTTTCTTACCTTCTATGGCATGGAATAAATAAAATTATAGAGTCTTAAGTGTCCAGGCCATCCCTAGGATTCAGTGGGTTAATAACTCGATAGACTGTTGTAATCTTTTGGTTTGGAGTTATCTTTGTTGTGGGTGTAGTGATCTAAGCTCCCACAGTCCACCTCTGAGATTCATCCTTGATCCCTGGAGCTTGTTTGGGAAGGACCAGTTGGAAAGCTCATATTGAAGTAAATAGCATAGAATCGGGAAATCTTTGAGTATTAATCTGTCATTTATGTGGTAGCTGATAGTTAATGAGTTATGTAGCCTCTGCAATCCGATTTCCTCTTCAGAAAAATCAGCTAATAACATTCTTTCATATTTTAACAGAAAAATACATATAATAGGCAACCAAAATTCTTAATGTGGTCAGGACCTCTTGGATTTGAGAGGACAGACACAAGAGGAGTTGGAGAAAGGATTGGGGTGGAAAGGGTATAAATATAGAACTCAATTTTGAAATTCTCAAAAAATTAAAACTAAAAAAGATTAATATGTTGATAACACATCTTTGGTACCATCATTTGAATCCTGTATCTATATGTGTGTAGTTCTAATAATGTCTGGCATACAAAAGTAGCCATCCATTGAGAGTTCTGGGCCTCATTAAATGATCTTTAGAAAAGAATGGAGAAACATAAAAAGGAAGAAGGGAGGGAGGGTGCAATAAGATTATGGACTCACGCAAATGTTGAAAGTAGCCCCCTCTCATCTAGCTCCTTGGGGGGATGCCTTTTCTAGCCCCTACTGCGTGATGACCTCTGTAATGTTGCCAGACGCAAACCACAAAACTATGAAGTTCAGAAAATAGCTGTTGAGACCAGGATACAGCTCTGTGGTAGAGTACTTAACTAGCATAGATGAGCCCAAGGTTCAATTCCCAGCACCACCAATAATGAAAAGACCAACATGAAAAAAAAATCGGAACAACACGATGGCCTGAGTCTAAATCTTTAATTTTACTAAAGAAGTCAATGGAAGTCTTTAAGTAAGTAAATTCAGAGACAGAATGTAGTGCCTCCATTTCTAAATTTAAAGTCCTGCATATATTTTGTCAGAGCAAATGCTCCAAATTCCTGTATCAAAAGCAAATCTCTGAGGTCATAGATAGGCCTAAACTTACAATATTTATAAGCAAATGATCATCACCCTCTTCTTATAGCATATGCATTCTGCTTATATTCTTTCTGAAGTGGCACATCTGAGCTCAGAGTATCCATACTCTTCTTAAACAGGGCAGTGAATCAAGTTTCGAATGGTCCGACGGCAGTGCGTTTGACTACATCCCTTGGAAGAGCCAAGGGTCTCCTGGAAACTGTGTCATCCTAGATCCGAAAGGAACTTGGAAACATGAAAATTGTCTATCTGTTAAGGATGGTGCCATTTGTTACAAGCCTACAAAATGTAAGACTCGATTTTGAATAACTGTATTTACTATAATTTGATATAAATGTATACACATTATTTAATGAGCATTTTTATTTAGATTTTTAAATAAGGCTTGCCTACAAATTCTATAAAAAACACTTTCTGATATTTTGTGAATGGATGTATAACTGTTATATCTGTCATGGAATTTGTTGCCAAGGAGGTTTATGATTCTATCTCTAGTTACATTTTACTTTAGAATCTGACAGATGCTTGCTTCTCATAGAGATGGTTCTCAAAGACTGCGGTGTTCCCTTAATGGCATTATCAAAACCAGCTTCTTGGGCACCGGGGGAAAAGAAATTCTAAGAAAAACTGTTGGGATATGACATACGATAAAGCACACAGACAGAAAAAAAAATCCAAGAAAACAAGAGTGAGGAATGACTGTTCAAAATGCAAACATAATATTACCATATGATCCAGCAAGTCCATGTCCAGGGTTAGACTTAAAAGAACTAAAAACAGACACAGTGACTGTACAGCCACATTGGTAACAGCGTAATTCATACCAGCCAAAGGCAGAAAGGACCCAGGCATCTTCCAATAAATGAGTGGATAAGTAGAATGTAGTATGTGTATGAAAATGTATGAGTAAAATACACACAGGAGTACTACTTAAAAAGGAAGGAGATGCTAACATATGCCACAATGCAGCTAAATCTTGAAGATGATATGCTAAGCAAAATAAGCTGGTGATAAAAGGGAAAATTCTGTATAATTCTCCTTATATAAGGTACCTAGAATTGTCAAGTTCACAGTAACAGGATGTCTAATGATGGTCTATCACGATCTAGAGAGGGTGAGGTTTAGATAGTTACTGGGTCCAGAGTTTCAGTTTACAAGATGTAAAGTTCTGTAGTTGGGTAGTAGTGCTTGCTGTGAATGAGGTGCACACTAAAACATGATCAAGATGATGGTGTGTGTACTGGTGCACATGTGTAATCCTAGCACTCAGGAGGAAAAACATGAACTCAGAGCCAGTATGTTCTAGGGTGTCCTTAAGTTACAGAAACAGGGCCCAGCAGTAGTGGCTCACCCTTTAATCCCAGCCTTTGGGAGACAGAGGTAGGTGGATCTCTGTGAGTTCTAGGCTAGTCTGGTCTACAGAGTAAGTTCCAGGACAGCCTCCAAAGTTTTTCTGTCTCAGAAAACAAAAACAAAAAAGCTACAGATACAAAACCCTGTTTGAGGAGAAAACAAAAGCAACCAAACAAGGTTGAAGTGATACAGTATATATTATGTATATTTTCCTATCCCAGCACCTCAGAAACTGGATCTGGTGAAGCATGCCTGTGAGTCAAACACTTGGGACTCGGTAGGATGAGAAGTTCAAGGCCATCTTGAACCAACCTGAACTACATGTTTCACAATAGTTTTCCCCCCTGAGCAAGAATCCAGCAGAGCTGGAATGTAGAGCAATGTTAAAGTGCTTGCCTAACACTTGAGAGACCCTGTATTGTGTTCCCAGTGCCAAACAACAACAAAAAGACTATAACAAACTTACCACAATGCGAGCTCTTAAAAAAATTCACAAGTTGGAAACACAGCTTCATAAAGATTAGAAAGGAAAGGAATGTCTGCAACACAAGGCAGCCCAGCTGCAGACAGTTCTAGAAACCAACGACGTTGGCACATGAGATGTTAGGAGGCCACATGCCCTGTGGTACTGTGGTGGCTGGTGGGTGAACTCACATCACATCCACTGAAGCAACACACAGCTAAGCCCACAATCACAGGCTGTATCTCTTTGCCTCATCAGCTACTTTCACAAAGCTGCAAAGGCAAGAACTTGCAGGTAGATAGCTCTCCTTCCACCAGTGAGGAATTCAATGGTTGCATTCACTCGGTCAGCAGCAGTTAGGAAACTCACCCACTAACCCAGCTGTTGAACTGACTGGGGGAGCATGGGGTGGTGCTCAAATAGGTAGCATTAGGAAGGCTAAGCCAAACAACTGAAATTTGGCAGGTTAGATCCTGCCTTCTAACAGAAGACAGAAGCAGAAGGAACTAGTCAACCCAAGGTTCTTGATGAAGGTAATGTCAGGAGCCATTTTTCCTGGAAACACAGAAGCCACAAATAAGAAAAAGCCCACCCACCTGTGACCTGCAGAGCCCAGGTGGAGAGTTTTAAGGTAGTGTAGAGTGCACGGTGGAGCTGAAGTCTGGGCTGAGAACACCACCTGGGACAAGGCCAGAAATTTGACTCAGATGAGAAACTTGACTCAGATGAGCTGTACTTAGCCTCTTTCCAGTTTTGTGCTCTTGAAAAGGAATTAATCACAAGCCCTAAGGGACCCAACCTTCCTCCATAGGCTTCTAGCATTACTCAGCGCAGCTAAAACACAAACAAAACAGGTTACGTAGAAACCAGAAGAACTTTTTTTTTGAAGACTTATTTATTATGTATACAGAGTTCTGCCTGCATGTATGTCCAAACACCAGAAGAGGGCACCAGATCTCATGTGGTTGCTGGGTATTGAACTCAGAACCTCTGGAAGAACAGACAGTGCTCTTAACCCCTGAGCCATCTCTCTAACCCCCCCCCAAAAAAAAGAACTTTTAAGAGCTTAAAAAGATAACATCTTTTGATTTGATAGAGATTTAAAAATTACCAATCTTTTTTTACTTGTGGGTGAAACTTTTAAAGTCAATCTTCATGTTGGTTGATAAATGTTGGTTCATGTTTTCACAATAAAAGGGAAGCTAAGGGAATGAAATTTAATTATTGGTTCAGAGTACTGGCAGGCCTACCAAAGCCTGTGTTTTCTTCCTTTCTCTGTCTGTGTGTCTGCTTGTTCTAAGTTGGTTGAACTCCATCCTCAAGGGGACGCATTCCAAACAGCTAACCAGAACATATCTGTAGATCCCTATCAGGGCTTTTGCTGGTGTATGTATCGAGGTACAGGCTGCTTATCCAGAAGCACAGGTTTCATATGGGAGCATTGAATGAGATTTGGGAGCATTGACCTCTCCTATGACAGCTGTGTCTAACATTGTCCACAGTTAAAGAGCTGGCCTCTCATGCACACTCATCAAAATGCCCATTGGTGAAAAGGAATGGCTCCCAGTGGGTCCAGTATGGGGACCACTGTTACTCGGCTGAGCAGGCATTACACACCTTCGCAGAGGCCAAAAAATTGTGCCAGGAACTTGGTAAGTTAAATTCACTTGTTTTCTTTTGACTAATTTTTGACAAGTTTTTTTCTTAAGGAAATAATGGGGGGCGGGGGAATTACCATGTCTTGGACAGTGTTTTAAAAGCGTTTCATTTCATAGTAGCATTATTATCTTATTGTCCAGCAGTAGGGAAATAGTATTTTATACACAAGAGCTCAATGGAAGATTGCAATAGTCGTTAAAAATGATTGATATAGACTGAGGAAATGGCTTATATGGTAGAGCTATGTTTGCCTAGCTTGCACACACTAACCCCTTGGATCTGATTCCCCAGGACCACATATATTGAGCTGGTGGCACATGCCTACAATCCCAGCTCCTAGAAGGTCTGATAATCAGAAATTAAAGGTCATCTTCAGCAACCTAGTTCTAGACCAGCCTGGGCTACATGAGACCAGATGGTTCACATACACATAGGGAAAGGTTTAAAAATAAATAAATGCAGACCCTGAAAATCGGCCAGTGTGGCCCCGAGTTTTCCTTTTCCGGTTAGTGGTGCAACATGGTGAGGTGCTGGAGTTCAGACTCGCAGCTATGCCATCCGAGGTCAGCTGTAGTCGGCGCAAGCCTTCAGATGCAAGCAGACAGCCGCAGCCGTGACAGCACCACCAATGGGGAAATGGGCTCACCTAGGTGAGCAGGCATCCCCTAGAGATTGTCCAGCCACGCAAGCTGCAGTACAAGTTACTGGAGCCCGTTCTGCTGCTGGGCAACGAGCGATTTGCTGGTGTGGATTTCTAGGTCCGTGTGAATGGTGGTGGTCACGTGGCCCCAATTTATGCTTTCCGGCAGTCCATCTCCAAAGCTCTGGTGGCTTGTTACCAAGAGTATGTGGATGAGGTCTCCAAGAAGGAGAGCAGTATGATCGGACCCTGCTTGTAGCTGACCCACCTACCGATAAGCCCATCTCAGGGAAACATCCTAGGATTGTAATATTAAGAAATAAATAAAATGCCAGGTGGTGAAAGCGCATACCTTTGATGCCAGCACTTGGGAGGCAGAAGTAGGTGGGTCACTGTGAATTGGAGGCTAGCCTGGTCTATAGAGAGAGTTCCAGGACAGCCACGACTACACAGAAAACCCGTCTCAAAAACAAACAAATAAATAAATACCAAAATGAGAGTAAATATATTGAAAGCGAAGATGGAAAGAAGTAAAAATACTAAGTGTCCTGTCTATTAATATCAAGTAGTAGTGATGATAAATGAAACAGCTTTAAATATACTTCAAGATGCTTAGAAAAGGGTGTTAAAAAGCAAAAATAATTAACTCTATGGCCCATTACCGACTTTTAATATTAAGCTGATACTGAAGAGGGTAATCAAATCAACTGAGCATGAGTTGTCCATCATTCTGAATAGGATCGCCCCACATCCGTTTAAGAACCTAAATAAGGGACAGGACTTTAGTCTTCAGATTTAGCCATTTCAGAAAAACAAAAAAAGCAGCAGTGATTGAGGGACCCTATCACTGCCTTCAATCAAAACATGAAATGACTTCTAAGAGAGCCACCTATAGTATTTTAAAAATCAGAACTATTTCATTTCATCCTTGGGTAGCTATGTAGCCAGGCAGACAGCATTTAGTTCATTTATTTTGCTAAATATTGTGGAGACAGCTGGTTAGAAAGCATTTTAGCTACTGCTTAACTACCTAACAGGAACTTTGTGTGGGAACCCTGGTATACTCTACATGTCTGTACATGATGAGAACTATAATAAGATATCTCCATGCATTTGCATATGTGTATATGCCTCTTCCTCCTAGGAACATTTGCTGTACACGTAGCACGTGGGCAGGTAAGGCATTTAAGATTTTGAGGCAAACAGGCTGGGTTCATTTCCTGACTCTCAGATGAGTAACTGACCCTGCAGAAGTGACAGAATTGTTTCCTTCTCTAGTCATTGAGAATGGAAACTTGGGAGTCTGGGACATTTGGGGGCGTTGCAGGGGTAGCATGAGTGTGCACACGTAGCGCAGTTCCCTGAACACGGTGAACTCAGGACCAGTCTTCTCCCCAAGGTTTCGGATGTCCTCTTTAAGTTCTCCAGTTAGCTGGCTCTGTAAGCCCAAGAAATGACTTCATCTTCTTGACTGTCCGTTTCCTTCTCTGTAAAAGGTGGTAATGCCTTTGACATTATCTCCTAGGCTGCATGATGTTAAATACATTCAATTTAGAGGCATAAGCTTTGTTTCCTTTGAAGATGGATTTTCTAACCTGGAAACATAACTAAGCTTAAAGAATATTCATTCATTTGGTCCCATATCTTTTCTAGGAACTTATGATGGTTATGACCAACCACATTTTTGTGTGCCATATGGGGAAAGGAGGGTGGGTGCTCCCTCAGATCACAAGCCAGGCTTCTTTGAATTCTATTTTGAGCAGAAGGAAGTGTAAATCTAAATTACACAAAAATGCTTTTTTGAGGCAAGACCTAGAAATATATAGGTGGCATATACTTGTACAGTCACAAGCCCCAGTTATCACAGCCAAACACAAAGGTCTCACTGATTTGACACTTCCAGAACCAAAAAAATATTGCCAGATACATGTTTTTTTTTTACTTATGAAATTTCTCAATGCAAATTTTCCATTTAAAAATATTCCTTATTTCTTTGGAACTGTTATTTGTGGAAGCACTTAATTTTTGACACAAATATCAAAAGCTTAAGGAGGGTTTCTGAGTGAAGTTTGAATTTCCTAATGGTCTTGTTCACAATAGATATTGTTTTTTCCAAATGGGCTGGTCAGAATGAAGTCCTTGCTTAACATAATTAAGGTACAATTTGTTTCCTTTCAATAGATCATTCCGCAACTGTTGTCACCATAGCAGATGAAAATGAGAATAAATTTGTGAGCAGGTTGATGAGAGAGAATTATAACATAACTATGAGAGTTTGGCTTGGATTATCTCAACATTCACTCGGTAAGTGACGTGTGTATGTGTGTGTGTGTGTGTGTGTGTGTGTGTGTATGTGTGTATGGGTGTGTGTGTATATGGGTGTGTGTGTATGTGTATGTGTATGGGGGTGTGTGTGTATGGGTGTGTGTGTATGTGTGTGTATGTGTGTGTATGGGTGTGTGTGTATGTGTGTATGGGTGTGTGTATGTGTGTATGGGTGTGTATGTGTGTATGTGTGTGTATGGGTGTGTGTGTATGTGTGTATGAGTGTGTGTGTATGTGTGTGTATGGGTGTGTGTGTGTGTGTATGTATGGGTGTGTGTGTATGTGTGTGTGTGTGTGTGTGTGTGCAGCATGCAGAGTTCTAAGGTTGGACACGGTGGCCCACACCTATTTTCTAACACTCTGAACAGTTTTACCATAGTTCAGAATTAAGTCTTACCAGAGCTGTATCTTTCCAATAAGCTCAGTTAAATCTAAAGAGAATATGTGGAAAATGTTTTCAGTAAAGAACAGATACGAACTTTGAAAGATGAAGCTGGAATTGATAAAAAATGAATTAAGTGTATAAATTTGGTAATCTGTTTCATACTTTATGTAAAAGTAATATTAAATAATTAAAATAAATGTCAGCTCTAAAATATCAAGTCATTTTCAAAAAATGAATGGATTCAATATTAGCTGTCTAAATGAATTATAAATGGTGTTTACACACTTCCAAACTGCTGAAAAACAAAAGCGGGCTGGGGCTGGGGGTGATCCCAAGCCCTTATAGTCCCTCCTCCCCGCCAGCAGCATAGCTTTGATGATACGGTTTCTTAAATAATGGAGAGTACAGATCCTTGCATATGTGTTTATCACAAGCAAGCATTCTGTACCTTTATCAAAACATGCCTGTGGGTGTCAATTAGAACACTCTATAAAGACGAAAATGAAAATGGGGACTAGAGAAATGGCTTAGTGGCTAAGAGCACTTGATGCTCTTCCAGGGGACCCTAGTTTTTTTCCCAGTACCCACATCACTTGGCTCACAACTGTCTGTAACTCCAGCTCCTAGGGATCTGCATCCATAGACACTTGTACTCACATGTACAGAAACACACACCTACACATAGCTTTAAATAATAAGAATGCACCATTTTAAAAATGAAAACATCCTATTTCTTATTGCCCAAGACAGCAGTTACTAGCCACACTGAGCACTAAGGCTTAAAGGATTAATGAATTTCACTGTGTGTGTCCATGTTCATTTATGCATGCACATGGGTGCTCATGTTCATGTGTACATGTGTATGTAGGTCAGAGGTCAACATCACATATCTTTCTCAGTTGCTCCCCACCTTATTATTTGAGATAGAATTTTTCACTGAGCCTAGTTCTCACTGATCCAGCTAGAGTGACTGGTGAACACAGTCCAGGGGTTATATGTATACCTCACTAGTTTATAGGCATGTGCCGTGGTGTCCGGTTTCTTTCTGTGGGCCCTAAGGGATCAGACTCATGTCCTTGTACTTCCATGACAAGCACTTTAGTGAATGAGCCATCTCTACAGCCTGTTGAGTTTTATTTTTAAATAATAGCATCGTATAAAACGACACCATGGGGCTGGAGAGGTGACTCAGCAGTTAAGAGCACTAGCTGCTCTTCCAGAGGTCCTGAGTTGAATTCCCAGCAACCACATGGTATCTTACAACCATCTATAATAGGATATGATGCCCTCTTCTGGCATTCAGGCATACATGTAGAGCAAGCACTCAAACATAAAAAAACAATCAACTTCATGCTACGAAAATGAGTTATTTGAACCTCAGGCTTTTTTTTAAAGCTTTGTAATTAGTAGCAATAAATATAATTGCATTTATTATCTTTCTTTAGATCAGTCTTGGAGTTGGTTAGATGGACTAGATGTGACATTTGTCAAGTGGGAAAATAAAAGTAAGAATGGTGATGGAAAATGTAGCATTTTAATAGCTTCAAATGAAACCTGGAAAAAAGTTGAATGTTCACGTGGTTATGCAAGAGTCGTCTGCAAAGTTCCTCTGAGTAAGTATGCAACCTGTCCTTCTGGGAGCATTGAGCAGAGCAGGGTAAGAAATAAATATAGGGATATTCTGTGGCTCTGTGGAAGAGCCCTTACTTAGTGAACAAGGGGCCCCAGGTTCACACATTGCTGCCAATAAATAGACAGCACATCTATGTGCTTGGGTCTAGTCCACGTAATTTTAAGTATTTATAAAATATATCTCAAATCTTCATTAAATCACGGAGATTTTATATAATATATAAATATATAATATGTCTAGAATTCCAAACTAAAGCTATTAAACCACCTAAATTCTTTATAAGCCTCTTCTAACTAAAAGTGGAAGCTGCCATAGAACTGGGGAGGAAATTTCTTTCAGAATGTCTTTACAGTGTTATTCTGCATTCTCCCTCTTTAAAAGCTTAAAGGCTTAATTTGTGGCTAGTGTATTAGTTACTGCTGGTTTCCTGTTGCTGCCTACATAAGCAGCTTATGGAAGAAAGGTTGTCTTTTGTCTTAAGTAGGATAGAGCCCTGGATGTTGCGGAAGGCTTGGCAACAGAAGCAGGCAGTTTGGCTGATCACATTGCCATTCACATACAGGAAGCAAAGAGGGCAAACAGGAAGTGGGGTAAGGCTATAAATTCTCAAAGCCTTCTCCCTGTGGCACACTTCCTCCAGTAAGGGGCCACCTACTAAAACTTACATAACTTCTTCAAATTGGGCACAAACTAGGATCAAGTGCCCAAGTTCACAAGCCTTTTGGGATATTTCTCATTCAAACTACCACATCTAGTTTGAATCCTTTCTCATTGGTCCATAAAACTTTCATAATGAATTTTTTTATTGTTTTGTTTTTGCGTTTTTTTTTCCAAGACAGGGTCTCACTATGTAGCCCTGTCTGTCCTGGGACCTCACTATGTAGACAAGGCCACCCTCAAACTCACAGATATCTACCTGCTTCTGCCTCCCAAGGGCTGGGATTAAAGGCATGTGCCACTACACCTAGCCATAAAGAATTTTAAGACTATCTAAAACTAGGTCTAGCTACTTAAAGTGCTCATGGCAGCTGTATGAAACTGCAATCTGAAGTTTAGTTTTGTCATGAATTGATATATAAAACAACCATAATAATATCATTGAGCTCCATTTATGGAGAAGAGACTCTAAACCTTTTACGTGAACACTTTAAAACAGCTAGCATGGGCTTTCCATTTTGGCATTGTAAACATTAAAGAGAAAGCCCAATTGCAGTGAAGAGATATGCGTGTACATGTGCTGTTTTGCATGCTGAAATGCGCCTGAACAAGGCAGACCAGCTACATGTTATCAGACTGTCCAATTCGGTGAGGAAGATGAATTAGTGACAAGCAAGTCAACTTTTTTGTCGTTGTTTTTAGAGAGGGAAATACAAGCAGCTGTAAAGTCAGTGTGCGGACAACCAGGTGGGTGGCTATTCTATACGATCTCGGAAGGTGTCTCTAGTGGAGGTGCTGAGGTTGAGTACAGGAAGGTCAGCCCAGCGAGCTCAGGAGACAGACACAGCAGAGAGGAGCCGGGTGCAGTGAATCCAACGGCAGAAGGAGCGCTGAGCTCTCGGAAGAGCTGCTAGGCAGACGAGACTGAGACTCTTAGTAGGGTGGCAAACAACAGGCAGGAAACCCTGGCTCTTTTCCCAGTGAAGTGGAAAGCAGCTAGGACGTGTGCGGGGAGAGGCGACAGCACTGGTGTGCGGGGAGAGGCGACAGCGCTGGCGTGATAAAAATTACAGTTCTGGTCTTGACCATTTTGAGTTTGGGATATGGAAATCCATATGGGAATGTCCAGTGTGCAGCTGAATACATGAGAGAGACAGACAGCATAGGGATGGCATTTGAAGTCCTGAGCGAGTGGAAAGGATGTAACTTGGTGGGGTGCTTGCCTCAGCATGCACAAAGTCCTGAGGTATGACGATGGGTTTGGAATTCCGTCAAGGCTATGAAACAATGTATAACCTGTACAGGGTTTAGTATCTTACCCACAGTTTACCAAATAGAATCAGAAACGATGGCAACTGTTGTATTCCTCTTCCAATGTCCCGCTGTCTGGATTCCAGGCCCGGATTACAGAGGCATCGCCGTCCTGTTCGCTGTGCTCAGCGTTTTAGCGCTCATCAGCGGACTCATTTGGTTCCTCGTGCAAAGAAACCATTTCCGCTGGACAGGCTTGTCTTCTGTTCGGTATGAACACGGAGCCAACGAAGACGAGGTGATGCTCCCTTCTTTCCACGACTAGCTTCTTCCAAGAGTTTGTTCATTGGCAACAACGTTCCAGAAGAAAGATGAGCCGCTTAACCTTGTCCCACAAGCAGTGTTTACTCTGTTTCAAAGTAGAAGTCTTTTAGGGACGCTTCTAGTTGGTGAGTTGCTCTGCTGAGGCGGGTGTCACTTGACCCTCTAACCGCCATGCTAATTACTCCAGGTGCCTGAGCAGAGAGGACTTAAAACCAAAATGGATGTTCAGATTGTTTACAGGGGGATACATTTAACTAATGTGAATTTTTTTTCTCTAAGAATGCAGTTGCTAAATAGATAGGTGCATATCTTAATAGCGTTTTAACAACTTCATTGAAAATTAAAATTGTCAATACTACTATACGCCACATCAACCCTTTAGTTTAGATGAGCATTGGGCCAAATGCAAAGTTAGTACCTCAGGCACAAACTCAACTACAAGTCAGATCGATGATGTTTCAAAATAGGCTTTTATGGCACTGGGAAAAAATACTTAAGGCATGCTTTTTACACAGAAAATGGGGCCTCCTGGAAGATGTTTCTTATATTATTTCAAAGATATCTATACCAATATTAATTAGTTGTAATGTTTTCTATTTATATACTTGTATTCAGTGGGGTTTTTTTTATCTTTTGAGGAAACAGAGTTTAATGTTTCGTAAAGTGTGGGGTTGCGACTGTTAAATTGACTAGGCGTGTTGTATCAGCATGTCTTCTGTTTGATGATTTTCTTTTTTACAAGGACCCAACTACAGATGAGATTTAAACTTTTACAGTTTTTATATTTCACACAGCACATCAACTTTTGATGAATGTTATTTTGTAACCTTTTTAGCAAAGCAAAACATAAAAGCAGTCTTTGAATGGTGGTGTTTGCTAACTTTGTATTTGTAAAATGAAAGCTTCTAAGACCTTGAAACTTGAAACTTTGTCATTAATGTAGAAATATTTAAAATCTAAATGACTAGGGGAACATTATTTTGTGGATGTAATTTCCATTTTAAGACCCAGAATATATTCTTATAAGTCGTGTCCACTAAATAGGATGACACTTTTATTCAGTGTTTAATTCATATTTATATTTTAGAATATTTTTGTACAAGATACAGATTTATTTTGTTTGAGGTGTTTATACTATCATAAAGTTGTAAATAATTTTCTAAGACTGTTTTAATATGGTCCACAAATGTCCTAAATATTTTTATTGAGGCATCTTAGAAATAACCATTCAGTTTCTTCAAAGACCTAAACGAATGCATTGTGACCACAGCTGTGTATATGGCTGATGCCATGGTAAAGTTATCTTGCCTTTTAAAAGTGGTGGAGTTGATCAGTGCATGCAAAAGCATCTCTGAATTGATTGTATACCATGCCTAATATGACGAGAAAGTGCCCAGCTGTTGCAAGGTGAGGTGTTAAAGATTCTGCAAGCACTGTCTAGAGAATAAATTCCTGTATCTCTGAATGATTTTAGTCTCCTTGCCTCAGTGTTTCTCTTTTGTGTGTGTTGTATACTGTGTGTGGGGGAGGGGGGTACTTGTACATGAGTATATGGGTGAATGCTTCCATGTGTACTTGTACAGAGACCAAAGGACATCAAGGGTTTTCTTCTGTTGCTGTCTGTCTGCTTATCTTGTAAACTGGAACCTTGACTTAGCCAGAAAGCTCCAAGGATCCACTGGTCTCTGCCCAGAAATGTTGGAGTTTCAGACATGCAATGCCATGTACATCTCTTTACATGGCTGCTGGGGATTCGAACTCTGGGCCTGAGGCTTGAAAATTAAGTACTCTTATAGAGCCTTGTCTCAAGCCCTCAATGTGTACATTAGCTTCTCTCAGCAGGGCTCCCATCTGTGTTATATAAATCTCTCATTCTTTGGGCTCCTCTTAGAGGATCCTTCAAATGCATAGTTCCAGTGATCCATTAGATGATATACTTGAAAGCTCTTCTCAACAAATCCAGAACTGCCCCCTTGTGGTTCCTTTTCCCATTTTCCAGTCCCAGATGTCTTTTTACTTAAGACAATCCATCCCAGCCTTTTCTGGCTAACCCAGTTACTACATAAGGTCAGGTCAAATTTGTCTCTTCAAGCCAAACACCTAAAGGCAAGTCAGTGGCCCCAATAAATAAGCATAGGGAAAAAATACAGAAGTGATACCAACATTCACTCCCTTCTTCCTCCCTTCCCTTCCCCAGACATCGGCAAATTCTCCCTAGTAAAAGGCTGCAGTATTGTTTTGTTTTTGAGATGGGGTTTCTCTATGTAGCCCTGGCTGTCCTAGAACTGTTCGTGGACCAGACTGGCCTCCAACTCAGATCCACCTGCCTCTGCCTCCCAGGTGCTGGAATTAAGTGCATGTGCCACCACACCCAGCTAAAGGAGGGGGAAAAAAATGGCTCCATGCCTTACCCTTTGCTGAGATTCTTGTGGAGAACATTGGAGATCCTGTTCCTTCATCTCAGGGTCCTTTTATTGCTAAAAATGTCTTGCAGAAGCAGAGACCCCATTGCAATTAATGAATACAGTAACAATCTCGCTTAGGAAGAGAAATTGAAATTCGTTCTCAAAAGAAAGACTCTTTAAACTAAGCCTTCATGAGAGCACTATGTCAGATACACAGATAAGCACATCTGTGGCAATGCACACTGTTAGACCTCATTGAGTGTTAGCTCACAAGGCACAGCAGTTTAGGTGGCAACATGTCTGCTTCCTTTGAAATTCTGGGTGAGGCAAACGTGTTCATCTGTTGTTGCAATCTCAGCTTTTTTTTAAGTTTTGTTTTTATTATGTGTATGTATGTTGGTATGTGCACATGAATGCAGTGGCTGCTGAGGCCAGGATGGGGTCTTGGATTCCCTGGTTTTGGCACTACAGACACTGTGAGCTGCCCATCAGATGCTGGGAATCAACCTGTGGTCCTCTGCAAGAGCAGCACATAACCTCTGAGCCGTCCCTCCAACCCCAGAGTTCTGTTTTTTAATACTAACTTTTATACGCCTATCACTCATCACGGACACGTGTGTGTGTGTGTGTGTGTGTGTGTGTGTGTGTGTGTGTGTGTGTGTGTACAGAGTGACAACAAAGGATTCAAGAGTCAAGATGTTTCAAAAAGGCCTGAGAAGCTGAAGCTGGGAAGCGAGACAGATGGTGCTGGCTGGTCACATGGCTACCCCGTGCACAGCCATCCTCCATCCTCTAAATGGAGTCCGCAGCTGCTTGTGAAGTAAAGCCTCTGAGGGCAGGATGCATCTAAGAAAGCCCTGCTTTACACAATGCACACTGTCTTAGAGGGGAACAGCTTGACCGCAACATCAAACTGATGATCTGTACACTCGGCTCCAATTCCCTGCATGTTCTGTTGAAACAGTCTCACTATATCTACACCTCCACGAGCTGAGTGTTCACACATTTCTTTCTTTCCCCTGAAGTAAGCTAATCACAAGCAGGATTTGAGAAACTATCCCGCTTCCCAAGCAGTTATTCTATTTCTATAAGAAGGCATAATTTTTGTCTCCAAGTTAGAAGTCTGAAGTCACCTGCAAATCCTTTTTCATCCAGTGATTTTCTCAGTTTTCCCTGGACTTCCCAGAAACAGGGCCATTGCCAGTCACCAACTGTCTCATTTCAGATCTCTGTCATTCCACACACACACACCCCTCCCACCGACCTAACCTTGATTGATAATCAGTCCTGGGTGGGCTTGGTTTCCTGGCCAAGGAACGTAGCGTCAAGTTGGTGGTTAAGAAACAACAGGGAGAACGGCCAGCACTAGGAGAACATAGCAATTGGGAAACCATTGGTGATCCTAAGCAATGGAAATCCAGCAGCAGAATGGAGCCAGAGTCCAGAGGAAGTGAGCGGAAAAGAAGGAATCGGGAAGTGGGAAGGGGAGAGTTTGAGAAATACGGTGGGATGTATTCTGAGGGTATATTCTGAGGAAGTTGTTTAAGAAATCTGGTGGAGAAGGCTGGTCCATGGCAGGTTTGAGGATTTCCTTCCTCCCTTCTTTCCTTCCTTCCTTCCTTGTCTTCCTTCCTCCTTTCCTGTCTTCCTTCCTTCCTTCCTGTCTTCCTTCCTTCCTCCCTTCCTACTCTCTTCCCTCCCTTCCTTCCTCCCTTCTTTCATTCCCAAAACAGATGGAATATATTATTTTTGTGGCAATGAGGACAGAATTCAGATGTATTGCCGCTAACCTACCACTCCCAGCCCTTGGTTTGTTTGGGCAGGATATCACTGCGGGCCAAAGCTGGTCTCAAACTCCTTTTCCTCCTGTTTCCTGAGTGCTCAAATTACAGACATGCATTACCATGGCAGGTCCACAGGTTTAGAAAACAGAAGGAGGGAAAAACGGAACTGTTGATGATACAGAGGAGACAGAGGAGTCATCAATGGGAGACAATTTTGGAGAAGATGGGACAAGAGGGGGTGGTTCTCAACTTGCAGAAAGAGGAAGTTGGCTTGCCTGAGATGAGGAAGCATGTCTTCTGCTCTGAGGCTACAAGGGAAGTGCTGCAGAGAAGCATTTGAAGATGTCTGTCTCTAGCTGATAGCTGACGGCCTCCATGTTCTTGTTCAGCAGAATGTACCATGTTCTTATGAGAAAGCAGACAAAGATTTAACTTAAAGATAGCAATAAAAAATTGACATGTACAATGAAAGGGATGGGAGAAGACAATGACCAAGGTAAAAAGAAAAGGATTACAGAAGGGTCACATGGGACCCAGATGCACTGGTAACGACATCTGTTGGAAGAATGGACTTTCTCTTGCGGTCCTTAGTTATTTAGATATACCTGGGGGCTGGGGGAGAAACTGGAGACAAAAGAGGCTCAGTCTGAGAGCTGGCTGGGTGGTGCAGCCAATAAAAGGGTTAGAGGCTGCCAGGAATGAAAGGGAGAAACGAAAGGCTGTGGAAAATAAATAGAATGAGACCAGAGAGGAGATATGATTAGAGAGGAAGATGCCGAGTGATGAGTTTCAGTGGACGCTACGTTCTCTCCCAAACAGGCAACAGATAATCAGGTCCAAGTCTTAGCAGGAAAAGAGAGGCAGTGTGTAGCAGAGTTGCCTAAGGGAAGAACCGCCTTTTTTTTTTTTTTTTTTTTTTTTTTTTTGGTTTTCGAGACAGGGTTTCTCTGTATTGTTTTGGAGACTGTCCTGGAACTAGTTCTGTAGACCAGGCTGGCCTCGAACTCACGGAGATCCGCCTGTCTCTACCTCCCAAGTGCTGGGATTAAAGGCGTGCGCCACCAACGCCCGGCTCACGCCTTTCTTTAGTTCAAATGATAGAACAAACACCCCACTGAAGTAAGTCACAGCTTAAATAAAACCAATTCATTAGATTGTCCGTTCTATTCTGTATCTAAGATATCTTTGAAAATTAGTTGAACATAAACTGATCCACATGCATAAAAACACTTTGGGGCCCCAAGGTGGCAGTGAAGAGAACTTAATTGTGTGATTCCATAGAACTGTTGCATAGTTAGTGGGCAAAAGAGCCCAAAATCAAAGTGTTCCCATATTTAAACACAGAATAGTTTTGGAAAGATTTGCTCTCAGTTTGAGTTTGGTGCATGAACCCATTATTGACAATTTACAAAGACTGAAAATAATGAGCAAAGTCTAGGCTCGTGGGCAAAGAGCCTGGAGTGCTATGGATAAAGACTGGCCCACACTGTCTCTAGCTCTTCATGATGTCCCCAACAGGTCCTTTTGGTGACATGCTTTCTGTATGCATTCCCACCAGCAGTGAGCTGCTACTCCCCATAGGTATGTGGTAACATTTAATTTTTACCTTAATTGACAATCCTCTAGTGACATGTTTTCATAAGCTTGTTCTCTATACGCTCATCTCCTTGAGGGAGAAATCTCCTCCAACTTTGCCTATTTTTCAGTTGGGTTGCTTGGTTTTCTCTGTTTTGAGTTTGACTTGATTTTATATATCAATGACATGAGGGCCCAAGGGGCCTTGCTTGGTTATAGTGTTCGAGAAGCCAGCTGGATTGTTATAGTTATATACCCTCCCCTCTCTCTCCACCCAAGTTGTAGTTTTCTCATCTCACACCCCACCACCATCAAGAACAATTAGATTGAGGCCTTCCCTAGATTGTGGATGAGCTACTAGGGGGGTCACATCACTAAGGAAAATGGACTCCCCCTTTCTCAGTTCCATCAAATGCTAATAGCTCTTTATCTAATGGTAGGATTTTGTGCCCACCCAGTCCCTCTAGGCTGGAATTTTATTTATTATTATAATTATTATTATTATTATTGGGTTTTGTTTTGGTTTTTTTTTTTTTTTTTTTTTTTTGGTTTTTTCGAGACAAGGTTTCTCTGTATTGTTTTGGAAGCTGTCCTGGAACTCGAACTGTAGACCAGGCTGGCCTAGAACTCACAGAGATCCGCCTGCCTCTGCCTCCTGAGTGCTGGTATTAAAGGCATGAGCCACTAATGCCTGGCCCTCTAGGGTGGAATTTTGTCTGGCTTGAGGTTCCACAGCTCTTAGGCATGCTGTCACAGTCTCTGTGAATTTATATGTGTATTTGCCCTGCTGTGTCTGGAGAACAGTGTTTCCTTGATGTTATCCACAACCTCTGGCTGTTGGGATCTTTCTGACCCTTCTACACCAAAGATCCCTGGGTAATGGGGGGAGGGGTGTGATATGCAAGTCCCCACTTAAGGCTAAGTACTCTACAGTTCTTATATTCTGTACATTGACCAGTGGTGGGTCTCTGTAAACTGCCATCTACTGTAAGAAGCTTCTCTGATGAGGGTTGAGAGATACATTCATCTATGGGCAAAGCCATAAGTCACTAGGAATTACTTTAATCATTTAACAGAATAAGAATACTTGTGTTCTCTCTTAAGGTCTACAACCCATTTAGCCACGAGTTCTTGGCACAGTGCCAGGAATATGTTCCATCTTATGAAATGAGCTTTATGTAAATTGGCTGGTTACTTTTGTAATATTCATGCCACTTTCACAGCAATAGGCATATTTTGCTAGGCACATCATTGCTGTAACTTGCAGGGTTCGCATCTGGATGAGATAGAGGTACTTGAGGTACGCATTACTGCTCCTCCTGCAGTGTGTATTACAAGCACCTCCCAGCACTTGCTGCTAGGTTAGTACCACCTGGATTTCTCCAAGTTATGTGACTCTGTTACGTGGTATTTCAGCAACAGGGGCTTTCAGACAAGTTCTGAAGATAGCCAATACTATTGGCAATAACCTGTAATTCTTGGGGCCCTATGGAACCCCACTGGCAACAACTCAAGAAGCAGCCCATTCCTGGTATGGGGTTTTTTTATTTGCTAGGTTGAGATGTTTGTCCTTTTTCCCTCTTGTAAGGTAATTCCATTAAACCCTCTCTCTCTCTCTCTCTCTCTCTCTCTCTCTCTCTCTCTCTCTCTCTCTCTCTCTCCCTCCTTTTTACCCTCTCTTCTAGAGTAATTCTCCAACCCCATAGTCCTTCCTTCAACTTGCCCTATCTCCCATTCCGATTAAACCCTTCCTGTTGCATTATTCTGCTTTACTCTTGATAGTGCAATTAGTGATGGAGACATTTTTTCAAAGAGACATAGTCCACTGGGAGGAGCTTGTGAAAAGGGAAGGTTCTGGCTGCCGATCACTTAACTCAAATGACCAAAGTCCATCACACCTTGTCCCTTCTGTGGGACTCTTGCCAAAATGGCACAAACTGAATTCTACCAAGAAGAAACACCAGACAAGCCCAAATTGAAGGACTTTCCTCAAAGTGACCATAACTCTGTCAGGGTTTTTGTGTGTGTGTGTGTGTGTGTGTGTGTGTGTGTGTGTGTGTGTGTGTGTGTGTGTGTGTGTGTGTGTGTTGAAAGACAAAGAGTAGCAGAGGATAGTCCTCGACAAAAGACACTAAGGAGACATCACCTATGACCCATAAGTGTAACGCTTATTCCTGGACTGGGCCCTAGAACAGAGATAATTGTCAAATGCCACAGTGTCAACAGTGCTCCACCAATGGTCGTTTCCGGTTCTGATCACTGCCCCGCTGTTATGTAAGATGCTAACATTTAGAGAAGCTGGGCAAAGGGTTACAGGAATTTTATCTTGCAACATTTTAGAAAGTCTGAGATTATTCAATCCAAATGAAAAGTTTGTTTTCAAAAGAGAGAAGTTGGAATGTGCAGCGAGCCAGCCGCTTGGGGCTCTCTGGCCGTCCCAGCTGTGCAACCCTGGGCTCCACTCCCCCGCCTCGAGTGGGAGGCGTCGAGGCGTCGCGGCAGAGCTCGGAGCTCCGCACTCCCGACAAGCGCCGCCCCCGGTCCGCTCTCAGCGCCGAGCAGTCATGCCCCAGGCAGCGCTGTCCACGCTCCTGCTGCTGAGCCTCGCCACTGCCACCATCGCGGGTAAGCCGCCCCTGCCGCGCCCCCGAGGGTGCAGACTCCCTGCTCCCACCCTTGGCCAGTGTCTCACTGCCCCTCATGCTCTGCGCTCAGACTATCCTGCACCCATCCCTCTGTCTGGGTGGCTTCCGAGGGCCAGACCGGGTTAAAAAGACCAAGGCCAAGTACCTTCCACCCGCTTCCAGGCTTCAATCGTGTCTGCATCGTCAGCTCCGATCCCCAAGACAGCTGGCTAGCTGGAGGGCAGAGGAATTTAGAGTCCCTCGATGGGTGGCAGCAGGGAAGAGATCAGGCCTGGGGGCGGAAGGAGGTAGGAAATGGGCCCTGTCCCTTGGCTGGTGGTCAAGTTGTTAAAACAGGAAAAGAGTTCAGCCGAGTAACGCCCCCGCATCAAGAGAGATAAAAGGTCAGGATTGAAACCCACTAAAAAACTGATTTAGAGAAACCTTTGGTTGGCTGGTATACTAGTGACATCTGAAAAAATTAGACATAATTAGTTACTTGCAAAATGACTCCTGAGGAAGACAGACAATTCCACCAAACATGTGTTTTTCTTTAAACAAGCTTATGTGGAGGCATATCGAAAACATGTTAATGGAGAAACTCTGGGGGAGGTTCTTCCCAAAAAAACACTACCAGTCGACCATTTCCAAGAATGAAAGAGCAAAATAAACAAAAACTAAGTGAATACTTGTGTGGGCTTCAGTCACAGGATTATGCAAGAGATTTTGGCCTCCTGGATTTCACTGCATTTTAAATAAATTTCTATATGAAACATTTTAAAGGCCCTGGGTGTTGGAGACCTAGCTTAGTGAGCAGCTCAGAGCTTGCAGAACTCTTTCCCCGGGCTCCCGTAGAGCAGCACTTAGAATCAGTTAGACCATCTGCTGTCTATCTGAGGAGCAGAAGCAAGATGTGCAGTTTCACACCATTTGGATTGCGTACATCAATTCTGTCTAAGGCTGGGCTAGAGTTTCTGTGAGGTCTCAACTAATTTTGAGTCCTCTTTAGACTCCCCCTAGTTAAATCTGAGTCCTGTGAACTCCCCTCCTAGCTCACTCTCTACAGGTCCAGGGTATTAAAAAATACCTTTTTTTTCCCTCCCACCAGTGAGATGGTACAGTGGGTAAATACGATTGTTTTGCAAGCCTGGTGACCTGAATTCATTCAATCCCTGAAACCATGTAAATGTAGGAGAATAAAAGCTCCATGAAGTTATTCTCTGACCTCGGAAGGGACACTGTACCCATACACATACATCACACACACACACACACACACACACACACACAAACACACACACACACACACAGCTAGCAAATTAAAAAAAAAGAAGAAAAATACATCCGCAGCCAATCTGGAAAAACAATGAGTTTCTAGACTTTGGTATCACCTGTGGAGTTGTCCGGTGTCTGGTCTAGGCAAATAGGCTTGCCGAGAGCTTTAGGTACAGTCCGTGTTGAGTAAATTCACTCTGCTCCTCTGCCTTTCTCAGCCAGGCAACTTTAAAGATTAATGTACAATCGAGCAGGAGCACTTCACTCACTAGTTAACCAGCTTCTCTGCACTTGGGTAAAATGGAAACGATGCACTTTGTAGTGAGAACTCCATCTCATACCTATTACAGGCCCTTGAAATCCTGGTCTCCGTCCCTTTCTCTTGCTCTGCTCATAAGACACATGAAAGGTAATTGCGTCCACAGAAAGCATCCTAAGAGCTCCACTCTGTTGGCTGTTTATAGCTTCTGAGCACATTTACGTTCATGATGGAGAGAGCTTACCAAGGCTGAGGATTAGCTGATGGCCAGCCCTCAACACGAAAGGAACCTCAACAGTCCAGCATAAAGCCTGAGCTTAATGCTGAAGTGGAAATCATTCTCATTTTCTCCACCACTTTGGAGAATATTAGTGAAAGTGAGCTTGTTGGTTTCAGTTATTAGCTCTGAATTCACAATGGGTAACAAATATGGTCTAAATTGGAAGGTTCCATGGCAGACCTTGAAGGAGCTTCTGTGGTTTGGGTTTGTTCCGTTCGTTTTGTGAATGCTGCTGCGGGTCTAAGCACTGGTCCTCAAGCTTGTACAGCCAGTTCTTCACCCACTCCCCAGACCCAGAGCCTCTCTGTACCTGTGCATGTGCACACAGGAATGTGCCCGTGACTACTGTGCATGCGCACACAGGGATGTGCCCGTGACTACTGTGCATGCGCACACAGGAATGTGCCCGTGACTACTGTGCATGCGCACACAGGGATGCGCCCGTGACTACTGTGCATGCGCACACAGGGATGCGCCCGTGACTACTGCGTCAGTAACTTCCATGAGTGACACAGGAGGAGAGAATATAAGTCCTCATTCTGTGCTCACCATGTGAGTCAGAAGGAAGGCCTCTGATTTTGGGTGGCTGCTGCCTACAAGCAATGGTTTGGGTGCCCCCTCCTTCGTTTGAGTGCCCTCATCTTCTGTCTAATGCTGTGGCTGTCACACTTTTGCTCTTCACTGAGTTTCTCCACAATGACCTTGTGGGAACTGCCACCTCTGTTTCTTCTACACAGGCTGCTTACCATGTTGGTGGCATGAGCATTTCTTCCCCTACCATTTAGGTCTGTGTTACTATGACCTTCCCCAAACATCTTCTCTCTTTGTAACAGTGTTTTATCTTCAAAGCTCTTCTGAGTATATGTTACCAGTCTGTATACTTGCCCATCATTCTTTTCCCAGGGAGAAGCTATTTAATAGCAGGAACCTTACTGTCTTGAAGCATTTTATTTTGATGTGTCCTTAAGTTTTATTTTATAGTACGATGATGAAAAACTGGATGATTAAAAAAAAGTAGAGGTGCATTGTGGTTTCTTTTCAATCATATCACTTCTGCCTGAACTTATAACTGAATTCAAAATGTGTACAACCCGAAAATCCATAGAAGCCACTTTTTCTCAACATTAGAGGTGGAGCAGTTCTAGTTCAGAGGAAATTATCTCAGATGAGATGTAAGAATATTTTTATTGGGACTGGAGAGATGGCTCAGAGGTTAAGAGCACTGACGGCTCTTCTAGAGGATTGGGGTTCAATTCCCGGCACCCACATGACAGCTCACAACTGTGACTCCAGTTCCAAAGGACCGGACATCCATGGCAAAACACCAGTGCACAAAAAATAAAAATAAGTTTAAAAAAACCAAAAAAGATTTATTTTAAAGGATAATGTTTTTATAAATTTTAATTTTCCCAACAAAAAGATGAATTCATAAATAGTTATTATTTTAGGATTTCTTTCCTTATTGAGAAGACTTTGGAAATTTGCTGCTGTGTTAAAAATAAGTGTTTCATTCTGCATGGCTGTGTAAGCACATAGAGCAAACCCAGGTATCTGACAGTGTTTTATGGCTGAAAACTCCTATGGATGGTTTTCAGTATGATGCTTCACAAATCCATCCAGATAACAGGATCTGGGGTTGGCTAAAAATGAGGTCAATAAAGAACAATTTTGCATTATCCATGTCAGATACGTGCTTGTTTTCATGGGATATTTTAGATTTTTGAGGAGAAACCAAAAGACTATATCTATAAAAAATGGACCAGTGGTGCCCAATGAGAAAGGTAAAGATGACACACCTCTTCTCTGGATAAATGTCATGCAGTCCTTTGAGGATGGGCATGATGGGCAAAGGCTATAGTTAATTGAACATTTGGGGGCCAGCCGCTCTCTCCAGGATTCACACACATGTAATAAGCAGCCGCCCCCACCCTCTTGCTTTGCCAAAGTTGGCCTACGGAAGGTGAGTGAGAGCTATTGAGAGAGCAGAGAGTGTCAAATGACTTGGTAATACAAAACTCACTGTGAAGGTAACTTTTCATTCCTTTAGCACCTTTAGGTAAGTGATCTATCTAGGCACTTTTGGAGCTAAGTGCAGCTTTTAACTTTTTCATGAGACTACTAAATTTCTATATTAAATTAACAGAATTATGAAATTGTCAAATTATTAAATCCCTAAAAGTTCATTATAAATAGCAATGTGCCTGTCTGAATTGTTGTGAAGAAGTAAGAGCTATAGAAAGTAACTTTGGCCTTTAATCCCAGCACTCGGGAGGCAGAGGCAGGCAGATCTCTGTGAGTTCAAGGCCGGGCTGGTTCGACAGCCTGGTGGTGGTGCATGCCTTCAATCCCAGCACTTGGGAGGCCGAGGCAGGCAGATTTCTGTGAGTTCCAGACCAGCCTGATCTACAAGAGCTAGTTCCAGGACAGCCTCCAAAGCCACAGAGAGACCCCGTCTTGAAACCTATCCCCCCCAAAAAGAAACTTTGCAGGCATCCCTATGGGCAGTTTTTAATTATAATAGACTTACAATCACAGCACTAGCAATGGAAGGTGACATAGGCTAGCTTCCCATGCCTGAGGTGTGTGACCTCATCAGCTGTCCTCAAGGGAGAGTCAACCTCTTTGTAATACTGTCTCTAAGCCAAGCTAGGTCTTGAATGTGTCTAAAGCTGGGATACACACTCAGCATTCAAGGAGGGGTTGCCTTCTTAATTAACTAGAGGGACAGCTAATGCTGAAATGAGCACAAGGAGAGCTGACTTCAGTCTCTGGTCTTCAGCTCTTAGAAGTATCTGTGAGTGACAGCCTCAGAGATGTTTCCGAAGCTTCTTATCATTTGGTGTTTCCTCCTGTGTAGCTCACTCCCACTCTGAACAGAGCTGACCAATTGGATTGCGGTGGCCAGGTTTATGTATCAAATTGAGTACACTATGAACAGATGCCTAAATAGCTGATAAAACACTATTTCAGGATTGGATTAGCATTTGAGGATTTCACCACTGAACCACTAAACCCTGAGATGAGCATCTATGTCTGTAATGTGTAGCAAGTTAATTTTTTGTGGGGGGCATCACCAGCTCCCAAATGAATCGCACACAGAAGCTTATGCTTATGCTTAGTTATGAATGCCCGGCCTTAGCTTGGCTTGCTGCTAGCCAGGGTTTCTTAAATGAACCTCTATGACTTTTATCTCTCTTACTTTCCTTCTTCCTCCGTGGCTGTCTGGGTGGCCCCTGGTGTCCTCCCTCCTCTCCTCGGTCTCTTGCTCTCGGTCCTCGTTTCTTTTTATACTCGTTGCCTGCCAGCCCTGCCTAGCCTCGCTCCTGCCTCGCTATTGACCACTCAGCTCTCTATGAGGACCACCAGGTGTTCAGCTTCACAGAGTTAAAGAAATGCAACATAAACAAAAGTCACACACCTTAAAATAATATTCCCCAACAGTAAGGCTTCGTGAAGGTCATTTCCCCGTCAGCCTGGGCTGGCAGCCTCCTGTCCTTTGAGATGGAACAGTTAGGCTAAGGAAGCTCAAATTCTTTTCCTGTCCTCACTAAGGCAGCCCCACCCACTTCTGTCTTGAACTTGCTGTGGGCACACCTGGTTCCCAGGCCTTCTGCATTACAGCTTTTCACTTCTGCCTTGCACCATGAATCACTAACTCTTGGGAAGCCATCTGCTTTATTAGTTGCTTCTCTCATTGCTGGGACCTAACACCTAACAAGAATAACTTAGTGGAGGAAGGATTTTAGCTCACAGTTTGAGAGTAGAATCCATTATGTGGCAGGAATTTGTGATAACAGAAATGTGAGGTTGCTGCCTCTCTCATCTCAGCAGACCAGAAAACAGAGAAAAGACAGAAGGGCCTGGTTATAACCCTCCAGCCTCAAACCACTTCTCCCAGCAAGGTACCACCTTCCAAAAATTCCACAACTGTCCAAAACAGAACCACCTGGGAACTGAGCCTTGAAACACATATGCTCAATCCAGGACATTCATACTGAGCTTCCATGAGCTTGTGGCCATCTCATAATGCAGAGCGCATGCAGCCCAACTTCTAGCATCCTCATAGAATCAATATTCCCAATGCTGTCATAAAGATAAACTCTTCGCTGTGAGTCCCAGTAACACAGGAAAACAAACGTCTATGTTTTTAGTATACAGTGACACAGAATATTTCTCATTCCTAAATGGAAAGTAGCAAGGAAATACTGGACCAAAGCAAGAATGAAACCCAGCAAGGTAAATGCCAAACCTGCAGCTCCATGTCTGGAAGCTGGAACTCCAATATCATGGCATCATCTGGGCTCCAGCAGGCGTCAGCAGCTTTGGTTGGTAAATGTCCCGGCATCTCCAATATTCTAAGACAGCTAGTGCAACCCAGGCTTCACCTTCATAGCTATATACACAGGTCCAAGCTCTGTGCATGGACTCTGACCATGTCCCACAATGCCTGGCTCTGTTAGCTTCCTGAAACATTGTCACAATCCTCCATGAACCTCCTGTGCTTGCGTCTTGTGTGTCTACAAAAACAGCACCATATAGACAATGGCAAGTTCTACCGACAACCTCACCCTCATGTACCACAATCTACAGTAGCCTTTCTGTATCTCTATGTCTGAATATAACAGAGCACTTCTCTAGAGAGTTTAGCTGCCCAGAATGTGTTTTTGTTCAGGAATACTGTTTCAAGTGAAAGTTAAAGGGGGTCTGCATTGTTATAGCCTGGTGTTCTCAAGGGGTAGAGTCTTGTTTTTAGAGCATCTATCCTTCTGGCTCCATGAAGTGTGTATGGGAAAAGGGCTCTTTGATAACACTGATCTCATTAGCAATTACTGATACTAGAGCCACATCTGCCTTAACCCCAACTTCTGTCCACCCCCTTTTCAATACCAAACTGCACATCTTTCATACCTTTGGGTTTCGCTTCCTGCTCACTCTCACTGGAGCAGTTATCAGTATGGCCACGCATAACCTGAATGCCATGCAATCTTGAGATTTTCCCTACCGAACAAATCAGTCCTCTGCTTTTTAATTTCTCCTGATTCAAGTTTTTAGGATGGGGGCAAAATGAAACCAGTTTCTTTGCAAGACTATATAACACTTTTGGTCTCTGAAACCACATTATCATCATCATCCTTCATCATCCTGTCTGGACTTCCTTCATCATCTTCCCTTCCTGCCTGTACTTCCTTCATCATCCTTCCTTCCTGTCTGTACTTCCTTCATCATCCTTCCTTCCTGTCTGTACTTCCTTCATCATCCTTCCTTCCTGTCTGTACTTCCTTCATCATCCTTCCTTCCTGTCTGTACTTCCTTCATCATCCTTCCTTCCTGTCTGTACTTCCTTCATCATCCTTCCTTACTCCCATGTTCTAGGATTTCTCTAGCTTCTAGCTCCAAATTCTTCCACTTTTCCTCCTAAAATAAACCCTAAGAAATATGATCAGGTTTCTCCCAGCAGCAACTATGACCCCAATTCTCATTTTGTGTAATAGTTACTGTTCTCACTGCTCTGACCAAACACCTGATCAGACAAGCTAGGGGAGAATTTGTTTGGTGCACAATTAGAGAGTTTAGTCCAGCGTGGAAGGAAAGACATGATTGTAAGGATAGCTCATGACTGTGGTGGCAGGAGTGTATGGACAGTTGTTCATTTCTCTGGGCCAGAAAAACAAAGAGAGGACAAGGAAGGAAAGATCCACACAAAACAATTCCACTTGCTTTGTTAAATGATGAAACACATGAGTCCATAGGGGCCATTTCACATTCAAATAAAGACATGTAGGGATCCTTGACACGTCTGTGACGAGAAACTGAGGTCTCCAGTCCACACCAACCCACCGTTCATAGGAATGTGCCTTCTCAGGACCAATAGTCCAGCTGTAGTTGAGTGTTCAGATGACTGCTGCCTTGGCCAACACATTGATTGTATCTGCATGGGAAAACCCCAGCCAAACAACCCAAGCAAGCTGCTGTCCCCAGTTCTTAACCAGAGACACCAGATGAGATTCTGTTTCTTGCTTTAAGCTGATCATTTGTTACACAGTACTACCTTAGATGGTTAGTATCAATTTGACAGAATCTAGAATTACCTGAGACATGGGCCTCTGGGGATAATCTCCATTGCATTAATTGAGGGAGGAAGATTCACACCTGTCTGTCGTGGGTGGTTCTGTTGCTTCCCACTGGGACTGTGTAAGTGAAGAAAGGGTTAAGAAGTAGCATGCACTGATGGCTTTGCCTTCTGACTGTGAATGCGATGTGACAGCTAGCTCGTTGCTCCATGCTCCTTCAGCCTTGACTAACCCATCATGACGAACTACACTTTTGAACTGGAAATAGATCCGTGGTGATATGTTGTTTATGATCTAATAAAGCTTCCCTGGGAATCAGAATGCAGAGCTAGCCCCAGCCGTAGAAGCTGGGCAGTGGTGGCACACAACTTTAATCCCAGGACTCAGGAGACAGAGGCAGATGAGTCTCTGTGAGTTCAAGGCCACCCAGGGCTACATGAGAGTGAATCAGTCTAAAAGTGAGAGGTATATAAGGAAGAAGCAAAGAGTCTCATGTGAGATTCTGTTTCTAGTCACAGGGAATATAGGATCTCCCCAGCCTGGGCAGAGGTAAGAGCTACTGACTGACTGCTTTGCTTTTCTAATCTTCAGCTTGAACCCCAAATTTGTCCCTGGGTTTTTATTACTTGTGTTACAGAGACCCCTTCTGCCTTAGGTTAATTCTGTCAGAGTAATTTTGTCAGGACAGGAAACTACAAGACCTCATCTGTTATTTTGCTTCTGCTGTTTTTGTCAGTCCCCACTAAATTACATGTTGTAAGAAGACCTGGTCCTCCCTTCCCTTTGGTTCACTGGGGAATTCCCAAGCGCCTAGATAGGCACTGATTTACAAATAAAAGAAGCTGGAGCAGAGGCCAGCATAAATAACATACCAGAAATCTGCTGGAATCACACTTTTCTCGACAACCTAGTTTGCTTGCCCAGAGCCAGGCACCGCCTCACTCCTGCTGGTGCTTTTCTGAGTTGTGTTCCAGACAGCACAGTACTGATGATATGATTAGGTTTAAGACTGAATCTCTTAAGTCTTGCAATTAATGATAAAGCTGGGGAATACGCAACTACAATATAAAACAATCCTGAATTTGCTCAAGACTTCACATGGTAACATAGTCTCTTGTGAATGAGAATAGCTAGCTAGCTATGGCTCCTTGATTGACACAGGCTTTTTATGTAGCCCTGGCAGGCTAGGACTCACCAGACCTCTCGCATCTTGTGTGCTCTTACCTCTTAATACTGCTAAAGCAACAATAAAATTTCAAAAGATTTCAGCATGAGTTTTGGGGGAAGGCATTAGAACCATACCGTCCTCCAATTCAGCTCTTCCTAGAGTGAACCATGCAGTACAGGGAACCATGCAGAGAAGGCTCGGAGAGACATTGCTTGCTATTGCCATTAGCCTCTGAACAAGAGGCTATCTACACATTCACCCGTGAAACAATGGATAGATGCACACATTATATAACAATGATAAATAATAACCCACAATTACAATCTACAAAACAAGTGACTCATAAAAGTAGTGTTTATCAAAAGAAGGCAGACACAGGAGTTCATTGTGCCTGGTTTCATCACTGTAAAGTCCAAAACAAGCAAAGCTGACCAATGGTGTTCTGAGTTAGGGAAATGATTCCATTTTGAGAAGGGGTGGTAACCAAAGGAGGGTAATGTTCTGTTTCTTCATTTTGCTGATGATTGTGTGGGTGTGTTCTGTTTTTGAAAATCTACCAAGCTGCACAGTTATGGCTTGTACTTTTTTGTGTATGTTGTGTTTGATGACAAGTTTACTTTTTAAAAAGTATACTAGTAAGGTATCAGTACTGGCAGTAAGGGTGACTTAGTTCAATTTGGAGATATAAGAAACTATGGAGTTTCAGAAAGGGGCAGATGAACTCAAGGCAAAGCATTTGAAGAACATGGAAATGAATGGGTATACGAAGGTGAAGAAGAGGGCCTATTCACTCAGCCAGGTATTTTAAATCCTTGCTGTAGGGCCCTATGCATCAAGAGTGACCGTGGTTGATAAAAGCTACGCATCTTGAGACTCTTGTCTCATTCATGTTAGACATTGTACTATATGGTTGGCACACCTTATCTCATGTTAGCAACAATAATCCAACTGTCTTAGTTTGGGTTTCCATTGCTGTGAAGAGACACCATGGCAACTCTTTCAAAGGGAGAATGTTTAACTGGGGATGGCTTACAGTTCAGAGGTTTAGTCATTATCTTCATGTTGGGAAGCGTGGTGTCGCTCAGGCAGAGGTGCTGAAGAGATAGCTGAGAGTTCTACCCAGATCCAAAGGCAACAGGAAGAGAGAGAGAGACCCTGGTCCTAGCGGGAGCATCCGAGACCTCAAAACCCAACCCCAGTGACACACTACCTCCCATAAGACCATACCTACTCCAACAAAGCCACAGATCCTAAGAGTGCCATAGTGCTTCTCCCTAATGGCCTATGGGGGGCACTTATATTCAAACCACTATACCAACCAAGAAGACCTCTATCCCTTTTATCCTCCAGAAAACACAGGAAACAAGATAAGCAGTCCAAGATGAAATTCTTTCTGTTCTGATGTCTAATGCTTGCTCTGTCTGCTCTTTTGCATCGTCAATGGATGGTAGAGTAGGAGAGAAAGATGTGTGTGGTAAAACTGCGAGTGAGAGCTGGAATAAACTCCAGTGCTGATATCTTAAAGAAGGCTGTCGCACCTGCTGTGCGGCCTGCATCCGAGAATGTAGCGAGGTGGTCGGGATAGATGACACAGAGACCGGTCGGTTGCTTTAAGAAAACTTTATCTTCCCAAGTCAGCTTAGGAGGAGACCCCAGTCCGCTTAGCAGAGCTCTCAGGAGAAGATCTCAGGAGAAGTCTCTGGCGAAATCTCTGGAGAAGTCTCTCCAAGAAAAAAGAGTTTCCCTTTTTAAGGACTTTTGCCATCCATTTACATACCATTCTTTCCACTTCTCACCCTCCTGGCTGGTGGTTTAATCTCTGGCCCCAGAATCGGGGAGACACCACAGGGGGCAGGGACAGGAAGAGGCATCTAGCCATAGGGGGTGTGACAGTCATGGTATTTCAGTGAGCCAGCCCTTATCTGAGCCCTATCAAGCTTTAAAGCACTGAATTGTTTTCAGTAAACATTACATAGATGCCTGCTCCCAGGCCGAAGGGGAAGTGGGTTTCTGCTCAAGGTCTGGTGTCCCCACAATTCACCCCTTTTTATTTTTAAATGAGGCACTCCTGTCTTAGGTCAAGTAGGGTCACCCTCCCTGGCCCGTCTTTGGGGGACCTTGAACCCCTGTTAGGTGGGAGTGGGTCTTCCCCACAGGTTGCCCGTCTTTGAAGTAGCCCCACCCTTAAAATCATTTGTAATAAGGCTTTATGGCTATCGGGATTGCCATGGGCTAAGGCACTTTGAACTCAGCATGAAGCCAGAATGCCTACTGCCACTGTTACCATTCCTAGGACCCCCACTGACATAGCACCTCTCTGTCACCTGCCCATCCCCCGATCTGGGCCATAGCATTCTACCACCAGCCTTTCTTTGCTACAAGGGTGATTTATAGTTACAATTTGAAGGTCAAAACAGTGATAAAGTTTACAATTATTTTAAGATCTACTTAGGAAAGCATTAGAGAGTGCACTTGCACAGATACATTAGGTACAATCATTGATGTTACACATGTAGCATTATAAAAAATAGGAACAAGAGGCTTGTTGCACTATTTACAGAGTACCAATTCCTGTGGTGATGTAGTCTGTCGATTTAATGTCAGTAGTATCAGCCGAACATGCAACCCGAGTCAAAGTCTTTTTGTCGCACCAGGACAAACCATATTTCTCCAGAAAAACACATTGTGATTCCAAAAACAGGAACTACCGAGTCTGATATTTCAAGTGACCATGTCCTGTTCAAATACTGAAAAGAGGCTTTTGTCATTCATCACAGTCCATACCAATGTCCAAATGTTTTAAATGGGTCTTTTTTCCCCCAAAGGGAAAAGCTGGCAAAATGAATTCTGTTGTTTTAAGGTGTATCAAAGGCTAGCTGCTAATCTTCCAGTTTTGTTGGCTTTGGGATGAAAACTCACGGGTCCAGGAGGTTGATGTAGCAAGCCTGATGAGACACTGGAAATCTCGAACTGACTGTTTTATTTCTTTCTCGGGCTGTAGATTTGATGACATCAAGGGTCAGGAGCACTGATTTAGGAGATCTCGAACTGGCTTGAGCAGGCTCCCACGGTCTCAGGTCCAGTTTTTTCTGCTCCATGCATCTCACCAGATGTTGTGACCGCTACTGAAGCTTTATTCTTTTCCTGTAAGAAAACACAAACATGCCCTCGACCCCAAATTAGGGTCTTCTCTACTGTCTAGTGTATGGATGTTTCCATTTGGCCTGAGTAATAGTTATTTAACTTTTATTATGTCAGAATCTGTCTGAAGCAGATTCCTCACTGGCATTTATATTTTATAAATATTTAAATGAGGAGTGGATTATTTAATGAATCATGTGGAGACTGGGGACATTACTCCCTTTTATTTTTAAATTTTGTTTGAACTGTTGAAGTTGGACCATAACAGTAGAAGGATTTGTCTACCCTCCTTAGTCAACTATCTAGGTGAATTGGGATCACTATTTAAAGTATAGTAGATGTCCTTTAAAAGGGACATAACCATTAAGTACCTTTGAGAATCATTTAAGGATTGTAAACTATACTATGTCCCAAATAGTCCTTTTTTTTTTTTTTTTTCTAACCTGTAGCTCTCACTAGCTGACAAGGCCTCATTTGCATCTGAGCTGACAAGGCCTAATTTGCATCTACACAGACACCTTTGGGGGTGGGGGCCTGCCAAAGCGGCAGGACAGTTCCCTGAAAAAACCTCTCTCTCTCTCTCTCTCTCTCTCTCTCTCTCTCTCTCTCTCTCTCTCTCTCTCTCTGACTGGCTCTGAGGGCTTAACTTGAATTTTTTGTTAAAATATTAACCGACTGACTGGATGTTTCTTTTGGCTATATCTAAATCGATTTAGGTAGTTTTTAACTGTTTGAAGGGATTTAAGTATCCCTTTAATCATATCCAAGGCAATTAGAACAGTTGCTTTTGTCAACATTCATGCATTTACATTTCACACTTCATACATACTGACGTGGCCACGTCCATACACACAGACCATGCATACATATCTCTCCTTGCCTAGGTTATGATTAGTTTGTTGAACTGAAACTTCTTTAACAGAACAACTCCAGTCAATCTTTTAATTAAAACTAAAGGTTGAAAAAGTCCTGTATGTCCCTCGTCATTTCTTCATTAGAGAAGTTTTGAGCTACACTCAGGGGCTACAGCCATACCCACTCCTTGTAATTCTGTAGATGCAAAGTGGAAAGGCCAGGCTTTTGCCAAAAGTTTTTAGAGATGACTCACAAAATTCAATAACCTACCCTATATAAATGTAACCAAACATTTTTATTTTATATACCTTTGTCTTTTACTGAATACTAATACCTCATTTATTAACTTTACCATTTTTTTTTTACCCATCTTTAATCTATCCTCCCATTGAGGATGATTCTCCAATCCACCCTCCAACTGAGGGCAACTTCTTATCTTAGGTTCCCTTGACCTTTGTTAGGTGAGGGCCTAGACATTTAATCTAATCCACCCTTCAACTGAGGGTGATCTCTTAGGTTCCCTTTTTTTTCCTGACCTTTTTCAGGCAAGGGCCTAGAGATTTAATCCAATACCCCCTCCAACTGAGGGCAATCTCTCAGGGTCCCCTTACTTTCCTGACCTTTGTCAGGCGAAGGCCTGGAGATTTCATCCGGTACCCCTAGCTTGGTACCCCCTTTTTAATACATACTTACTTACAGCCTTACTTGTTGGCCAGTCTTTTAAATCTCTCAGTTTTCCTTTACTTTCCTGACCTCAGTGGATCAGGTGAAAGACTGGAGATTTCTTATTTTACCCTCCTTTTTTTTTTTTTTTTTTTTTTTTTTTGACTGGGTTTCTCTCTATCCTTTTGGAGGCTGTCCTGGAACTTGCTCTATATACAAGGATGGCCTCCATCCTACCTACCTCTGTCTCTCGAGTGTTGGGATTAAAGGCATATGCCACCAACACCCGACTCTAAAGATCATAGTGAACATCCTTCCAATCTGGGACATTTAAGTCTCCCCCCCAGTAATGAACCATGGACTCGCACGTTCAATCCATTTTAAAAAGCCTTCCAAGGTTTTAGACTTTACTGTAGTCCCATGTCCTTCAAGTAACTTTTTAACTTGATACTGTAATTCGAGCTTCCCAGAACTATTCCCCATGGTTTCTTTTCTTTTTTCCCCAATCTGTCCCTGGCCAGAAAAAGAAACGAACCCGCTCACTTACCTCGCTTTCATGATCTCGGTGGGATCCTCCAATTGTCGCACCTGCTGTGCGGCCTGCATCCGAGAATGTAGTGAGGTGGTCGGGATAGATGACACAGAGACCGGTCGGTTGCTTTAAGAAAACTTTATCTTCCCAAGTCAGTTTAGGAGGAGACCCCAGTCCGCTTAGCAGAGCTCTCAGGAGAAGATCTCAGGAGAAGTCTCTGGCGAAATCTCTGGAGAAGTCTCTCCAAGAAAAAAGAGTTTCCCTTTTTAAGGACTTTTGCCATCCATTTACATACCATTCTTTTCTCCTGGCTGGTGGTCTAATCTCTGGCCCCAGAATCGGGGAGACACCACAGGAAAACAGGAAGAGGCATCTAGCCGTAGGAGGTGTGAAAGGCATGGTATTTCAGTGAGCAAGCCCTTATCTCAGCCCTATGAAGAGCTTTAAAGCACTGAATTGTTTTCAGTAAACATTACACAGATGCCTGCTCCCAGGCCGAAGGGGAAGTGGGTTTCTGCTCAAGGTCTGGTGTCCCCACAGAGGCGATACAGAAAAAGCGTCTGGCTCTACCAGGATGAAAAAATAAGGAAAGTGGTTCATGGCCTGGAAGTAGATTTAAAGACATAAACGTCTTTCTTTTTTAAACGGCCAGATATCCGTAGGTGTAGAGGCATAGGGTGAAGCAGAGGTGTCTCAGTGCTGCTTTGCAGGAAGAGAAGGCTCCTGGCTGCTCCAGCACAGTCTTCCACTAAGTGCCTTGTCTCCAGGCCCCCTCAGCTCTCCTCCTGCACATATCTGTTGTCTCCAGTCCCTCAATCTTTCTGGATGATAATCTTAGGCTCATGCCCCAGGTTGTCACAGTGTGTAATGCAAATGTTTATAAAACAGTAGAAAAGGGACTGGTGAGATGGCTCAGTGGGTAAAGAAATGTGCCAGCCACTGGGCCTAAAAACCCAGTTTTGATACCCTGGACCTATATGGAAGGAGAAAACGGACTCCTACAGGCTGTCCTGTGACCTCCACATTGTGGCATACATGGATTTGTGCACGTGTGTTTGAACACACCACACACACACACACACACACACACACACACACACACACACACACTGATAGGAAATGTAGTTAATTAAAAAAAAAAAGATATCCAGGCGTGGTAACGCACCTTTAGTTGCAGCACTCAAGAGGCAGAGGCAGGCAGATCTCCAAGGCCAAGCTAGTCTACAGAGTGACTTCTAAGACATCCAGGGCCTGTCTCAAGAAACAAAAACAAATAAACAAAAGCAATAGGAAGGAAAGCAAAACTACCCTATATAAAATTAATTGAATCTTAGGATACTTCCTCGACCTAGTATATTTTGGATGGTTTCACTATTAAAAGTGGCAACATGCAACTCACACTTGGGATGACTTTAAGTGAAATAGTCATTAATTTGTCCTAGCTGACATATGATTGGTCTGAATTAATGGATTAATCCAATGTGAGTATGATATGACTATCCGTCTTGCTACTCTGTCATCCTATGGTACTTCCTTTGGCTACATGGTAGCTAATGTAGTATATCCAACAGGAAAAAAGAAATAGGGTATGAGAAGCATTGTCCTTTCTTGACTGACTTCTGCTCATCCCTCATCCACCAGAAAACTGGGAAATAATCTATTTTTGTGGCAGTGTACTCTGTGCGGTCAGAGGACAAGGTTAAGTACCAGGGGCAACTTACATCATAGTTCAAACCCAGTAAAATCAAGATGCTGAATTAATTGAGCTTAGTGTAGCTGATCTTTACAGGAGTGCCTGCTTCTATTCTTCTATAACACATACAGAACTTTAAAGTAAAACTATATAAGTGAGGTATTGCTGGTTTTATGTCAACTTACAGACACAGACAAGCTTACTATCTATCTTTTGTTCTTTTGTCCACTAAAATTAATAAATTCCCTTCTGTTCCTCCTGTTTGTTTCAGTGAAATCAAGTTCTTACGGGGTTATTTTTGCATACAATGCTAAATAATGATCTTCTGGGTCCTAAGCTTAAAAGTTTTATATCTTCATAATGAACACAAGAAACCAAGGTAGAGATAAAGGTGTTCTTCCTAAATAGCAGGAGCAGAAAAGCTAAAGTTAAGCTTCATAGACTCATAGGATCTCTATTGATAAGATGCTGAATTAAGAACATACAGGGCTTGAATAAACATAGCTTAGTGGGAGAGCACATGGCTAAGTATATGCAAAGCCCTAAGTCCAAATCCTAGCCCCCATCACACACACACACACACACACACACACACACACACACACACGGGAAGAAAAAGAAAACATGAACATCAGTCTTGTTTGCTTGTGCAATATTAAAGTTTGCCTGAATATTCATAATCTAGATACTGTTTTCTGTTCTTGCAAAGTAGAATATGAACAAAAGGATTTTGCAGAACTCTTAAGACTTCTAAAATTATTGTATATGACATAGATAGTCTTCAGAGAGAAGCTTTAATTTCTAACTAGTTGGTTTCCTTCATAGCCGGTTGGTCTGGAGATGGCGCTTAATTTTGCATGTTTGAATTTCTAAACAACCAACATACTTGTAACTGCACCGTGAGGTCAGAAGGGAATCATTGGCACTTTTTTTCTATATGTAAAATGGAGAAAAATTAATTCCTTTTACATTGGTTGATTTCTTATTTTAACAAGGGAAATGACTTGTGTCTATGTGTGGACTTTTAATATTCAATATCCTTAGCATCAGAAACTCATAATAATATTATTTTTCTTTTCCCAAATAGACTGTCCTTCATCCACCTGGGTTCAGTTCCAAGGCAGCTGTTACACTTTTCTTCAAGTAACCATCAACGTGGAAACCATAGAAGATGTCCGAAATCAGTGTATTGACCATGGTAAGGAACTTTAAAAATAGTTGTGGTCCTAGTATCTTTTAACTGAATTCCTAGAATTGATGTGCAGACAGTGGAATTGGCCATACATTTTCTCCCTGGTTGGAAGACAGTTGTTGGACAACACTGCTCACATTGGAGTGACAGGACCATAACCGCATCACTATCTAGTCAGTATGTGTGGTGTCAGTGCCCCATGAAAGACACTGTGGTTCTCAGTCTTCCCAATGCTCCCACCCTTTAATACAGATGTTGTCAACCCACATCCACGTGTCATTTGCAACATCTGTTGTGGGTGATGATTGCTTTCAACATACCTTTTTTCAACTGTGATATTAGAGTTAACCATGCTTGCTCTCTCTCTCTCTCTCTCTCTCTCTCTCTCTCTCTCTCTCTCTCTCTCTCTCTCTCTGTCTCTCTCTCTCTCTCTCACACACACACACACACACACACACACACACACACACACACACACACACACACACACACACACACACTTTTCTGACCCGGGACATGGAAGGCAGAGATGGGGGAAAATTTTTAAAATCACAGATATCCCTTCAACTTAGCTTGTAAAAGTTGATGACACAGAGAGTCCCAGGCATAATAAGATTGATTGTACTTTTTAAATTATTTATTTACTTTGTGTATTAATATTTTGCCTGCATGTGTGCACCACACGTGTGCCTGGTGTCTGAGGAGGTCAGAAGTGAGCGTCAGAAACTGGAGATACATATGGTTTATAAGCTACCACATGGGTGCTGGAATTGAACCCCAATCCTCTACAAGAGCAACAAGTGCTCTAACCCATGAGCCTTATTCCTAGCCCCTATATTGTCTTCTTAAGTGAATGTTAAATTTTTAAAAAATCCAGGCATTGGTGTCGACCACCTTTAATCCCAGAATGCTGGAGGCAGAGGTAGGTGGATCTCTGTGAGTTCCAGGCCAACCTGGTCTACAAAGCTACACAGAGAAATCCTGTCTCAAAAAAAAAAAAGTTAAACAAGCTGAGTACATGTAAACAGACTGAGTACATGGTTTTAAATGACCTCAAAGCATGTGATGAACTTGGTTACAAGACTGGGTAAAAGTTCAGTTAGTGAAAGCAAAACTACAAAATGTATTTTCCAGAAAATTCATCATCCCCACAGTATACCGTGCCTGGCATGGTGCATACGCACTTTGTATTTCCGTGGCTTTACCTATCATAACAAACCTATTGATCCATATATTTCTTCTTATTTATCAAAATTAAACTCAGTTGTTTATTGAAAATCACACAGATTGATAATAACGGAAGCCAAGATTCGACCTAGGTCTGGTACGCGTGTTTGCACAGGAGGGCTCATTTGTCCTTGCTGCCTCTGCCTCCATCTCTCTCTGTCAGGACTGCCCTCCCTTACCCAGGATCTGATGTGACAGTCTTCAAAGGCAACTGCCAGCAATATGTTCCTTCCTGATCAGTCACTTACACCTTAAAATCTCTTTGCCCTGCCCATGATTCTGGGTTGGTCTTTGTGACTTGCTTGGTAAATTAAATGCAACTCCTGTGATGTTCTGGGACACCTGAGATGTAGACCTTAGGAAGACTAGTAAATTTTCGGAAGCCAAGAGAAGAAATTGCTCCAGGGAAGATGGAGTAATTAGCTGTGTCAATGCTGCTACCAGCTCGGCAAGGTGGGAGTCAAGAACTCATCTTTGGGTGCACGAATGTGGATGTCATTTGTGATTTACACAGAAATCTCTCTGCACCTCAGAACAAATTCCTAACTGAAATAGATTGAAGAAAGAAAAAAAAGCAGGAAGAAAGGTTGGAAAAACGCATATAGGTAATTCATCTCTCAGTGAAAACTCCAAGGACATGAGGGCTGCAGCTGCAGAAAGAAGAACAATGATGCCCAGCAAGAATGAGTCTTATGGCGGCAGAAATAGCATCAGCTTGTCTTAATCCTATAGTTCAGTTCTTAACGTTCACCTACAATTTACTCACAATGTCAACTCACTGTAAAAACAAAACAAAAAAGCATGGGATTCCTAAAAGCAACGTTAATGCTTTTTACGTGTCTTGGCAAATTACCTTCTTTGTATTCCAATTTCATAATGTGCTACAAATTGGGATATTTTATAGAACAGCAAACAAAAGTCCACAAACCTCATAGCTGGCTCGATTGGTCACGTGTGTGAGTGTGAGCAAACGCCGCAGTGAGTCTCTGGTGTGGGTCCTCGCCTTCATCTTTTTCCACGGGGTCTCTTGTTATCCACTGCTTCATATGCCAGGCTGACTGGCCGGTGAGCTTCTGGAGGACTCTGTCTCCGGCTCCTAACTTATCCTAGGAGTGCTGTGGCAACGTTAGGGCGTTCTGGGGATGTTTGTGGGGCAAGCACTTCACCCACTGAATCATCTCCTCAGCCCTGTGGTTCATGGTTAGCAAGTAAGTTGAGACAGGTTCTCACTATTCACACACCAGGTGTCCCCCTGCCCTGTAGCAGGGACTATAGAGATGTACCACAGATGTTATATAATGCACATGTAAAACAAGATATAAAATACGTTATAAACGTGTAACAATAGCTGAAAATATAATACATGCTTCTCATAGACAATAGGTAGGATGCTGTGGTGATTTTCGTTATGCACATTGCCCAGGATGGCCTGATCCTCCTGTTTCTGCCTCTTGAGATCTGGGATTACAGGTGCATGCCAAGAGTGCCTAGACACACTGTACATAATCACATTTCTGCTCGAAAAGTTCATAGCTGTTAACTAGTGTTGACATGATGGCTTTTGGGAGGGGGGAGACACAATTTCTAGTATGCCTATATGGGTTTATTTCAAGGCAACTGGGTGGAAGAGCAATTTTCTTAGGAGTTTTTAAAATGAGTTTTCCTTGAAAACCATCCTCAGTCTCTACATCTGTTTTCGAACAAGGTCATTCCACATAGCCTATATGTAAAGTCCAGGCTGGCCTCCCAGTCCCCTCTTACTAATGACTCTCCTGCCATTGCTTCCCAGGTGTTGGGGTTACAGATGTGTACAACTGTGTCTGATAGCTTCATCTTTCTCGGAATTTACAGTAGTTAAATTTAGACATAAACATATATTTCAATAGCATTTACTATATTGGAGGCTACAAGCCATGAAAAAATACACGATCCTGTATTAGCTCACTGTCAAGCCTATTTTCCCCCTCTTATTGAAAAATACATTTATATTTGCCAGATAAGCAATTGCTTATTGTACACAAGCAAAACTGACCCCTGACTGGCTTCCTCTATTACTCAAATGCATTTCTTGAACAAATTAGGTAAAATTGAATTTAAAACACTGAACAGTTTTGTAGCCTGATTCCTATTACTTGTTTTGAACTCTTTGTTGGGCTTCTTGTGGAGCAACAAACCTATTTGGGAATTTTTAAATTTGTCTTGTATATATGATGTCTTTTTCTGCTCTAAAAGTGTATTCATTTCAGGGCTAGAGATGTAGTACAAGATTTTAGGTTAAACATAAAGTCTTATTGATTTGTTTGTTTTAAAGCTCCTTGTACATTTCTAATAACCCCATGTATTTCTTTAATAATCTCATTTATTTCCACCCTACAAATTCCCATGTAATAGGTGAATCAGAAAGATAAAAATATTAGTATTCTTACTCTGGGCCACAGTGGTGTTTGTTTACCATGCTAATTTGGGGAAAAAATGCTGTCACACAAAAGTCCTATCTTAAACCCGTTATTGGGGCTTATAGGAAGTAAGTAACATTTACTTTTGAAGGGGCCATAGAGAGCTATATTTACAGTACTCCCAGGCCTTTGTGCTAATTCACTTTATTTTTGCTAGTATTATTCATTTAGTGAAGCAAGTGAATAGTAAAGATGGGTCAACAGGGAAAGACACTTGCTTGTTCTGCAGGCCTGACAACCAGAACTCTATCCCCAAACTCATGGTTCTCACGGCAGGCACGGTGCTAGCGCAGTAGTTAAGAGCTTACATCTTGATCTATAAGCAAGAGGAAGAGCAAGCCGACTGGGAACAGAATGAGCTTTTGAAACCTCAAAGCCCAACCCCTCTAGAGACACATCTCTTCCAACAAAGCCACATCTCCTAATACTTTCTAATTGAGAACCAGATAGTAAAGATATGGTCCTATGGGGTTCAAACCACCACAGCATCCTACGTATTGTCTATGAGAAACATGTATTATATTTCCAGCTATTGTTACAAATTTATAATGTATTTTATATCTTATATGTGTATTATATAACATTCAAAATGTTCTATCTTGATTAATAAAGGGATAGAAAATATGAAATCAACAGTTTTCATAACTGAAAATTGCCAACGAAGTACTTCACCATGCTGAGAATAGTGTTTCTTTGGCTTTTAGTTAAGCTAGTGAATGAATACATTAGACACTTCTGGTTTTTAGTTGGGATTTTTACACAGCTTGCACTTGAATTCTTTGCTTCTTTACTATTTCTATCAATCCATAGTAATGTTTTAACAAATGTTATAAAAGCAACCTACAAAAAAAGTAGTTTTTTTAATCAGTGCCAGCTGATGATATTAAATGCCATATGTACTTACAATGATTTTATACTAGTACTTAATGGTGAAGTGCAACCAAACTACTACTCTAGGAAAATCCTCAGGAGAACTATTTAACATATGGAGGTGTCTTAGTGAAGAGTTTCGATTACAACAGTGAAAAACAAGTTGGGGAGGAAAGGGTTTATTTGGTTCACACTTCCATATCACTGTTCATTGTCGAAGGAAGTCAGGACAGGAACTCAAGCTGGACAGGAACCTGGAGGCAGAAGCTGATGCCGTGGCAATGGAGAGGTGCCTATTTTTGTTTTCTTTATTTATGTCATAGCACCCAAGACCACTAGTTCAGGGATGGCACTAACTACAATCAGCGGGGCTCTCTGCATTTGACCCCTAATGAAGAAAATGTCTTACAATCAGACCTTATGGAGGCATTCTTTTAAGTGAGGCTCCCTCCTCTCTGATGACTCTAGCTTGTGTCAAGTTGACGTAAAACTAGCCAGTACAAGAGGTATTGCTGATCCCAAAAATGGGAGGCAAAAGACTACCGACCCAAATCATCATGGCCAAATAAATTAATTAAAGCAAGCTTTTTAACTCCTGTGCACAGGCTGCCTCCCCCTAAGGCAGGGTTTGAGAGGTCAGCATTCTGAGGGCTGAGAGGCTCTGTCCCTCCAGCTTTTGCTGCCCTCACACACTTCTCTCCCTTGGGCTGACTCTACTCCCTGTACGCAGCACTCCTTGGCAGACTTCACACAGCTATGGCACCTCCAATATGCTGGGGCCTCCAGTGCAATCCAGGCTTCATTTTCACAGCGTAAAGCAATGACTTCTCAGGGCCTCCAAGCAGGGACTCTCTTGCCACACATTTGTCCTCCAGCTTTTCTTAACCATGGAGGAACTGCAAACCCCTTCTCTTGTGCACCCTCATGACTTAAGACCACACCAAGTTGGTTAGTCTGATTGGGATGGGACCTGGTCCACTCCTTGAATTACATTTGCATAAGCTGTGGTTTGTTGTTGCTCCTCAAGATAAGAAAATCCCTCAGGCCTTTGCTTTCCCAGTTGACGGTTAGCTGGGTAGCATCTCACCCTGAGGGAACCACTCTCTTTACTCCATTTCACATCAGGCCTCTCCTTATCTCTTTCAGGACAATTCTTACTTCCGACTTTACATTTCCTGGTGGTGTTTTGCTCCTCAAACTGTACATTTTGTATTTCTTTATGCCCTGCTTTATCCTCTTCATTGTAGACCTATACAAGAGGGATTACTAATAACAACATGGGAAATCATTCCTGCTGATAAAATTGGTCCAAAACTTTTCTATTTGACCTCTGGCATATCCTTAGAACAAGGATAAAAAGAAGTCACATTCTTTGCCAAAATATCACAAGAATGATCTCCAGCCCAGTTGCTAATATTGTTCACCTCTAAAATCTTTTGAGCTAGACCTCCATAGTCCAAATTGCTCTTAACATTACTGTCTTCCAAGGTCCTACTAGGATGGCCCCTTCAGTTCCTCTTTTAGTGTTCAACTGCTTTCTTAGTTCAAAGTTCCAAAGTCTTCCATATTCTTCCAAAAAAAAACAAAAAGCAAAAAACCCACATGTCAGGCCTGTCACAGTTACTCATTCTCTGGTACCAACTTCTGTCTTAGTCACTTTTCAATTGCTGTGACAACACACCATGATTAGGCAACTTATAAAAGAAAGTGTTTAATTTTGGGGCTCATGGTTCCAGAGGGTTAGGGTCTGTGACAAACATGGGGGAGAAGAAGGCAGCAGGCAAGCAGGCATAGCACTGGAGTAGTATCTGAACACTTACGCCTTAATCCACAAGCAAGAGGCAAAGAGATAACAGGGAATGACGTGGGCTTTTGAAACCTCAAAGCCCACCCCCAGTGACACATCTCTTCCAACAAGGCCACACCTCTTAGTCCTTCTCAAACAATTCCACCAACTTTGGACCAAGAATTCAAATACATGAGCCTATGGTGGGCCGGCTTTCTCAGTCTAACCACCACAGTTATTTTACCTACATAGTGGAAGTGCCTAAGAGATTAAAAAGGGGGGACTTAGAAAGCCTTGCTTCCGTCTGACTTTAAAGATAGTTTATTAAAGGTCAGATTTCAGTTTTTGTATAAAAGCCCTTTCATAATCACACAATGAATTATCATCAAATACTACTTAGAAAAACATATGTAAATAGTTTAAAAAAAACAAAGCCTGAATTGGACCATCCTGAGATAATCATTGTTAACATTTTGGTAACTGGCCCCATCTTTCACTGTCATGAATAAGCTGTAGTGATTATGCCTGGGAAAAGCAATATGTATACAGTTCAATGTGTGATTAATCATTGTGCCTATTTGGAATGGGCAGTCAGTGATTAACATAGAATAAGCTATGAAGGCTTGCTCAAGGAGTATATACTTTAGGTGGTCTGATATGTCTCACCAAACTTTCCCCAAAAAGTTGTTCTAATTTTTACTGATGGTCCATTTATCAGCTCCTGGTTTTCTACTACAAATGCTAGTACACTGGCTAGTCTCCAAATCTGGAATTTTAATTTTCATCTTTCATAAACATGTCCCTTTTGCATGGATGTATGCTTGTGGGAGCACATGCACCATGCGTACTCCTGTGTTTGGAGGACAATGTTCGGGAGTTGGTTCTTGTCTTTCACCTTGCTGAGGCAGGATCTCTCTTATTTCTGCTGCTGTACTTCATACTACAGGTGCGGTCCACAGACTGCCAGCCAGCTCTCCTGTGTGCACCCCCCATTTCTATGTAGACATGCAGGGATTACAGGTGTGTGTAACCACATCTGACCTTTTATGTGAGGTGCAGGGATTGAACTCAGGGTATCAGGCTTGTAGGGTTAGCTGGCACTTTACCTGCTGAGCTCCCAGATCCCAAATTTTCATTTTTCTTTTTTGTTACCAGCGACAACTTTTCACACATTTCTTGTGTCATATTTCTTTTTGTGATAAGTTGACTTTTTTAACATTTTTTTTTCCTCGTCAGGGTTTCTCTGTGTAGCCCTGTCTGTCCTGGAACTTGCGCTATAATCCAGGCTGGTCTTGAACTCAGAGATCCATATGCCTCTGCCTCGTGAGTGCTGGGACTAAAGGTGTGCGCCACCACTGTCTGGTTTAACTCTATTTCTATTAACGTGTTTGCTTCTATCTTATAATAGTCTGCTTAGTTTCTGCTTCTCCTCTTTGATGATTGTTTTAGTCAGTGGCTTTCTGCTGTGAAGAGACAGCATGACCGTGGCAAGTCTTATAAAGGGAACCGTATAATTAGGGCTGGCTTGAAGTTCAGAGGTTTAGTGTGTTATCACAGTGGGAAGCATGGTGGCATGCAGGCAGACATGGTGCTGGAGAGGTAGCTGAGAGTACTAATCCAGGTCTGTAGGCAGCAGGAGAGAAGAGGACGGGCCTACGTTGGTGTGGTGGTTTGAAAGAAAATGGCCTTCATAGGGAGTAGCACTATTAGGAAGTGTGGCGTTGTTGGAGGAAGGTGTCACTGTGGGTGTGGACTTTGAGGTTTCTTTTGCTCAAGCTTCTCTCAGTGTGACACTCAGTCAACTTTCTGCTGCCTGCAAGATGCAGCACTCTCAGGTCCAGCACCACGTCTGCCTTCATGCTGCCATGCTCCCTGTCATGATGATAATGGACTGAACCTCTGAAACTGTAAATGAGCCCTTCAATTAAATGCTTTCCTTTATAAGAGTTGCCGTTGTTATGGTTATCTCTTCACAGTAATAAAAATCCTAAGACACTTGAGCTTTTGAAACCTCAAAACCTATGCCCAATGACAGACTTCCTTCAACAGAGCCACTCCTACACAAATGAGGCCACACCTCTAATCCTTCTCAGGCTGTGCCACTCGTTGATAAGTAAGCATTCAAATCTATGAGCCTATGGGGGCCACTCTTATTGAAACCACCGCAAGTATGTTTGAAGAAATTTACTATTTTTTATATGTATCATGTGTATGAACACAGGTATGCGTGTGCCACTGGACATATATGTAGGTCAGAGGATAACTTGTAGGTGCCGGTTCTCTCCTTCATTGTGTGGTTCCTGGGAATTGAACTCAGCCAGGCTTGGCAGCAGGTGCCTTTAACCTACTGAACCATCTATGTTGGTCCACGGTATGCTTCGACTTTTGGACCACAGACCCTTTTCCTTCTGTAGCTAACCACCCCAACTCCAACCTATTTTAAAATATCTAAAGGTAAAACATAATTGACAATTTTTATATACTTCATGATTTCAGTTGATTCTTGGAGTTGCTTTTCTATTAAAATTGTTTCAGGAGCAGACATGATAAGTATACACAATGAGGAAGAAAATGCTTTTATCCTGGACACGTTACAAAAGCAATGGAAAGGCCCGGATGATCTCCTGCTAGGCATGTTTTACGACACTGATGGTAAGTGGTGTGTGCCTTGTGAGACATGAGTTTCTTAAATGTTAGACAGACTTAAGATGTTTGGTTTCTTAATTCTCTACATCAGTGGTTCTCAACCTCCCTAATGCTGTGACCCTTTAATATAGTTCCTCATGCTGTGGTGACCCCAACCATACAATTACTTTTGTTGCTACTTCATAGCTATAATTTTGCTGCTGTCATAAGTCATAACATAAATAAATATCTGTGTTTTCTGGTGGTCTTAGGCAACTTGTTGTGACCTACAAATTGAGAACCACTGCTCTAAATGAACTGTGTCTCTGGGTGTCACGTTTTTTCAGTGTGCACCAACGACTATTATCCACAGTGTTTCCCGAGTCACTCCAAGTGCTTCACAAATGAGAAACACACTTGAACCTCTTACTTGACTTAAAGTCTGGATATAGGATTAATATTTTCTTAAGATGCCATGACTTATAAGAAGTATTAGTGTTTGCTACTGAAAGGGTAAAGATAAATTATCTTTTCCAGGTTACATAATAGGAATGTAAATTTTATTAGTATGCAATACTATAAAGCATATGTATTTTATAGTGTCTACATAAGTATATAATTTATATATTATATTATAATATACAAATATATAAAGCATGTATATACACTTATATAGAGATATTAGTCACATTTTGAAATGTCATGAAATGAGTATTATTGTTTAGTGAAATGTCATGAAATGAGTATTATTGTTTAAATATTTTTAAATTTTTCACCAAAATGTTTTTCTTCACAAAAATGACACCTTTTTCCAGAATCCTCTTTAATTCAATACCTTTTGATAGGATATAGTGTTCCTTCTGCAACTTTTACTCCTACAACCAAAAATTAGATCATAAATATGTAAGTTTCTACCTGTAATCAAAATCTTTTCCTTTGTGTCATAACACCTTTGAAAACTGGCATAATGTTGAAACTATTCCTTAATTGACAGATGCAAGTTTCAAGTGGTTTGATAATTCAAATATGACATTTGACAAGTGGGCAGATCAAGATGGTGAGGACCTAGTTGACACCTGTGGTTTTCTGTACACCAAGACAGGTGAATGGAAGAAAGGGAATTGTGAAATTTCTTCTGTGGAGGGAACACTTTGCAAAGCTGCTAGTAAGTAAAACTGTCTTTTTCCATCGTGGGGGATGAGGAACACAGGCTTAGTTATGGAAAACTTTTCTTAGACGTACCAGGTCTCACAAAACGAGGGATTAAGACTGGAATATAGCATGATGATGTGCTGCAGTCTCTGGAAAGTCAAATAATCCTCTTACATTTCAGATGTGGGGCCAGATCATGTGAACCAGGCATAATTTAGTTCTGTGGGCCTACTCTTTGGAATTCCTAAGAGCCCATACAGTTCTTCTGTTTTTTTCAAACCAATTTCCATATCCTCTTTGCATGTGATCTGACTGAGTAGAAAATATTAATAATGAATAAACTTAAAATGCTAAAAATTACCTTATTTTAAGGAATTAGAGTCCCTACAAAACTTATATCCTTTGTTTAGGCAAACATAATGACGTATTAAAATTGCATTGTGCTTCATGATTTATTTTGTATTAAAATATATTTTTTCTGATCTATCAAAGTTTATTTTAACAAGCAAAATTAACATGTTCTATAACATTTTGATGCTACTTGTTAGGTATTGAATATAATTTGTTCTAAAATCCTGAGTAACCATTTTCTTAGTAAGCAGATGAAAAACACAAACTACAAATGTTATGGTATGCTTAAAACATGACTCAGCTGTTCTCCATCTCAGATTCTTTTTTTGTTTTCATTCTCGAGACAGGGTTTCTCTATATAACAGCTCTTGCTGTCCTGGAACTGGCTCTGTAGACCAGGCTGGCCTGAAACTCACAAAGATCCACCTGCCTCTGCCTCCTGTGTGTGAGTCACCAAGGATTGGCCCCAAATCCAATCCTTAACAGTCTTTCCTTAACTATAAAGCAAACTGTACGTCTAGCTCAGAGTATTTCCCATTTCTTAAAACTACTCTTACTTTTACTTGTGATAGCACAGTCCTTGACTATAATAGTGTTAGTAGGGATACTATTATTTGTTGTAATTTTATAGGAGTAGCATCCCAACTTCAAATATTTTCACTTTATTTTACCCTATGTATATGGGTGTTGTGAGTTGAGTCTGGAGAGATGGCTCAGTGGTTGAGAGCACTGACTGCTCTTCCAGAGAATCCTGGTTTAATTCCCAGCACCAACAGAAGCAGCTCACAAATGTCTGGAACGCCGATCTTAGGGGATCCAATCTTAGGGGATCTAATCTTAGGGGATCTAATCTTAGGAGATGCTCTCTTCTGCTCTTCAAGGTTACCAGAAACATGGTGCAGAGATATGCATACAGTCAAAACATTCATTTACATAAAATAAAAAACATAAAACTAAAAATACATAAAAATAAAAATCACTGTCTTCTGGCCTCCACCCATCACCCCACACACATATGAAGTTTGGCTCCATTTGTATACTGAGTTTGAGGACACCATTACATAAAGCAAGCACTAACTTAAAGATACCAGAAATGGTCTGGAGAGATGGCTCAGAGATTAAGAGCACTTGTTGCTCTTGCAGAAGTCCTGGATTTGGTTCCCAGCACATGGCCAATTCCAGGGAATTCGGATACCTTTTCTGACCTCCATGGGCACTAGGCATGGGATATATTACACATGGACACATGCAAAACACTCAAATGCACAAACTCTAAAACTATTAACTAAAACAACAATGAGCAAATTCACAGCCATTAATTTTATGTTTTATACACACTCTAAAACCAGAATAATTTTATTTCTCTCATCTACTATTATTTTTTATGAAGCTCCTTTATTCTTTTCCCAGAAACCAAGCCAGTGCATTTTATCAGATCAAAACATCTGATTTGAAAAAAAATAAATTTGATGCCAGACATTGGTGACACACACCTTTGGTCCCAGTATTTAGGAGGCAGAGGCAGGCAGATTTCTGAGTTTTAGGCCAGACGGGTCTATGCAGTGAGTTCTAGGACAGCTAGGGCTACACAGAGAAACCATGTCTCAAAACAATGAAAACAAAACAAAACAAAAAAACTAAATTCAAAACAGTTAAGACAGAGACTAGATGAAGCAATAAAGATGGAGATATTAATCTCATAGAGTATCCATTTTAAACAACTGTATATAAAGTAAATCTTATAAGGCATCCTTACATTTTTAATTTTAATTTTCTTTTGCATTTTAGTCCCATATGACAAGAAATATTTATCAGGTAAGTAACATTCTGATCTTAACATTTTCTATACATTAAAATACATATTTAAATTCTGGCATGTTAAGATACTACTGTAGACCCATTTAAAAATATTATATTGCTGCAAGCCTTTAAGTCCAGCACTTGAGAGGCAAAGGCAGGCAGATCTCTGTGAGATCAAGGCCACCCTGGCCTACAGAGAGAGTTCTAGGAGAGCCTGTCTTGAAAACAATAAAACAAACAGAAAAATTATGTAACCTATCTTGAAAACAATAAAACAAACAGAAAAATTATGTAACCTAAAGAACTTTTACCCCAGAATATGGAAAGGTCTAGGTAAGGCATTGCTTTAGGGGCTGGAGAGATGGTTCCGTGGCTAAGGGCACTGGCTGTGCTTCCAGGGACCCTGATTTGATTTTTCAGCATCACACGACTCACAACCATCTGTGACTCCAGTTCCAGGAGATCTGATGAGGCCTTCTGGTCTCCATGGGCATGAGGTATGTGCATGGGACTCAAACACACATCTGCTCCAAACACACCATATACATAAAATTAAAAATTAAAAAAAAAACCCTGACATTTAAAAGTAATATAGCATGCATGACAGGACCCCTTTTAAACAATGTCCTTTTCCTGTGGAGCACTTATGTTTTTGTGGAAAAAGGCTACATGCTGTTTGTTTAGAGATTAGACCCCACAGTCATAAGTACAGTTCATAAAGGCTAGCTTATGCTGGAATTTAACTGCATTTCTAAAGAGGGGCAAATATTACACAAGTTGAATTCAAAACCATAGAAGGCAGACATTGGCACCCATCTACCTTGCTGTATCTTTCTCCTTACTGGGCACCGTTCTACGCAGTTTAACTTCTGTTTGTAAGTTGGAGAAGCAGGTGTGGGGGTGGGGGCTGACAGTAATGCAAGCAAGTTGAGAAATGATTTATTTTGCCCTTCTTATTCATTAATAGCTTAGTGATATTTTGCACATTACTACCTATATATAAACTGGTCTGCATTCCCTGCCAGGATGTAGATATAAACTAACCAGTGTGAAATTTCCATTTGGTTGTTTCCATATATTTACTATTATAAACAGTGCTTCAACAAACAATTCACCCAGCACAAATGTATATTTATCTAGAGTCTGCAAGGTTGAAAATGCAGTCTATAACTTTGATCCATATTAGTCTTGATAGTTGTACTATTTTGCATTCCCAGTAGCAATGAGTACCACTTGTGAAAGTTTCAGATTTTCATCAATTAGTCCTTTTTAACCTCTGCTCCATTAGGTATATTTAACAGGGCAATGTGCACTCTGTTTATGCATCCACCAGTAGAACTCTCAGTCAAATCAAGATAGTAAACATTTCCACCACTCAGGCTATCATCCTTCCATGGGAAGGCCCACTTCACCACCCACCATCGGGTTCTGTTGACACATCAGTTGGACAGCTTTGCTGTGTCATCATTTCTATACATGCATATTGCTCATTGATCACAAGTAGTTGCCCTTTCTATAACTCCCATTAATACAATATCGTCTGGTTAATTTCTCTCAACACTTCCTCTCCATTCCAATGCCTAACACCATAGTTCTTCTTGAACTTCACTATGGTCTAGAGTATGTGGACTTCTTGTTGTTGCATTTCGTTTTAATAAGACAAGGTTTCACCATGAAGCCCTGAAACTCAATATGTAACCAAACTGGCCATGAACTCACATCAATCCACCTGCCTTTGCCTCCTCAGTTACATCATGTATTAGTATGGCTTCTTCCACCCTGGAATTTTGTTTGCATATACCCTTTTAATTTTTCATATTGCTTAGCTGTATTATAGACTCTTTAATTTTTAAAATTATTTTTATTTTTATAGATACTATGTAATGACTTAATTTCTACTTTGGAATGAATATGAATGGAGTTATATATAAGCATTCTCTTTTCTTGATCAATGTTTTAAAATATATCTCCAAACATGTCTCGTAACATGATAGTTAATGTTTAATTAGAAACCATTTACCTTTTCAGTGATAAAACCCTGTCACACTGCCATTAGTGAGGCATTGGGAGCTCTATGTGCTTTATATGCACATGATGGTAGTGTCAATTTCTGGTTTTGGTCATTGATGTAGTTGTATACTAAACTTACTGATTTTTCATTCTCCTGTTGCCAGGCACTTCTATATTTTCTTTTATGAAATATTTGGTCAAGTTTTTTGACCATAGTATTACTAGGTTGTTCCTATCAATGGACATGTCTTTAAATGAATTTTATGCATTTGAACTCTTTATATGCAAAATTTACTTCATGCTTAGTTTCTATTGGTGTGCTATCATACAATTATCTGAATCATCAGGATGTGTGTGAGTTACAGCCTCAGTTTTATATAGGAAAACAAAGGGACCACATCACAGCTGTTATCTGACTCCTGAAAGACAATGGCTACTGTTAGCATCGATGTGCAGAAATGACCACCTTTGTGCAGTAGCATGGACTATAAGATGGTGCAGCCATGGTACTAAGGAAATCAGAGACTCCACACCTGTTTTTACAACACCATATTTGTAGTTGTCAAAAAAGGGACGTAACGCAAGTGTGCATCAACAGATGGATGAGTGAAGTGTAAGAGATACCAACTATTATTAAGTTCTGACACATGATACAAAATATCCAAGTCTAGAGGACACAAGATTAATGCAAGTCAATCCCAAGGCAAGTGTGTCCTTCTTAGCGGTTTCACTTATATAAAGCACTCAATAATGAACTTCACAGACAAACCTGGAATGAATATATGTGTATTTTTATTATAATGTCAGAGCTAGAGAAAGGAGACTTCCTGAGTCTGAGCCTCAGAATATGTCTATAGACGGATGGTGGTGCCAGCCCAGTTGACTATATTTAGTGATAATGAGCTACACTTAGGTATTTACTATTAACTTATAAAACAAAAGCAGTTAAAGCATGTTATTTGGAAACACAAAGACAACTAGCAGTTAATTTTGAGGAATGGATATTGGGTTGAGCAGTGGACTAGAAGCACAGTATGTTTTTTCAGTCCCCGTATTTATCCAGTCAGGATGTGGTTCACCTAGTCCAGGAATCCAGTAGTTGTTCAGGCCACAAGGCTGGATGTCTCAGCTGTATACCTGGGATCCCGAAGAAGCAGGCACTATTGCCACTGAAGGAACAGATTTGTCAGCACGAATGAGGGCAAGCAAAAGAGGAAGAGCTTCCTTCTTCCACATCCTTTCTAGGGGTTGCCACCAGAAGGTGTGGCCCAGACTAAAGGTGGATCTTCCCATTTCAGATGATTTAACTTAAAAACATTCTTCATTCAGGTACTCAGCCACTTTGTTTTTTTTTTCTACAGATTTCTTACAACTAAAACTTTTTAGCTGTATAGACATTTACAAAAAGAGAAGACTATAATGTTAAATCTGTGGAGAAAAGCGTAGACAGGTCAATCATGGAACTCAAAACCATGCAAAGAATAGTGGGCAGATTTAGATTAGTGTGCGTTTGGTTTAGATTCCAGGGAAAGTGCAAGTTAGGCCTCAGACATAAGGCTGTAGCAAAACAGAAAGATTTGGGGAAAAACTGCCTGATGCATTGATAGGATTTGTCAGAATTCAGTGAGTAACAGGAACAGAGTTGAAGCAAGGAAAACAGAATTGTAGCAGCAAACTTAGTTAACAAGGAGTTCTCTATGCAAAAAGTGAGACGGAGGGTCTTAAGAATGTTGTGAAGAGAGCAAGAGCTGCAGAGGGATGCATTTGGTTACTTTAGATGAACCAGGACAGCCAGATCACAAACGATTAAATATATTTATTACACAGGAGATATAGCCTATCCCAGTGGGTACAACACAGGTTTGGAGCTTTTGCTAATGCTTAGGATTTGGGCAATTTACTTAAGTCATGCCCAGAATGAACTGTGTACAGTAGATAACAACTTGAACTTCAATAATTGTAAATGATGTTTTGTAAATAAATGTTTTGGCCTCAATGATGGTATATTTTGGTATGAAAATGGCACATTATAGAAGTACCAGCTAGTCAACAACAACAACAAAAGTCTTGCAACTCACAGGCCACTTGCAGAACTTGTAAATATATACTGTGTCCCATTTATCTTGGCTGCTGTACTATGCTTAAATTAAAAGGCCTTTTAATTTTGGTTAAGTCTGTGATTATCTCTAAATTTCTGTGAGCATGTAATCACTAAAGGGCCAAGCGCTTTAAGATTCCAGGACATTTAATGTAATTGTAACAGCTATCATTTGAATTCGCAGTTCAGAAGTCTTGGCTTTTTTTGAGGTACAAGTTGACCTCTAATGCTGACCTTAATGTTTTTATATACCATCTTCCCCACCTTAGTAAGACACTTGGCCAGGTTTACCCCCCTCACCTTTAACCCTTTTAGGCCCCACTCTGAGAAGCACCAGTTGAAACATTTAGCATACTTCAGTAAAAATCCATCTGCTATGAAGTTGTGAATAATTGACTCTATTATTACATTTAATACACCTACCATCCCAATTACTGCATTTGCTAAACTGTATTTTTTGTAAGAAAGATCCTAAGAGTTTTGAATAGGCAAGAATTGAAAGGCTGTACACATTTGTAAACCAGGGAATCCACAAATACAGTACTACTTGAAGAGGAACAAAAATGCACAGTACTATAGCTTAGTGCTATTTCTTCGAAGTAAATTATACATATTAAAGCCACATGGGCCATCAGGCCCCACTAGATCATCAAGAGAACAGTAGGTGTGAATTCCAAAATCTTGGTTCAGAAAGGAAGGGAAAAGACATAAGTAAGACCATAGACAATACTTGTAGAGCGTAAAACTGCAGTATTTTAATGGAAATTTCAAGTGTGGCTAGTTTTCCCATGAATGCAAATTTAAAATTATTTCATTAATTAATTTTTATTGTGTATACCCAAGTGTGCACCATGACATGCACACGGAGGTTGGAGGACAGCCTGAAGAGGTCAGTTCTCTCCCCTTCTTGTGAGCCTGGTGATCAAACTCAGGTTATCAGTCTTGGCAGCAAGAACCTTCACCCAAGGACCAATCTCTAGTAAAAAATGCTTTTTCTCATCGGTACATGAGATGATGAAATGACTGTTCCAAATGCAATGTTTCCAACTCATATACTGATTGCCTGTATTTTGTCTTTCTTTTTTCAGATAACCACATTTTAATATCAACTCTGGTAATTGCTAGCACAGTAATTCTCACAGTTTTGGGAGCAATCATTTGGTTCCTCTATAAAAGGAATGCTTGCTCGGGCTTCACCATTTTTTCAACTGCACCACAATCACCTTACAATGATGGCTGTGCTTTGGTAGTTGCAGAAGATGAGTATGCTGTTCAACTGGACTGAGACTTTGATACTATCAAACCAGCATATCAAACACATTGACAATGATTTCTGGTGCAAAGTTTTCATATAAAAACTGTCATAGAAAACAGAAGCTTTTATGATATTCCTTATTCTCATATTTTCATGTACTCACTGTGAGAAATAATTTGGTTCATTTAAAACAAAAGAGCAGGTTTTTGACAAGGAAGAACTGTAGATCTAACAAGTTTTCTTGAGTAATTTTCATCTAAGTAAATGTAACCTCTATGTACAATAAAGCTGATAAAATGCCGCTCACTGCCAGGTTTTCTTATTGCTTCTTCCATTTAGTTACATAAATACCTCTACTCAAGGCTAACACCAGGAAAAAGCTGGACAGAGCCTGTCCTTTCAATAGCTGTCTCACTACTATGGAGATAGTCAATTCCTTTGTGGTTTCCCTTAAAGACATTTTACAGATTTTGATACTCATACTCCACTCTTGCACATTGTTTCATAGAACATTTGGCATAAGAGGTATTTAATTATAATAAAAAAAGAAAGGACTCCAGCTCTAGCTAAGAAGTCATGGAGATTGGCGAGCCAGGCTAACCTATGTGTGTGCCTTGAACAAAGGTTGCCTAGATCACCTTTATCTTTTCCTACACAAGGTAGAACCCTCTCCAACACTTTGATGGCACAAAAAATATGCATGCAGAACTGAGGAAAAACTAGAACAAGTCTAGGGATAATATTCAGTTTTTGGTATCCTTACCATACTTATAAAGAGTCATCAACAGTATAAAAATTGAAGAAAGCTCAATACTTGATTTCCTTAAGGTTGTTTTTTATATTGATTTTTATTTAAATTAAAAAACAATTTTTTTACATACCAATCCCATTTCCCTCTCCCTTTTCTCTGCTCCCCACCAACACCCCATCTCACCCTCATCCACTCCTCGAGGAGGATGAGGCTTCTATGGGGAATCATCAAAGTCAGTCACATCATTTGGGACAGGACCTAGGCCTTTCCCATGTTTCTAGGCTGAAAGAGTATCCCTCCATAGGGAATGGATTCCCAAAGCCCATTTGTGCACTAAGGATAAATACTGGTTCCACTGCCAGAGGCTCCATAGACTGCCCAAACCCCCCCAACTGACACCCATGTTCAGGGTGCGTGGCTCAGTCCATAAGCACCCACTTGCTCAAGTCAGCTGTTTCTGTGGGTTTCCATAGCATGGTCTTGACTTCTTTGCTCATCACTCCTCTCTCTGAGGAGTTCGGCTCAGTGCTTAGCTGTGAATCTATCCTTCTGCTTCTATCAGCTACTGGATGAAGGCTCTAGGATGGCATATAAGGTAGTCATCAATCTCATTATAGGGGAAGGGCATTTAAGGTAGCCTCTCTACCATTGCTTAGATTCCTAGGTTGGGTCATCCTTGTAGATCCCTGGACATTTCCCTAGTACCAGATTTCTCGTTAAGCCCATAATGGCTCCCTCTATTTTTTTTTTTTTTGGTTTTACGAGACAGGGTTTCTCTGTATTGTTTTGGAGGCTGTTGGTCCAGCCAGGCCTCGAACTCACAGAGATCCGCCTGCCTCTGCCTCCCGAGTGCTGGGATTAAAGGCGTGCACCACCACCGCCCGGCTATGGCTCCCTCTATTAAGGTATCTCTTTCCTTGCTGTTCTGTTCTCCCCCCAACTCAACCTTCCTGATCCCTCATGTCTGTGCCCCCCCCCCCAGGGTTCCCAATTTACTCAGGAGATCTTGTCACTTTCCCCTTCTGGGGGGGAGGGGTCCGTGTATGTCTCTCTTGGGGTCCTCCTTGTTTCCTAGCTTCTCTGGGGTTGTGGATTGTAGGCTAGTTATCCTTTGCTCTATGTCTAATATCCACTTATGAGTCAGTACATACCATGTTTTTCTGTGTGTGGGTTACCTCAGGATGGTTTCTTCTAGTTCCATCCATTTGTGTGCTAATTTCGAGATTTCATTTTTCCCTGCTGAGTAGTACTCCATTGTGTAAACGTACATTTCTTTATCCATTCTTTGGTTCAGGGGCATCTAGGTTGCTTCCAGGTTCTGGCTATTACAAATAATGCTGCTATAAACATAGTTGAAGAGATGTCCTTGTGGTATGAATATGCAACTTTTGGGTATATGCCTAAGAGTGGAATTGCTGTATCTTGAGGTAGACTGATTCCCATTTTCCTGAGGAACCACCATACTGATTTCCAAAATTGATCCTACCTATCCAAGAGCATGTGAGAGCTTTCTATTTTCTGATACCTTCTTTAATTTCTTTCTTTAAAGACTTAAAATTCTTGTCATACAGGTCTTTCACTTGTTTGGTTAGAGTTACCCCAAGATATTTTATGTTGTTTGTGGCAATTGTAAAGGGTGATGTTTCTCTGATTTCTTTCTCAGTCCATTTATAGTCTGTATATACAAGGGCTTTTTTTTTTTTTTTGAGTTAATCTTGTATCCTGCCACTTTATTGAAGGCATTTATCAGCTGTAGGGTTAGGGTTAGAAGTTTTATATGTCAGAAACAGTACTGGAAAACTCATATGCTACATGTTTTCACTGACTACTTTGAATGAGAAATAACCTTTCATCTCGATTATTTATTTCAATAAATCTGTGTTTTTGAGACAGTCTATGTAGCACAAGGTAGCTTAAATTTGCATCCCACTTGCTAACACTATAGGCATGATGGACTATGGCATCTAATGGTTCTCCTAACCACAAACTGGTGATAACCTACCAAGAGCATGTGTCACTAGAACAGCAAGTGTTATACTAGTTTACATTAGCTGTAAGTATTCTGTTAGGGATCCACCTTACTGACAGCTATTCACGTTACTAACAGGGAATATCAGCCGGTTCTTCCCTCCTCCTCTTAATGCCATTCTTTTAAGAACTGGTATAAATTCTGTTACCTCCTGAAAACTCTTTATAGCTTGAGCACATCCAGCTGGCTCCTACCTGCATGAGGCTACTAGAGTTAAGATGAAACGCAGTTTAAAACTCATCCACTCAATTATATTAGCTGCATTTTAAGTGCTCAAATCACACGTGGTTTGTTACTGCCATATGGAGTCAAACATACCGCAGAGCGTTTTATCATAAAGTATCACCCAACAGTGCATCTACAAAAATCAACCTTTCAATTCAATTTAGACAACTGCTACTTAATGGCATTCTAAAAAAACTCAGTTTCAAGTATGTATGACTTAATTTTCAACTGGCCTAGAAGCCCTTGGTAGTAGCAAACACTAGATCTTAATTTTGTGTGTATGTTTATGTATGCTGGCATAACATGTGCAAGGCCAGGAGGACCTTGGATGTAGTCCCTCATGTAGGCTTTTGTTTGTTTTGTTTTTTAAGCCAGATAGGATAGGTCTGGTTGGGAAGTTGAGTTCTAGAGACAGGGATATGCCTACCTCTGACCCCACAGCACTGAAATAATAATGACATACCATGTGCCACAAAGACCAGTTTTTAAATAAGAACAAATGAGATCTGCAAATCATGCTATACAGAGCAGTCTCCCTGGCCCTTAATTTTCTTTAGACACTTACCGTAGGGCATTATGTATTTATTGGTAGACAGACGAACCACCAGAGCCAGTATTTGCCCTTCACTAAGACAGCCTTGTTTCGTGCATTCAAAATGAAGAAACTGCTATCTTCCACACAATGTCAATGGGATTAGTGGCAGAAGTACAGATGCCAGGTCTTAGCATGTTATTTAGGCAAGCACTCCATGATTGACCTACATTCCAAGTCCGCACATGCCTTTATTTTAGGTAGATACATGTATATAACATTTTAAGCTACATTTTCACTGTTTGGTCTCTTGATTTTTTTAAACTTACAATTAGCACCCAATGACTCTCTCCCCATTATTTATTCTTTCTTTGGTAATGTGTGGCGTATATACGCCAGTGTGAAGGCCCATGTGCAGATGTCTGAGCAGCACAAGTATGGTGTGTTAGGTCACTGAACCAAATACCTAGTAATCCTCCCAACATCACCTCCTCACAGCACTGGGGTTCTGTATACACATGGGGCCACACCACACCTGGCTTTTTATAGGTATGCCTTTCACAGCAAACACTATTTACTGGGTTCCTGCCTCCTGAGCCCCACCATTTATCCATAGATGGTCATATTTTACTACTTAACAATCGGTAGTTAATAACAAATTATATGTGAATGAACTGTAGAACATTTTACTGTGTCAAAATCATTTTGAAATAAGATGTTTTGTGGGGTAAGAAGATCCTTTTTGCTGGACAGTGGTGGCATATACCTTTATAATCCCAGCACCCGGGAGGGAGGTAGAGGCAAGTGCATCTCTCTGGTGATTCTTTGTTTCTTTCTGATCTAACAAGTAAAACTTGCCTGAAAATGAAAGTGCAAAGCTAGCCACTCTAGTCAGCTGCAGAGGTCAGGCAGTGGTGGTGTACACCTTTAATCTCAGCACTCAGGAGACAGGTAAATGGATCTCTGTTAATTCAAGGCCACCCTGAGAGACACAAAATTGATCCAATCTAAGAGAAAAACAGAGCTCACACAAAGGTGATCTAAGCACTGGGGATCTCACGGCTTTAATTCCAGCACTAGAGAGGAATGTAAGGCAGGAGGAGACTGGAGCTCAGTGCAGTCTGAGATTTGGTGAGTCTCTGTGAGTTCCAGGCTAGCCTGATCTACAGAACAAGTACAGGACAGTCAGGGCTACACAAAGAAACCCTGTCTTGAAAATCAAAAACATGTCTTTACTTAAGACAATGCACGGATAGTAAAAGTTGAGGCCATGTTCAGGGGTTGAAGGCATGGCTCGGGGTTAAGATTATTTGCTATTCTTGCGGAAGGCCTAGGTCCTACTATCAGCACGCACATGGCACATTCTCTGGCCTCTGGAGACACTGCAAGGACAGCACAGAATCATGTGTGTAGGCAAAATGCTCACACACAAAAAGTCGAGAAAATAGTTGAAAAATCATTGCATGCAATAAGATTTGAAATTTAAATTATTTTTAAGGGGTTCAAAATTTCTCATTGGACACCAATTAAAAAGAAAAAAGTTCAAACTAAAATAAATCAATCAGTATCACTTTATTTCAAGCCAAGGTTTTACATTAATACCAACAAACTAAGCGTAGGCAAACTGCTCACTCACATTTGAGAAATTACATGGTTCCTATTTAGATTCTGAAAAAGTTGTTTGTTGCCACAACATTGGATTAATCTGAAACCACCTGAAAGTGGAATCCTAAGGGTGTTGACAGTGGATATTGTTATGGAAGT